TTATATTGATTTTATTAACGAAAACATATTAATGCAATAATTTAATTGTAAAAAAAAAAATTTAAATTAAAAAAAAATGTATTATTATTTTTTTTAATTTAACCTCCTTTATTCTATACGTAGGTCGTTTAAGAAGACCTCAATTGTAAAAATGATATAATTATAATAATAAAACTTAATTAAAAAATACTTTGCTAAATATCTTGATTTTTTTTTATTTAACGTTGCAATTTAACACTGTGTTTTGTATATTTACTGATTCTTAGAGGTAATTAAAAATTTTATATACTTCCCAGGAAATGAGTCATATTAATACCTGTTTTATAAACTAAAATAATATATACCTAATCTGAACTATATATAATGAATAGCTAATAGCTACCGGGTTGTTTAGTAAAACTCATATATCATTAATTAAAAAATTAATTTTTATTTCCTTTATTTTGTGCAGAAGTTGGGCTATATCATAAATAAATAGGAAATTTTAATATTGAATGAATTATTCTCTATGCATAAAGAAAGATAGAAAGGGTGACCCTAACTATAAACCAAAACTGATTGTTTGGATTTGATCTCAAAATGAGGAAAAACGCGTATAATACATTAAACGAACGAGAAAGGAAGTACCAAAACCTCGGAATAGATAAAAAGGACCGGTATCCATTATATAGCTAAATGAATGTATAGTAGACAGATGAACAGAATATTTCAAGATGCTGCTAAAACTGGGTCAATTGCAGTTTGGATGATATTAAGTGGACGATGTAGGTTTATTATGGTGAAAACCACTTTATTTTCGATTGCTGAAGGTGCATATCGGGACTATCTTCACTTTGAAGCAGCATATAGAGAGGTATATCGAGAAAGTTATAGCTTATAGCTCTCCTTCTGTTTAGTGCATTTCCAAAAGATTTTTTAAGGAATCTAAAAGGAAAACGAGCTTTTCTGAAAGACAGTTAGATATTAGCATAATCCAAAGTATGAGGCACTAAGCAGAGAGAGAGCTATTTTTCTTTTTATGTGGACTTCCCTATAACCTTCCTTAAAGTGAAGACAGTCCCAATTTTCAACTTCTCTTCCAATGTGCAACTTGAGTTTCTCAATCCATATCACTCTGGCAATCGACAATATTTCTTATTCCAGCTTCTACGATTCTTGAGTATAATTTGTTTGGTACACTAAACAGGAATGGATCTTGATGGGTATTACATTTCCTAGTACCTCCTTTCTTGTAAAGGTAAAAACCACAGTCCTTTCATATTATTTTCTAATATGCTTGTTGCCTATGTACGCGCAAAACTGTCAAAGCAGTTCGGTTTCGCCCTTTCCATCTTTCTTTGTGCAGAGAGAATAATACATTCAATATTAAAATTTCCTATTTTTTTATGATATGGTACAAATTCCGAAGAATTTATTCCGCAATTTCTGAACAATAACGAGCTATAACTAATATAAGATTCCTTAAAAATCTTTTGCAAATGCACTAAACAGAAGGAAAGCTATGAGCTATAACTTTCTCGATATACCTCTCTATATCCTGCTTCAAAGTTAATATAGTCCCGATGTGCACCTTCAGCAATCGAAAATAAAGTGGTTTTCACCATAATAAACCTACATCGTCCACTTAATATCATCCAAACTGCAATTGATCCCGTTTTAGCAGCATCTTGAAATATTCTGTTCATCTATCTACTATACATTCATTTAGCTATATAATGGATACTGGTCCTTTTTATCTATTCCGAGGTTTTGGCACTTCCTTTCTCGTTCGCTTAATGTATTTTTCCAATTTTCTCGTTTAAGTTCACGTTTTTCCTCATTTTGAGATCAAATCCAAACAATCAGTTTTGGTTTATAGAAGAACTTATAGCATCACCCCTTCCATCTTTCTTTGTGCATAGAGAATAATTCATTCAATATTAAAATTTCCTATTTATTTATGATATAGTCCAACTTCTGCACAAAATAAAGGAAATAAAAATTAATTTTTTAATTAGTGATATATGAGTTTTACTAAACAACCCGGTAGCTATTCATTATATATAGTTCAGATTAGGTATATATTATTTTAGTTTATAAAACAGGTATTAATATGACTCATTTCCTGGGAAGTATATAAAATTTTTAATTACCTCTAAGAATCAGTAAATATACAAAACACAGTGTTAAATTGCAACGTTAAATAAAAAAAATCAAGATATTTAGCAAAGTATTTTTTAATTAAGTTTTATTATTATTATTATATCATTTTTACAATTGAGGTCTTCTTAAACGACCTACGTATAGAATAAAGGAGGTTAAATTAAAAAAAAATAATACATTTTTTTTTAATTTAAATTTTTTTTTTTACAATTAAATTATTGCATTAATATTTGTTCGTTAATAAAATCAATATAATGTACCAAAAATGTTATTATATCACTATAACTAAGCCATTTATGGGCACTGAATGGTGTGGTAGAGGCCTGTAGGCACCCACGCCAGTACCGCTTTTCTGCCGCATAAGTACATTTTCTACGGAACTGCTTAAAGATTTCTAAAAAATAATCAGCGTTTTAGAAAGAGAAATATATTCTCCAGATGGTTTATTTCAGCACGTTTTGCGTTATTGTTGGCCGTTTAATTACAAACGACGCTTGATTTGTAACTTGAAAATTTTTTTGTTGAAAAAATTGACTTTACTGGTGTTTTTCATAGCCTAAGCCAATTATTTTTTAATATTTCTTCATGTTTTATTATTCTATGACTATTCAGCTTTAATAAAAGACCAACTATGAGGAAATTAAGACAAATGCTGATTCTCAGTGACCAAAAAACTAACTAAAGTCAAAGTCGTCAATCCGCCATCTTTGGACGCCATTTTGGGGCAGTGCGTTCACTTTTTTTTGTGGGAACATTGGCTTTTTTTTAATAGCTAGTTATAAGGAACACAACGATATGCAATTTATAGGGATGTGGGGGGGGGGAGGGTGCACGGTAAGGGGGTCTGGCCCACCGTGTATATGTAGTTCTTGTGATTAGCCTGTGGGATTAGTTATAGACTACGAGCTGCTAAACATTTCATTTAATGGAAGGTCTTAAAGCTAGTAACCATTTTAAATTTTAGATACACCTCATTTGGACAAACAACTTCATTCAGTCAGTTGAAAGATGTTGCTTTCTATGAGAAAATTTAAATTAAAAATTTGAAATTTGACATTCATTTAATGGAAGAATATACGGCTGAAATTTTGATATGATGTCAAGAATATGCCCCTAAAAAAAAAAATCACCTTAACTGACAATATACTCTGTTGTGTTTTGAAAACTGATGGGTCATCAAATTAGGCCAGTCTGATGGTAGTTTGATGAGGAAAAAATTGAAATAGTCGGTTTCTCTTTGGTATTTTATGTTTTTCGGTTGATGCTGAATCTGAATTTGATGTTCCTGAATGAAATTGTCCATTGCTTTCCACGACATATGCAAAAACAGTGAAAATTTCTGAACTTTTTTTTGGTTTTTGGAACGAAGCAACGATGAATTTTATCGAAATTATTATGACATATAAAGTTAAAGAAGATAAAATTTACAGTAAATTTTATACATAGCTTTTTGATTTAGGTCCTACGGGTGAGGAGTTAAGAAAAATTGACTGTTTGTTACAATAAATTAGGCCATTGTTCACCAACATTTTTTTATTACGCATCAATTTAACGTTTCGACCATACTAAGGGTCATTTTCAAAACTTGATGAGTCCTCCTAATATGTTCATCCTTAATGTTCTAATTAATAGGTTCAGTGAACATTATCTTGTCAATTTTTATAGGGGCTTCGCCCACGTCATTTTGTGGAGGGACTGATAGCCCAGTCCCTAGGAGGACTATCAGTCCCTCCAGAAATGACGTGGGCGAAGCCCCTATAAAAATTGACAAGATAATGTTCACTGAACTTATTAATTAGAACATTAAGGATGAACATATTAGGAGGACTCATCAAGTTTTGAAAATGACCCTTAGTATGGTCGAAACGTTAAATTGATGCGTAATAAAAAAATGTTGGTGAACAATGGCCTAATTTATTGTAACAAATAAAACAAACTTCAAGACACCAAAAATAGGAAAAATGAACAGAAGAAATTGACTGTTTGCTTATTTAACAAGAAATATCTATTTTCATTGATTTTTCCTCCAAATCTATGCATCTCTTGAAGAAATTCATTATAATCAATTTGAAAAAGCATTAAATTTCCTATGTACCTCATGTAGACATGTTAATATGTGAGGAGGTTAAGAAATGATATTTATTTATGTTGAGATTACATTATTTACTGAATTTGTTATTAAGATAATATTTTTTTTTAATTTTATCATTTTATCAAATTATTTGGGTGGGATTCGTCCATATAAGCTCTCATTTACCTGCATCATTTATTCTTGAATTTTAAAAATTGTATTAAGATATTGGGCATCAGTTGTTTTTATTTTTTATTTTTTCTAAGACTGTTAGTAATGCAGTGACTTCCAAGTCACTTTTCAACTCTTTTAAAGCATTTTTTTTTTTAATATTGAAGAAGAAAACTTCTGTGAAGTGTGTTCTTTATTTTTTGACCTTATCACTTGAGAAAATATTTCTAAAGGTATAACCAATATTAACCTGTTAACCGGGTATTTCCTTTTCAATTACGCAGCATATTTCCGTATTTTAATTACGTATTTTTAAAATATTATTAAATGTTTTAATTTAAATAGCTTAAATATTTTTAAGCATATTTTAATTTTTCCTTATTTTTTAATTATTTGCAAGATAGTTCCTTATGGGAAAAGTTAAAAAATTCAGATATTTTCCTGATAAAGTGTAGATTGTATCATGAGTTATGAATTTTTTTTTTCTACAAAATTTATTTCTGAATAAGTTTAGTTCTAAGTTACCAATGGTAAATATAAAATTCATCTTTTGGATATATTTAAAATTTAGCCTGTTTTTTGCATTATATACTTAGAATTAACGATTTATTTGCAGTGTTGGGCGTGGGTTGAAAGCGGGTAGGGGAAGGAAGAGACGAAGTACAACTGTTGGTGAGTCTTCTAATAGTGACAATAAGAAGCTTCGTTTATTACAAGAAACTCCTCTACCTTCTGCTTCAAGGTATGTTTATCTTGCCTAATTTTCTATAACTGTTTTTATATTTGTAATTGGTAAACATTTTTAAATAAATGATGTAGTTCTTAGCAATGGATTTATTTTTATATTAGCAATTTTATTTCAATTCAGTAAAGTATGTTAAGGAAAAAAATAGGATAGATATCCTAAAAATTTTCATTAAACATTTAATCCCGTAATTACACTTTAGGAAGCTAATTTATTTAAACGTTGGCCTACAAATTTGAATGAAGTTATGATATTCTTTGAGGCATGAAACATTAAATTTTTAATGTAATTTTGAAGAAAATAAATAAAACCCAAGTGACATGGCATTAAAACAATTCAAATCATTATAAAATCCTAAATAACGAAAGAATTCCTAAAAGATTATTAATTTCTGTGCCGACTGGTAAATGTCGGCAGCGAAATAGGTTTGGATGGCGGTTGGTGGAGGGAAATGATTAGACAGCGATTGTTGGTGTCGTTCTATCTGTGTTACTTCTGGGAATTTCTAATCCCTGGTATTTTACCAGCTTGTAGTTGTGAATGATTAATTTTACTAAGTGTTAACGCTTACGTTACAGTAAGTTTTGAGGTTGTCTAAAGTTTTCCTGAGATAGCTTAGTCCATGTTCATCTTTTTTTTTTTTTTTTTACATGTTTGCACCTATATATAAAGATTCATTTTATTTAGAATTACATACACTTTCGCAATTCCCATTTTCAAACTTTCCTTTTTTTTATTCCTGAATTTCATTCTTTTCTAAATTAAAACTAAGCATTTTATATAATCTTTTCATTTGCAATAATAACTCAAAAGGAAACATAAAAACGCACTGACATAATTCTTGATTTTCATTACTGCGGGATATCTGATGGCATTTGGTTTACAAATGCACTTGAGATAAGCCATGACGATGAAGTAGAGCTCCGATGATAGAAATTTATAGCAAGGAACTACAACGAAGTGCTCGTAAATGGTCGGACCCATTAGAATTTTGATGAACAGTTGACACGACTTTCACCGCCTCAATTTACGGGGAGGGTATTTTCCTCACCCTTTTAAAAATTGAATTTCATCAAAACATTTTAGATTATTTTTTAATTTTTCTACTGCCATTTTATTATTTTAGTTGTTAAGAGAATACTGAAGAACGATGAAAAATTCAAGATAATTAATTATATACTAAAAAATAGATAAGCTTCTCCAGGGGTTCCCATTCCCCCCAAGAACCTATCCCTTTCCCCTCCCAAGATATTTTATTGCTCACGTTTTCATATAAATTATAAATATAAATCACGTATAATCAAGTATTTTTCTTGTATCCATCAATATCTTCAAATTTTAGGTACTGTAATATTCCTGGTTTTGTTTCATTTTTACTACTTACCTCTTCACCATTCCCCCAGCAGGTCAGCAAATTTCTCCATGAGTGCTCTACCGATGTTTCTCTAGTTTTAGCTGAAACTCCATGCTCCATGCATCTGTAAGTCATTCCTAAAATGAAGACTATTTTTAGCTCCTGGCTCCAGATTTAATAGTTTTTATGATGGAAGTGACAAAAAAAGCAAGTTTGCACTTCAAGTGACATAGAAAACTAAATAAAAGAACATATTTAGGATTAGTGAAAAACCAAGGGAAACTTTATCAGTTTGTTTTGAATGCCAGTTATTCTACCTCCAACAGTAAAAAACTAAGTTTCAAAATCAACTGGTTTGTATCAAAGATCATTTGACATGACAGATCTTCTATTTCCCACTGGTACATGGTTCATTATTCTCTTGGGAATGCGATCTTCAGCCATCCTTTGCACATCACCAGCCCAACGAAGCCTTCTGATCCGGATAAATTTTACTCCTGGGACATCCTTATACTTTTCGTATAGTTCCCAGTTGTGCCTTATTCTCCGGGTGCCATTTTCTTTGATGGCCCCATAAATCTTTCTGAGAATTCTCTTTCGGAAACCGCGATCTTCTGTTCATCGACTTGCTTTAGCACCCAGCATTCATAACCATAAGTCAGTATAGTCTGATGAGGGTCTCGTAGAGAGTAGCCTTTGTGTCTTTATTTATTGTTTTTGTTTAAAGAGCTTGATTAAACCATAATAATCCCTCCGGCTGCTATGATTTTCTTTCCTATTTCTTTGGAGGAGTTATTGTCAGTATCTACAAGTGACACAAAGGTACACAAATCCCCGAACTGTTTTGAACTTGTATCCACCTATTTTTATGTATCAGTACGTACCTCAGTCCCTCCAACCATGTACTTTGTTTTTCTTCGTTTATTATTAGCCCCATTGCTTGAGTAGATCACTCCAAAGCTTTAAAAGCTTCTTTCGTACCTGATTCCGACCTACTGATTATATTAATGTCATCAGCATAAGGCAGGAGCTGTATGCCTTTATTGAAAATATGCCCTCCTATTTGTATCTGCGAATCTCTAATCACTTTCTCTAGTCCTAGGTTGATTAGAAGGCACGCCAGGGTGTCTCCTTGCTTCAATCCATTCCTTGTTTGTAGGGGATCTAATAGATGATTTGACATTTAGAGTTGGATATAGCCATTCAGACCAGTTTGGACAGTATATTCATCTCCCTCTCTTTATAGAGCATCTCTCAATTTATAGAATCATAGGTGGCCTGTAATTCCACAAACGCATGGTGCGTAGTAATGCCATATTCCAGCGTCTTTTCCAGGATTAACCTTAACGTGAATACCTGGTCAGCCGTTGATTTACCTTGCTTGAACCCACGCTGGTAGTCCTTAATAATATCCTCTGCATAAAGAAGTAGTCGAGCAAATATTATGTTAGACAATATCTCGTATGCTGTATTCAGCAAAGAAATGCCTCTGTAGTTAATAAAGTAATCAATAATAATAAGTAATCAGTTTCATGATTTTTTCAAATATACCACTGTTGAAGTATTAATGGAAATTTGGCTTGACATCCAAAAACTTCTTGGGAGAATAACATTGGTTAAAACTGAGGAAATTCCTGTAGCTAATACTCCATTCTGTCTCTCCAAAGTGCACTGAAGTATGAATGCTCTAATACTAATGCTATCACTAACACTAGTCTGTACCAGGTCTACAGAAAATTCATAGGTATATATATATATATATATATATATATATATTTATATCAATCAGGCATGTATTAATTTAATACATGTACATGGTCATACATCACATGGCAGGTGGCCATGACCACTACCAGGGCCCTAAAGAGAATATTTTACATTTAAAACTGGAAGAATATCAATTTTGTAGGACCAAGTTACTAAAATTTAACCAACTTTTTACTGAAATAATTTAACAGTTTTCTCTTTTAGTAAGCTTTTTAATTATATTTTTATTTTACAACTAAAATGGTAGCCTGAATTGTTATTATGCCTTCAAGCAGCCAAGCCGAAATACAGTATTGAAGGAATTTATTTTAAAAGAAAAATCAGATTTATATGAGATGTATATATGTTTTTTATAATTGATAAAATAATTTCAAATATAAGTTAACTTGGCTAAAACAAAAAATTAGTGAATTATCAAATTGCTACAATTTTTTAAATTAAAAATTGAGATAAAATTAATAAAATTATGCACATTTTCGACAAATGGTTTACAACCTCAAATAGTTTTTAGACTTTTAGAATCTCAGATTTTAGAAAGTTCGGGAAAGACGATGACAAGGAATATGGAGTAACCGCTTGGTCCACTTATCACCAGCATATTGATTACGGGTGTAAAGGATCGATTTTTTTTTTTTTTTTTAATCACTTTCTGTTTGTGTTTCTCTAAAGAACACAGCTCTACTTAAGTTTTCTAAAAAATAATAATTGGGTCATCTTCACCAGATGGTTTTCATCACTGGCTCAAGTAGTTATTGATCATCGGAACAGCATGTTACTTAAGTAGTTATTGTAAGTAATTCGGAGACATGGGTGTAGATAAATATCTCTTGGGGATAATCTGCTCTCTTCCCCCCAGTGACTGCCTGATCCACGCAGGAATCTTTTGAAAAAAATAAGATCAGAAGGGGGAAAAAAAAATAACTTAATAAATTGCAAACCAAAGGTCAGGTAACTTAAAGTAATTACGGTTTAATAATGATGATAAGCATTATACTTTGTAATGAATATACAGAAAAATAGAAGTAAGAATGTTTCTGTATAATTTTATAGCAAGAAACGAAAACGTGATGAATTCCAAGAACTAGCAACATAAATGTTACCAATTCAAATATTAATAAATCTGGATAAAAGTTTTTTAGTCCTTTCCCGATTGTTAATTTTCTCTTACATGCCTACTGTTTCTTCCTGCTACAATGTCGTTTATTTATCTGAAACTGACATGGTAGTCACATCGGTATCCTAAAGAGTACCTGTACTCATGCTTAAGTGTCTAAAGAAGTTGTAGCTGGTTAAAGCCTTGCCATATTTTTAATGACTGAACTTCAAGTCCTACCAGAAGTTTCCACATTTGATATGGTTGCTCACGGATTTGTTGTGATTTTCAAATTTTAAACGTGTATTAAAGCTTTCATAATAAGGTATAGAGCATAGATGAGAAACCATGGCCTCGAATGCTGCATGCGGCCTCTGTAACATAATTGTGGCCTCCAAACGTTTTTGTGCGATATTTATTAATCTAGTTGTAGAATTAATTAATACTGAGTTGTTTAAGTAACAACTATCTGGAAATTAATAGAATATTGTTAAATGTATGCATTTGGGTGTGTGTTTTAGTGATAAATAAAAATAGCAACGGTAAAATATAAAGAATTATTGCGCCCTCCATTAGCACTGCCTAACCTTACCACGACTTCCAATGATAAAAAGGTTTCCCATCCTTAACTTATAATGATGAAAAGATCCTACAAAATTGATATTACTCTATGGTATAGAGTATGATTTTATTTGTTGCAAAATAAGTAGCAATACCCTTGAATGCATTTCTGTTGATGACTGGCAAACCTCTGGTGATAACAGAAACTGAGACTAAGCCTGTCCTTTTCCATTTAGCGACCTAATGTTCTATCATTTCGTTAAAAAAGTGAGTGTATATTGTGTCTGCCAGATGTTTATGTATCTAATTGTGAATAAAAATCAATATTGATTGAATATTAAGATATTGGTGAAAACATGGGAAAGCATTTTTAAGGTGGGGTGGTAATAACTGGTACACTTCTCCTATTTATGATTGTATTGATTAAAACAAAAAAAATTAATGTGTTTTTAAGTAAAATTTTAATCAATCTAAATGCTTGTAAAGTTTGATGACCAAATTATGTTTTACTTGATGATAAAGTGATTTTTTTTTTTTTCCAGCAATCCTGTTACTTCAGGTCAAAAGAAAAAGAGTTTATCAGGGGTAAGTCATAATTTATTTACTTTTCATAATTTATCACTGTTTTGTTTTATACATTTTTAAAATATTTTTTTATCTTTTAGTTATCTACAAAAAAAAGTACAGCCAGTGAACAAGCATTACAGAAATCCTCAAATTCTGATTTATCATTAGGTACGTTAATATTTTTTACATAAAATGTTTTTCATATTGTCACCTTTTCATTGCAAGTTTAAAATGTTTCCTGGATAAACTTGTTTATCACCTTATAAATTTTACCGAGTAAGTTAGCTTTAAATGTGTAACAGCTTCTTTTTTTCTCTATTTTTTTCACAGTTGTAATCCTATCAGAAACGTTTGTTGTACTTATATCTGAACCATTTTCCTTCCTTTACTCTACTTACCTCTCAGCGCGGGATTCAAAAGCATTGGTACCAGCCCTGCCATTCTGTCTAATCTCATCTTTCCAAGAATCAGTAAATAAACAATAGGAAGAGCTAATTGAGGCTCCTTAATGTCGTTTCTATTTTAATTAAGAATCTTTCCTTGAAAAATTTCTGTTATTTTTTACAATGGGAAGTCACTTTTGGCTGCTGGGTGGATAAAACAAAATTAAGATCTAAGCATGCCAAATGTTGAATGATGACACTGGCCTCATTTCTAAGGCATTGATGGCTGCCAATTTGCCAGAAATTACCAGATTGGGAGGGGGGAGAGGGGAGAACAAACACAAACAAAGGTAGTTTTCTTGCTATTCATCAGATCATTAATTATGAGTGAGTCAGGTTACTTATACTGAAAAAGCAACTTCTTTTTGAATTTTAACAAACTCAGTAGCTAAAGTGTTATATTGTAAAGATGCATTTTCTTTCATTATTTAATGCAGAGGTCTCCGGAAGTGCTTGCTGGATCCGTAATTTGGAGACCCCTGATTTAATGTGTTATACATAGAATGTGTACAAAATAATTAGTTTTTACTTTTGAACATATATTTCTATTTACAATATAACTGTAAAGAGCTTTTCTGAAGTTGTTAGCTGGTATTTTCATAACTGTAAAGAGCTTTTCTGAAGTTGTTAGCTTTTATACACGATTCTATCAACCAATTGTCTCATATATGTATTGCTAAAAAAAAAAAATGTAAGTTTAAGTTGTATTTTAATTTTTAGGGAATCCAGTGATATTGCGTAGTAAGAGTCCAAGAATCAAAACAAAGTCATTTGCGTCTATTGCTAACCTTGAGAAAGTAGGCAAAGTGTCTCAGAAATCAGATAAAAAAATCTCAGGGTAAAACTATTTGTTTTTTTGTTCTTAGAATTTAGTTTTAATGTATTTTCTCATTTTTTAAAATTTTATATATTTTATGGTTATGTATTATATGCTCCCACCTATTTAAAAGAAAAATATTGATTGGTGATAAAAAAAAATGAATGTTTAATATGAGCATAATTTCTTCAGGATATTTACAGTAAATCTTCATTATTAGGTTGAATTGTTATTACAAACATCTTGAAGATTGAAATCTTATTAAAACTTCCTTTTTTGACTCTCCACATCTAGAATCCTAGTACAAAGATTTCCTTTTAATCATTTTCTTTCTTATACTGAAATCCAACGTGCCACTTTTGAATCTTCTCCTTCATCCTTGTTAAAAATTACACAGCACTCCTTCTTCAATAGATTACAATAAATTGTGATTATTATTCTCTTTGATTACTCTAATGCTTTGATTCTATCACAAGATTGATTCCATTCCAGAAAAAAAAAAAAAGTACTGGCGATTTAATCCATTTATAATCCAAAAACAGTTTAAGGGAAAAATTGACCAGCAGTTCAATAGTATTTATAAAAATACTATTTTTGATTCGTCCTACTGTTTGTGTCAGTAGGCATTATGCTTTTAACACTCCTAAAAAGATTATCAAAATTATGTTGCTACAGTGACAAATTAATATACTAAGGAGAATTACAATTATTAGAAATGCCATCACCTGAAACTATTCACGTTGAATATTTCTTATTCCTCTTTTCAGTGATCCATCGCTTAATTTGAATCAAGGAGAATCTACATCAAGTGGAAAACATAGTGAGAAAAATTTAAGAAAAGGCAGTCTGAAACGTGATACATCATTAGGTGGTAAGAATTTAGCCATTACATTGAAGTTGATGAATATTGTTATTTTAACGATGAATTAATTATTTCACCTTTGTCCATGTTAAGTTTTCTTGGTTTGAATTCTTGAATTTATCTACCAGGAATCTGAAGTTAGTCGTAATATTTAAATTCCAATTATTTCTAAAAAAATAATAATGGTTAAAGTTGTTTTGCTTTTTGTATTACCAAATATTTTGTTATGGAAATACCCTGAAACTTTCAGATGTATGTATTTAATATTGAACGTGATATTTATATATAACTTCATTGTAACTTGCCTATAACTTAAAAGATCTAAATCCATTTATATAGTTTTGGATGTTACAAGATTTAAAGTTACTTTTAGAATAATTAATCTTTTTTTTCACTATGACGTGTATATATGACGTAATATTTCGAAAGTCCAAAGAAGAGCCCCAACCACACCCAAATTTTAGATAGCTATATATAGCAATATTATTTTAGTCTTTATTTAAATATTTTCCATACATTGATTTATTTCATGCAATAAATACTGTTTTAACCATTTAATCATTAATTATTTATCAAGAACGTAGTGGTAAACAATTTGATCTACTTTTTATGGATAGCTTATTGTTCTAATTTCTATTTTGATGGCTGTGTCTGTGACGTGTGCCTGTGTGCTTTATTTCTTTGTTTGTTTGAGTCACTGTTTAGCTCGATATAGATAAGTTATTTTTTAATATTTTACAGAGGCGAGTAGTAGTGGCGTTGTTGTAAAAAAGTTACTTAATCGATATTCTCTTCGCTCACAAGCTAAAGGCTCTCGTCATCAAGAATCGAGGCACAAAAAAAGTGCGTCAGTTGACCATTCAGGTTAGTTGGCTTTATTATTATTATTTTGGAATAATATACTAGTGTTTGTTTTTCTTTATAATGTTTATCATATTTGGATTAGTATTAATGTGTTTTTTTTATTATGAAACACTTTTGATCATGTCTTAACCTTATTTATGTCTTCATTTAATTTGTTTATGTTACATCTTGTTTAATTTGTTCATTCATTTTTTTCAACATTATTGTTTTCATGTTTATGATTTATTTTTGTTTATGAAAATTAATTTGTTAGTATTTTTACTATTGACATTTTGGTCAATATCTGCATTTCTGTTTTAATATTATTTATTTTGATTTTATTTGTAGTTTCATTATTGGTTACATTTAATAAGGAATCTGTTTCCCTTTATGCTGGTAAAATTTATGATACTATAAACACTATATTACCATAATCTGGTATTCGGAAGTTTTTTTTTTTTTTATTCTTCCCTTTCTGACACTAGAAAATTTAGTCAAATCGCTTAGTTCTAGGATTTGTTAGGAGTGTTAAATATAGTTTTGATAAAACAAGAACTAAAAGAAAAAAAGCAAGCTATTCTATAGTGAGAGAATGAGAGAAGAGGGTGTGGCTGGCTTGGACCAATGACTTGAGTCCAGCGTTGACTTCTCTAAGTGAGCTGTTTCATTCGAATTCAGACCTTGCAACAATCCAATTCTCCACATCCTGTTTTTATTTGTTTAAATTGTCATAGAGTTTAGTTTTATAACATTTTTTTAGTAGTCAATAGTTTTAAAATAATTTAATAGTTATTATTAATAATTTTAATAATTAAATCATAATTTAATATGTACATTGATGATTAAATATGATGAAGGCAGTACAGCAGTATCAGAAGAATTGACTTTTAATAAAGAGCATTAAGTGTTTCCGAAATTAGATTGAGGAAGGGAAATAAAACAAATTATCTTATTTCTGTAGCCAAGTGTTTGAAAGAACTACAACAAATGAGTACAATCGTCGGCTCAGTGCTCCTAGAAAGGGATACATTTGTAAGCAACCTAAATCCTTGTTTGGGTTACATTTAGATTTCATTATATGAAGACATATATATCCTTACTGTCAAAGGAAAGAATATCCAGTTGTGAAATGTTTACTGGTTTCGTTTAATAGAATGTTTTATTGGAGGTTGTATTCTGCTTTGTAATTTTAAATTGTCCATGATTTGATTGAAAAACAAAATTGAATAATAGAAAGATACTATGAGGGAGATTTATGGAAACTTATTTGAGCAATACTGGACTGAGAAGAAACAACGACATTCGAAGTTGTTCCTTAAAGGTCCATGTGATAAAAGAATCAAACTGCTACTGAGTATGGGCAGAGCAGCTCTTAAAAAGCTTACAGCAATCTAAACAGGCCACTGTAAGTTAAACTACCACATGTTCAATCACCGAGTGATGACGAACCCACTATGCAGATTCTGTCAAGAGGAGAATGAAACAGCCTTTCACATTGTCTGGTTATGTGATAGTTTTGCAAGGCTTAAACTGGTGCTATTTGGAGAGGAACGGATGGATCGCCCCAATAGCTATGAGTTGGTCAATCCAACAAGTCTACTAAGATAAGTGGAAGCGACTAAAATAATGTTTTAGGAATAAAACGAATAGCATACATTGGCGCATAATAGATCCTTCAAGGGTTGCGGTGCTCTAAGCCAACTAAGGAAAAAGATACTATTGGAATAATTTGATACAGTGTCCCAAAGAGGATGATTTCTAAAAACAAAATTATTGTTATGGTTTTTTTTTTAGTTATAAGCAGAATGATATACTTGCCATTCGAAGTAAAATAAATGTCTAGAAATTTTAAAGAGAAATATGTGAAATTTATTCTTCAATGGTTAGAGAAGCCGGTAGCTATGATAGATAAAAAACCTCTATCGTGTGCTGTCTCCCAGGTTGTACATTTCATTATCATCAAAATGTCAAAAATACCTAACAATGAAGCTTGAAAATAAGTAATTCATTAGTATCATGAAAATTCTATAGCTGTTTTAAGCCAAATCAGGTCCCTATGGAAATAGAAAATAAACAATAAAGATGAGAAGAATATTAAGAAAAGTATTGATTGATTTTTTTGGTTGAGGTTATTCGATTTGCCTTTAAGTATTTGGGTGCAGATGCAAATTTAATTTTAGTCATCATCACTTTTTGCTGTCAATTTATTTCCGTGTTAACTTCGTGAAGGCTTGATTTGCAGCCCATTCTTCATTGCACTATTTTATTGAGCTTAAATTTTGGTAGATTAAAAAAAAAAATTGAAAAAAGTTTAAACTCAGGAGAAGGGAACATGAAGGTGTATACATGCTCATCTTATGGTGCTTAAATTAAAATTTCGTTATTTTATTAAATGAATTATGTTATGTTAAGGTTATCGTAATAAAATATAGCAAGGTTCTCAAGCACAAAGTATTGTCATCAACAAGTGTAATGTCTCCAACTAGAGACCGAATTTTCATGTTATTGCTCATTTTGTTCACTTAGGTGTTAAAAACTTCAAACCCGACAATCGATCCATTTCATGATTTGTAGAATAACATTGAAATTTCATTTTGCACCTTCATTGGCCTTTTCGGGCTAAATGGTACAATTTATGTTTCATGATATTGCATATTTTGCAATTTAAGAGCTAAATTTCATTTATAACATGTAGATAGGTATGTAAGAAAATATTTATTTACTTTTATTATTTATTATATTAGATTTGTTGTTGAAAACAGAGATATCCAACACCTGGATGGTATAATTTTTTGTTCTTAATTTTTTTTTATTCAAAATAATGTTTTTAAGTTAACTTTCTGGGATGAAAACATATCTTAGACTCGAATTGTTTGACACTGGTAACTGGTGTATATAGCCAAAACTCCGCCAGGTTACGTGGGGGACTATGAATTTTGATTAAAGCTTAGGATATTGACTCAAAATCCAATTTTTTAAAATTTTAAATTGAACTACAGCTATAAAGTCAAGCCTCAATTAAAAACTGCTTGGTTTTTAAAAAAATATATACAATTTTGATTTAAAAATGTACTTTCATACGGAATTAAGTTGTTCATCGTACATTTGAAGTTAGAATTCGATTTTTCTCACGTTACTACTCTTATATCTAACTTCAATTTTGAGGCTCTAACTTCTAAAATAAGAGTAAACAAGTATTAATATAAATTAATTAAAAACTATTATTTTTGCTTGTTATGTATGCAATTTTACATTTCTTGGATTGCAATTTTAGATTTGCTGCATGATTTTGCACATTTTGAGTTTAATTACTGCACGGTTTTTGCTTTTTTACTACATGAAAGTCCGGTCTTTAATAATGACTGTCAAATCCCACTTTAAACACTAACATAAAACAACACTTATGGAAGTCAAAAACAATAATGAAATAAAATTTCCATCAATCATCATTATATCCTTTTTTTTTTTTTTAATTAGAACTTAACAGTGATATACTATTGAGTAATATACCAATATATGATACAGTGATATACCAATTAACTGTTTTGCTTAAACTGTATGCAAAAATGAAATAACCCTTAATCAAAAAGTTTTGGAGTTACACGGTTTTCACAATTTTACTGGTGATCTAGAATATTTGGTCTGAAGATAGATAAATCTACAGAAGAATTGAATATTTTCATATTGTTTTATGAAAAAAGCACCTGGAAATTAAAATTGATTTAATAGAATAATGTTGATACTAATGGAGTTGTTAGTTTAAGTAAGGAACTAATCTTTAAAAAAGTTATAAGCTAAAGAAAGTTAATGAGCAATGAAATACCTTCTACCATCACAGCTTTGGGAGGTCTTCCATGCAGATCTTTGCTTCGCTAAGCAATTTTTTTGGTATCTCATCCTGCCTATACTGCCTACCCAGGGCAGCCTACTGAACTTAATATTTCTTACTACATCAGCCTCTTTTCCCTTTTCAACAATTTCAAATGGCTTCCAATTGGTTCAAATTGTAGCTTTTACTACTAAAGAATGCTTAGATAATATCTGAATAGCCTTACAGTGTCATATTTGTTTGTTGGATAAAGTTATAAGAGCCTAAAATACATTTTAGTTGTATATTTTTTGCTCAAAATGAGTTTCTTGGTGGGTTAACTCTTTGAGAGTGTTGTATCTGCTCCAGATTTCAGCACTTAAGGTTATTTAATATGTATGGATTGGACAAGTTTTCTCATACTTATTTACTAAGAGAATACCACTTCAACTTGTGAAGGCTGTGATGTTCAGAGATTAGAAAAACACGTTCTACAAGTTTGTCACATATTCTAAACTTAGAGGAAATATTAGACCTGGCATGAATGCTAAAAGGAAATTTATATGACAGCAAAAAAAGCATTTATTTAAACGTTTAATTTAATTTTTTAGTTTTGAAATTAGTGATCCTCTAGTGCAGATATAAAATAATAATAAAAATTTGGTGTCTATGTTTTTTAAATATCTCATTATTGCTTATAGGTGGAGTAGGGTCTAGTAGCAGCGAAAGCGGAGAAAAGGACAATAAAGGCCATAGACGTACATCAGCAACCACGGGATCCTGTACTTCTACCAGGTATTCTTGATATTCTTTTACGATTGTGATTTTTGCAATAATTTAAAAAAAATTTAATGTACTTAATCTCTATATCTGATTTTTTAAAATTAAAACTCTTTTTAATCTTACAGTATTTTATTATACATTTAAAATATTTTTGAAATTTTTAAAAATTATTATTGTTTAACGTATTGGCTCCAAGTGCCATTTTCAAAAATTCTTTTTCTTAAAAAAACAAAAAACAAACAACATTAGTTCTATAAAAACATTATTTCTATAAATTTCTTAAAATATATATGTATATATATACTCTATGGTAGTACTTGTTTTGTTTTATTTTTCTTCCGAAATTTCACAAAATTTCTCTTCTCTTTATTTTATCAAAAACTTCATCCTGCAATTCAACAACTACTTTTTAATTTAATGATTTAAAACAAACTTTAAAAAAAAAACACTATTTTATTTAACAAATCTTTTTTCGAACAAAATTATTTAATTACTGAAAAAACACTGCAAAAACCAAACCTAAAAATAAGAAATAGAAAACTTTTTTCCTTAATTACTTTTCTTTTTTTTTTTTTATCACCTTCATTTTATCTACACTGAGCTGTAATCTAGACTGACTCACTTATTATGGTTCCCTCTAATGTATTTAATTTCAATTAATTTGTTGGTTTATCAGGTTTTAGAATCAATTTTATCTATTTAACTTTTTTAACAGTTCTGCATAATTTTGGCTAATGTTTCTTGAATAAGATTTAAAACTTACTGCATTTTCTAAATTTTCCGTGATAGTTTATATTTATAGTTGTATTCTGTATTGTATATAGCTTATTCACCTAAGGTTTTCTTTACTTTTTAGTTTGTTTTATCAATTTTATTTATTGTTTCAAACTTTTAGGCCAGTAATATTCTATTCTTTTGTACAATTTTGTTATTCTGAAGGGATTTAGTCCCAGAATAAAGTTTTTTTTTTTTCTTCAAAAAATATTTTTTTCCTTTTATATGATTTCTACATCTTCAAAATCGAATTTGTTCTTTCTCTACACTACGTTGTATTAATGCTGTTTGTTATTATATTTTGGATTATTTCTATTTTTGTAATCATTTGTATGTTAATAGATTCTGTCTTTTATAAATTATCCTGATTATCCATAATATATCGCTGGGTAGTCCAAACAATTGATTTTTTATACTATTCCCGCATTTTTGTTTTTATCTATTTTATCTTTCGTGTTAGTATTATTTTTTTTTAAATATTTAATTTGGATCCATTTGTAATCAATATCACAGATACTATTAATAATTTCATTTCTTATTAAAATATCAGTGTATTTTGTTGCAGTAGGAGGTGGGGAGGTGGTGGAGGAGGCGGATCGAATAGTACTAGTAAAGGAGATTGCGCCACTATGGCTGAGGAACAGCCCCCTCCGTGTGACAATCCTACTCCTTCAGGTAATTTTTAATTTAGCTTATTGCAAACTCTGCCTTGTAATAACGGTAATGTATGATAATAGAAAATTTATTGAAAATATTATACATACATATTTGCATCGCACTCTTGGACAAATACCATTTCTGCTTTGTGACAAGTCATTATTTTAAACTGTTTTTGTGAGAGAAAATAATTGTAATCTATTGATAACTTCTCAGAAATAACATGTATATAGGTTTCTCTCCCCTGTTTTTATTATATGTGTGATTCCATGGAAATTGTCAAATTTTTGTTCCTAACTGTTTTTGAACCTTTTACTTGGTATTTTTTTTTAAGCAGAAAAATACTTCCAGGAAGTACCTTCATTACAAGAAATAATGGATTTCTCAGTCAGTAATAAAACATAAAAATCTCTCTCCTGGCTCTCCCACTCCAATTACCCCTTCAACAACTTATGTAAGTGTTATATAAATAACACGAATGTTCTTAGGTTGATGAAAATATAGATTCCCTTAAAATATTCAGGTTTCGCTGATTTGAGTTAATTATTTTCCTTATTCAAATTCCCTCCAAAAAACTAAAAAAACAGGAGTCATGTACGCCATGTCTTCTAAAAATGTTGAATAATCTTGTTTAGTGAAAAATCGATCCAGTAATCATGTAACAGGAAACTTGTGATTCTGTTTTAATTCAACCTCTTTCCTTTTGCTTTCATTATTTAGTAGCGATAAGTTTTATATTATAACTTTTCTGAGCAAGTTGATAAAGCACTTTTTGGAAGAAACTAAATCCACACACATGTCCCTTATATTTGTCGTCTGATAGTTAGTCAGGTTTTTATTAGAATTTCTCTTTCCCATAGCTGTCATTGAATTTTACGGGACTAGGGAAGAAATGATTGGTTTAAAGAATGGAGGATTTTAAATTTCTTGATGTATTTTTACAAACTATGAGATTTTGACCAATTTTTTATGTAGTGGTGCAAAAATAAAATAAATTAATCTATTTGCTAAACTGTGACTTGTTTGTGGTTATTGATTTATTAAATGAGTTTGAAGATTATTTACCTGTTACTTCATGAAGAATTATGAATGATAACTGTATTGTTCTCTCGCACATGAATGGTATGTCTTTCTCCTGATAATATATTTAATTGAAAATGAGTATCAGATAAACTATACTTAATTGTGCGATACCACTTTGCCCACCTCATCACGATGGCAATCTAAAATGAATGAGTAAAATAAAATAAATAAAAAATTCTTTTGACTAGTCAAATTTGATGTTTTCCATGGATTCATCCATAACCTTCTATCTTTTAAAGAATCAGTTGTTATTTACTGAATGTTTGCACTAATGAATTCATAATATCCAAAAACTGCTATACGGTCAAAGCCTGGCTTTATGATTTTTTCTAAAGAAAATTTCTGTCACGTTTCTTCAGGATTACAGTTATCTCCATATTCATAGAGTCTACACAGCCCAGTGTTCACTCTCAAGCACCATTAACTATTATTTTTTTTTAAATATTCATTTATTATTTATGTTACTTATGTTAAGGATCTTCAATTATTGATGATGGTTTACTTTTTTAGGTACAGGAAATGGTAATGTTGGAGGTGGAGGAGTGGATTCAGAAAGCGATGATTCCGAAGTAGGTCGCCTTCAGGCATTATTAGAGGCCAGGGGGCTGCCACCCCACCTTTTCGGAGCTCTTGCTCCTCGTATGCACCACCTGCTTCACCGCACAATTGGCACTAACACTAGTAATTATAATTCTAAATTTTTTAAAAATTCTCTTAGGTCTTATGAGAAATAATTTTGTTTCAAAATCTTGCCCTCTTTTATGTATTTGTATGTATATAATTGGTATTTCTTAGATTTAATAACATTTTTTTTTTTTTCAGTTTTCATATGTATAATGTATTTTTTATTTATTTTGAAGGATGTTGGTGCACCTTAAATCTATGGCACTTTTGAATATTGCCATTTTTTGGGTATCCCTTTGTGTATTTCAAAACTAATTTTTTCTCTTTCTTTGTTTCTAAATTGGTGATATGAGGTATTATTATTATTATTTATTATTGGTTTTGGTTATATAACAAAATGGTTGATTATAAAGAAAGAAAGAGAAAATTATGCAATTCTTAAAATTTTGCTTAACCCTCTATTCACAAGGGGCAGAAAAATAATTTTGCAATACAGCATTTTGTGTTAAGGTTATTAGATTCATGTAATTAAAAAAAAAATGTTAATATTTAATCAATCTTAAGAAGACACAAATATGAAAATTTTTACAGCAATATTTTTTAATTATTAATTTTTAAAATTAGACATCATAATGATACTATGAGTGTACCTACCCCAGAATGATCTCACATTAGATAGCTATCCCTTTTCCTTAATTTATTTGATGTATAGGTGACGTCAGCAAAACATGTTTTTTGTTTCGTATATACAATATAATATTATCTAGATAGTTCATCCAACACTTACAATTTGTGAAGTTTCATTCTTTACGATGACTCTTAAAGCACTTTACTTAATAAGCAATTTTCCCACTGAAAAATATCCCTCCAGTTGAATAGTTAAGTAATAAGATGCAGCTTTCCTTGAACTTGTACTAATCCATTATTGTACTCGCTTAAGAACTATTTTTTTATTGCATTAAAACATTGGTTTGTGGTTCTCTCACTGAGATTATAGAAATCTATTACTAAGAGTATTGAAGCCATACCTGGGTCTACATATGTTTGTTTTTTTATTAAATATATCAAAATGTTTCTTTCTGTATTATCCTAGGTTTCCAAGGGGCCATAGAGGTATTCTCCTCTATCTTCCTTTTCAATTGATGTTTAGTTCGTCGAAGACTAAAAAGCAATATTTTAATATTTAAAACCTGAACATTTGATAAGTACCCCCATGGGAACAATAGCATCCAAGAAGCTCATGTCCTGCCCACTTTTTTATGTTCTGTATGACGTTTATTTTGAGAAACATGTTATTTAATTCCCATTTGGAGCGTCTTCTTAACTTGAACTCTTCCACATATTCCGTGAATGATTTTGCTTTCAAATATCAGATCACGTTCATCATTTTGAGTGAGTGACCATGTCTCAGAACCATAGAGGAAAACTAGCAATATCAAGATTTTATAGAAGCATGACCATGTTTTGTCTACAAAATATCTTGTAAACCAGCTGAAATAGCAGCTGTTGGCGATAATCATTTAAAAAAAAGAACGACTAGCTAAAAATGTAAAAAAATTTTTTTGTCTAATTTAGATCACAAATTTCGTTTAAAGAAAAAATTGAAGTTTTCAGAATCCATTTATGAGTGGATAGCCCATTTTCATAGTCAAGAATTAGTTAAATAGATATAAAAAATTGAACTGTTTTTCTATTTATTTCCTTAATTTTATTTGACACAATAAATGATTATTCTCACTTAATGATCCTTGTAGAACATATTAGTTAAGTGTGTTGGATTTGTGAACTTATTTAAATGTTAACAATATTTTTAGGCACAAAAGCTCAACAGTTACTCGTTGGGCTTCAAGCAACTTCTGATGAGGGACAGCAAATGCAGGCAGTAATTGAAATGTGCCAAATGTTGGTGATGGGAAATGAAGATACATTAGCTGGTTTTCCTGTAAAGCAAGTTGTCCCTGCATTAATAGCCCTCCTGAATATGGAACATAATTTTGACATGGTATTATATTTATTTGCTTATTTTTAATCTTATATATTTGCTTAGTTTTTGAAATCTGAGATACTATTCTATTAATGGCTACAACATTTAGGTTTTAATTTTCTGGTGGCAACATTTTTTTTTTTTTTTTTTCAGTAATTCATTAGTAAATTAAATCTTCCTTTTGAAAATAATTGTAGTAAAAAAAAATTGTTTTTTTTGTTATATATTTTAAAATATAAATAAAAAATAGTATACAATTCCAGATAAAATATTGGCCGCCACATTGCTAAAGCCTATGTTAAGTGCCAAAACTAAAGTTATTCATAAAATGAAATAAACTACACATGTCTTATTTTATGATCTAGATTTTTCTCTTAATTTTTACTGCATGCTCAAGACAAAAATATAATGTTTCAAACAAAGTCCAGTCATGTGTAAAGGCAGTTTTAACCTCGTATAAATACAAGGTATACATACATGAAACCAATGATAACAGCCTGTAAATAATTAATGTGTATTTTGTTTATTTAAAATTTCATATTTTAAATCTCTATTGATTAAAAATATAGGCTCTGCTGGAAAATGTTATTGTTTAAATTTAATATATTCAAATTCGGTACTAAAATTTTATCCTGTTACAGATGAATCATGCATGTCGTGCACTCACCTATATGATGGAAGCCTTACCTAGGTCATCTGCTGTTGTATTAGATGCTGTACCTGTTTTTCTAGAAAAACTCCAAGCAATCCAATGCATGGATGTTGCTGAACAATCACTAACAGCTCTTGAAATGTTGTCACGTCGCCATAGCAAAGCCATTTTGCAAGCTGTAAATTTAGAATTCAATATATTTGCTTTAAATTATATTAAACATTTAAAATTATTTATTTTAATTATTTTCCAGCGTGGTGTATGGGCTTGCCTTATGTATTTAGACTTTTTTTCCATTAATGCACAGAGATCTGCTCTTGCTATTACGGCAAACTGTTGTCATAATTTGTTACCTGAAGAGTTGCATTTAGTTTCACAATCTATACCGCTATTAGCTAGCCGTCTTACTCAGCAGGTATTTATTTTAATTTCTCTTAATTATTTAGATTTTTCTTTATTAGATTTTTGTGATTAATATTTATTTATTGTTGAAATTCAATAATAGTGTTTAATAAGTAAGGTCTGCAAAAAAAAAAACTAATTGGAAATTTCTTAAATGTACATAAGGCCAGGCACACACGTTTCGGTATACCTGTAACATTTGAGAGCATGTGTGACAGCCACTGCGGGCCTAAAAGTGCACAGGCTTAGCGACCTATGCCGGTGGCCGGAGAAGAATCAAAATTCCATTTTTTATAGCTGCTCAGGCTTGTAGACATGAATGTGTGTGTGTCACTCCAGCAAAACTGTACAATTTTTAATCTGTTAAAGCAATCACATTGTCTTCTTGTTTTCTCGCCATCTCTCGACTGTGTGACTTACCATAATGTGTGTGCTTTAGCCTGCACAGGTATACCTTTCCATTTTACCTGACAGGTATATTAAACTTGTGTGCCAGGCCTGATTTACATTGTATTGTACATTTTAAAAAAATATCATATATAGAATATTTTAAAATTTGATTTTTCTCTTGAGTTCATTTAAAATTAATGTTCTAAATTTTATCCATAATATTTTTTATGTAAATGGGTTTACTAATATTTTTCACAAATCACTTTTTATTAAAATTACTAAGACCAAAAATTAAAAGCTCATTCAATTTATTTGGATAATGTAAGAAGATCATGGTAAAAAAACAATGGTCTCTAAAACTCACAAAAAATAACTATTTCAAATTTTTTATTTTTCTAATAAGACTTATTGTTTTTGTTTTTAGGATCAAAAAAGTGTTGAAAGCGTTTGCTTGGCTTTAAGTCGATTGGTAGAAGGATTGCAGTCAGACCCACCGAAACTTATGCAGATAGCTAGCACCGAGCTTTTAACTAATCTTCAGCAATTGGTAAGAATCTTTAATTTCATAAATGGATTATGAATCATTAATTGCTGAAAATCCTCATCTATGATTCTGTAAATATGGACATTGGTTTTCTGCAGTTCATGATTTAAATATACTAATTATTCTTAGTGATAGAATCTGAAAAAGATGCTTTTTACTATATTTTTTTTATATACAATAATTCACAATTCTTTTGGTACCAACCCACTTGTCTTTGCCACAGATATAACTATCCATAGTGGCACTCGCCAGAGCCTCCAAAGTATCCTCTCCAGAACAGGTGTTACCTCCTTCAACCCTGACCGAGCCATCTCTTTTCTTTGATAATATTTTGTAGACTGGACGTGTATGACGTGTCATTAATGATCTTAAGACAGCATTTGTCTTTTTCCTCGAACTGTATGCAGTATCTCTCCCAATTTGTACATTTTGGGTTTCTGTATAGAGACTCCAGTTGCATTATACCCAGACAAGTCAAATCTGATATAACGGTAGTCAGAGCATGATTTTTCACCAGAAACATGCTATCCTCTTATCCTAGAATCTCAATATCGAGGCTTCTTAAATACTCTAAGAGGGGTTCACCTATCTTGTTGTTCTTAGAGCTTCCCCATATCCTGTGGTGCGCATCGGCATTCAGTCCTGCTATCACCGTTTCTTTTTCCATCCTTTCCCCTAAGCTTCTAAGAGCTGCTGTAGGGATGTCCGTACGGAAGATACCGTACTGACATGATGATCCTCCTCCCATCTTTACCTTCAGAAAAGGCTTAGCTAAGCTGTTGCCAGGTCTCGGAAACAATACAACGCCTGGCCCTGCTGGGTGTCACGAGAGCTTATAGAACGGTGTCCCACGAGGCAGTGCAGGTGCTGGCCGGAGCGATGCCGCTGGATCTAATTCTCAATCAGAATACAGGTTCTGAGACACTCAAGCACTGCAATAATGCTATACCTAGTCATGTCTAATCCCTAATCCTGCTCTCGAACAGGTAATGTTCTTAAATCCGTATGATCAATATCCTTACCTCTAACATACTGCTGAAGTGCTCCACAAGCTGCCACGTAGTGATGGAGATTCACCTGCAACAGCTTAACCACCATTAAAGGAAGCCAGCTGCAGAAGAACCACCTTCCGCCAGGGTCTGAGGGGGTACATCGGCGATTTCATGTTTCTCCGGTCCAGAGACCGCCCCCTTCCCCCCACCGGAGATAGCCTTCCCGAGCTGGCTCAGACTCTACTACATTTCTAATAGTGGAAGCAGAAATTCTTCCTATCTCCTCTACCTGGGGAACTTTTAAAGAAGCAGTACCCACCTTTGTGGTCTGCACAATAGGTTTGGGCGGCTTCTTATTCTCAAACACCTTGAGTAGTGCAACTTTGGCCACGCCTCCATCATGTTTCTGCCCTCAAGGTTTTTGATAGTTATTTCAGTGATTCGAAGGATTCCATAGAGTCCATTTGTTTTTTCTGCCTTAGTTCCCAACACCTGCCAACTGCCGATGTCCGGGATCCTACCATTTTGAATCCGAAGTCTCCTAATAAGTAGCTACTCCAGAATTTTCTCGCCAGGGCAGTATGCCCCTACCCTGATAGCTTTTTTGAGTTCCTCAACACTACCAGCACGAAGTTTAATAACCCCACTGATAGTGAAGCCATCCAATACACTATAGAGCTCCCTCCACCTAGCTTGGGTGTCGTAGAAGAATCCACACAATTGCCCTCTAAATTAGAGGCCAGAAGTGTGGATCCCCATCTCTGTCGTTTGCGTGTCCCATTGGACTCCCTGGGGTCACCAAGAGGTGACAGTAGGCGTTGATAGCAATAGGGAGGACTGAGAAGTCACAAGCAGTGGGTACGGCACTACTGCTTGATCATTCCACAAGGAGTGAGGGAGATTTCTGCACCCATCTCTCTCTCCATCCCTCCTGTTATCCCCTACTCATTTGTTCCCCATGAATTTCCCTTAGTGAAATAAACAAAATATATTGCACTTAGTATAATTATTTTTTACATTTAATATGATTTGTGTTATTTTGGTGCACTTGATGAGTGTTGTATTGTCAATACGATTTAAATTCACAAATACATAATTGAAAGTTCATTGTGATTGTTAGTGTATTTAACGGTTTATTTGCAATTAACCAATGATATTTTATAAGTAATGTAAGTTATAGTTTATGTAATTTTTTATCACAAATTGATTTATTTTTTCTTTATTTAACACAATTAATCATGCCAAATCAGCTTATATCTTACTATCATTAAAAGACTTATTTTAATTTTAACCTTTTAATACATTTTTCTTTCCTTTTTTTTTTTTTATAGCTTGTGGTTTCTCCTCCTTTAATCAACACTGGGACATTTATTACTGTTGTCCGTATGCTTACTATCATGTGTGCTAACTGTCCAGAGTTGGCTCTTACCCTTTTAAAAAACAATATTGCAGAAACGTTATGTTATCTTCTTACTGGTAGAGCTGACACTTCTCAGGGAGAGGTATAACTTGTTATGAATTAAATTTTTATTGTTTATTTTTTATATATATAAATATTGATAATTATTATGTTAACTATTGACTTAAGTTTGTTATAAAATAAAAGAATGTACATATTTTTAGATTTGTGGTCGAAAATATAAATAGGTTAATTAGTCTCTCTGTATGAAGAATTTAAACATAAGCTAATTCAGCCAAGGATGAAACATAAGAAATATAAATATGAATATTTTTTCAATTGTTCATCATGAATAAATAAAATATAATAATTATTAGATAATTTATTACAGTATTTTGATTTAATTGAATTGTATATTTAAATACTATTTGCAGATGGAATTAACTGGTCGTTCACCTGCTGAAGTTTATGAAATGACTTGTCTTATTGGAGAGCTGATGCCTCGTCTTCCACAAGCTGGTCTTTTTGCTGTGGACAGTCTTCTCGAGCGTCCATCACCTCGTTCTCCTCCGACAGACTCAGTTTCATGGCAATGGAGGGATGATGCTGGTCTTTGGCATCCATATACGCCAATAGATTCACGCATAATAGAGGTACTTTATATCATACTATGTATTATTATAATTGTATATCTTATGACTTTTGGTTTATCATTTTCAATAATCAATCAGTGTACTCGTCCAAAAAATTCAAAAACTTAACCCCCCTCATGATTTAGGATTTTACATTTCAGGATACTTAGAACTCAAAAATCAAATAAAAATTATTTTTTCTGTAAGCAGCCGCGCATTTTCTCCGAGACTACTGGACCAATTTTTTTGAAATTTGGAATCAAAGTCAGATGTCCCCTGAGGATGATCCTCAACATTTTTATCCGCCTTTTCTTTTCAAGATGGCGCATGAAAAACCTGTGTTGCTATACTGTAGCGCCTAAACAATTGTATCCATTTCAATGAAACTTGGCTTGAATCTTCTCCTCGATGCCCCTTAAATGTATGTATAGAACATACTTCACCGAAAAGTACTTCCCTTTCAAGATGGCGGCTGAAAGACCTGTGTCGTATAGAACGGAGCGCCTGAACGGATGTACCGATTTCAATGAAACTTGGATAAAGTCTTCTCTTTCGAAACACTTAAAGTTTATCTATATAACATACTTAAATGAAAAGAAACTGGAAAAAAAGTTACAAGGGAAAGTAAAACTAAATTTCCAAATAACTCAGCAAGTATACACTTTTTTGTTGATGTGTATGGATGGCCATTTAAAAGTTGACAAAATTTCCTAAAATGCGAAAGAAAGAAAAAATTGTTAAAATTTGACAAATTGGTGCAAATGTATGGTTTTATAAATATTTGTCGTATGGTTTTATAAATATTTGTCGTATAGTTTTATAAATATTTGTCGTATGTTCTACTGCAAAGCTTATTTCCTTTGTTTTGGTTTTTAATATCCTAAAAGTGTTTAACAATCAACTGAAGCAGTGTGTTTTACTAATATTACTAATGGTGAAATAAAAAATTATTTAGGGCAATATTAGAAATCACTTTTTATTTATTTTGTCCTTATTTTACAAGGAAAGTAATGTTACTTTTGATATATAATTGTTTGGAAATAATAAACCATTGTGTAATAATTTGCAGTGTTTTTTTAAAGATATGAACTTGTTTGATTATTTTTAATTTCAATAATTATTAATTATTTAATTACATAAACTTGTCATCTCATTAGTCATGTTCTGTTGTCCTTTAATGGAAAATTTGTCAATTATAGTTTTTTCAATGAAACAAGTTTTTACAATATAAAATATGAAGTTTTGAGAAAGTTATAATTTATATAAGTTGGTTTCAGCATCTTTATTAATTTTTTTAAATTTTTTTTTTTGTAGGCAGCGCACCAAACTGGTGAAGATGAAATGTCTTTGTCAACTTTTGGAAGAACTTATACTGTTGACTTTCATAACATGCAGCAGATAAATGAAGATACTGGGACATCTAGGCCTGTGGAAAGAAGGCTAATTCGACCTCAAGCTCTGTCTCAATCCCAGGCAGTCAACAATAATACAAGTCCAAATCAAGAAAAGTGAGAAAACTTAATTATTTTTGTGATATCTTGTTTGAGGTTTTTTTCCCCCCTTTCCATTATTCTAATGGTGATCAACCTATTCTAACTATAATGATAAGATTGATTCTCATTCTTTGGGTCTATCACATAATAAATTTGAACACACCTAGGCCAGAATCGAAATGGCACTGCTTCTGACTAGATAGTAGTATAAGTTTTGGAGGCCCGAGCCAAGGAAGTTTAGAATCATATGTTTAATCCAGTGTGTAGGTAGACCAGGCGATATACAAAACCACTGTTCCTTGAAGTTTCTCTAAATTAATGTAAATTTAGACCTACTAAATAGATAAGAAGACTTCATTTTGATCTCTTTCTTATTTCAATAATTACTTCTAGCCGCGACGAAGGTGAAGTGTTTGACCTGTGCTTTTGTAGTTATGTAATGATTTTTTCAGCAAACTGGTCTACTTATTTTCAAGTCTGATAAATCAAATTTTTTAGTGAGATCTAGTAGATCATTTGAAACAATTTGACAGTATAATAATGAAAAATGATTGTATTAAATGTGTTAAATTTGTTCATTCTGTTTGTTTATTAACAAAGGATATTTAACTATTTCTATATTCGATGAACATATATATTGTCAATACTTAAAAAAACTAAAAAAGTTAAAGTGAAAAATATTTAATTAAAAATCCTAACAACATGAATAATTCCATTTATCCTTACTAATGGAGTGTACTTCTTTATCTATTTAAGTGCACTAGGTGGGTTGTAGGTGAAATGGATTTCTGAATACTGCAAATTAGTTTAGTAGTCAGGTGCCTTACACACTCAAATGAAACTTGAGAATTGTGGCGAATTAAGTGTATATGTATACATAGAGCCTAGTATATTTGCAAGGAGTTGTGATGTGTAATATCTCTGGAGCCAGGGCCCAAAAATCGACCTGATCGCAGGCGAAGGTTTGATTGTAAATTACGAAAGTGTAAAAAGTCAAAGTCGAAAAAATCTGACTTTTTTGGCTGTAAAAAGTTTTCCCTTGGTGGCCCGCGTTAGCAATTTTGTTTTTTACATGTCTAAACCCATATATGCAACTTAAAAAAATAAAAACTTTTCTCACATTTTTCGCAATGGATTTCCCGTTTCGATCCTCAAATCACTGGCCTTATATTCTTTAAACCAGCCGCCATTTTTGAAAGCAGCGGCTCTGGAACGGCAGACAAGTTTTTTTTTACTCAGAATAACATAAACTTTCGCCTGCGATCAGGTCGATTTTTGGACCCTGGCTCCAGGGCTATAATAGAAGGCACACGACTATTACACCAAGTTTCTGCAGTATCTATAAAATGAGAGAGCTAGCCCGGCCGAAAAGGATCAAGTGATATTAGGAAGTAATGCAGCAAATAAAAAAAATCTGTACCACTACAATCCATGAAGGGTCATGGATTCAGTGCTATGTGATGAAGTACTCTTTCTTGGTCAATGGTTTTACAAGGAGGCGATTTGACCGAGATCATGCTTAACTGCCAGATTTCCCCCTTAATTTATTAAGAGTACCCACTTTGTAGAGCCTGAGTGTGCCCCAGGAGGGTCTTCTGAACCCGGCCGATCCATGGCCAATGAAGCAGAAAAAATAATTACCTCCCATCACCTTGTATTTCAGAAATTATAAAATGAGTTGACCCATCTGTGAAGTCTATCAAGATAAGTCATGCTGAAGGGCTATATTGATATAGGCAATGGAGGCTATCAATATGAGATTTTAAAGTTACCTATTTGTTTTGGACCAACATGACCTATGACCAAGTTTTGACAATTTTATTTCAAAGCTGCAACTCAATTTGCTGTCGATTTATTTTATTATGAACTAAATTTTTAGTTATATGACTTAAAGATAGTTTGCTGGCTCAGTTATGCAATAACTTTTATAGAAATTATTTAAAGGTTTCTTTTTATTACTTATGTTATTTATTACTTTATTGCATCATAATTGTTATATATTTTATTGGTATTGTTTTAGTGAGATAGATGCTAATTTGAGAGATGTTGCTGGTGCTTTTATTCGTTCTCTTTTCTCTGTGCTTTATGAAGTCTATTCAAGTTCTGCCGGCCCTGCTGTTCGGCATAAATGCCTAAAAGCGTTATTACGCATGGTTTACTTCGCTTCTCCTCAACTTCTTAAGGTAATTAGTCAACTCAATATTTGTGAAGTAATAACACTTTTTAAAATAAGCTTGATTTTTAGGTGACGTGATTAATGACTATATATGTTTCTATATGAGTGACTGTATGACATGATTATTAAATTGATTTTAATTTTGTCCTTTATCTGAGGAAAAGGACAAAATGAGGACTTGAGTTTAGGTTCTTTTCTCTGACAGAATTAATCAAGGTTATTTTAAACCTTGACACCTCAAGCCACACTTTTAAAACTATATTGTGATATACATCTGTATTGGAAGTTGATAAAAATGGTTTAATAAACTAATGTTGAACAGTTAAAAGGCAAGCATAGTTCTGCTTATATCGGGATGTTAAAATTTGAACAATAGTTTCACTAGTTTCGGGAAAAGAAAATGGCAACTCTGTAGTTTCCCCAAAGAGGAGAGGGACAAAGGAGTTTTGTTTAGTTGACAAACAGTGTTTAGTGTAGTTAATTTTAGTCTGTCTGAGTGTTTTGATCTGATTGTCAGTAATCCATACTGGAGACAAAATAATTATAAAGTTTAGTTTAATTTATTAATATTATTGTAATTTTGGTTTTTATTCAACAACCTCTTATTTCTTTTGCAAGTATCGCTTTAGTATGAAGTGATCTTCTGAGGTTATATTATTAGTTAAAATATAAGAGATATTTCAATATATAATCTGAAGCCATCCATTAGCAGCTCAAAATCCTTTGTGCCCTAATTGTTGCATGAACTCCATCTTTCTCATTGACCCTCCGATGGAAATGATTGGCATTGATTCAGCTATTTTAGGAGACAGATATCAACATTGTAAAAACCAGCTCTCAGCCAGTTTATCACTTGTGCCATAGTTATCTTTATTTTTTAAAAATATTGATAAGATGTTTTATGGTGCTGAATTCATTGATAGTTAGCATTTTTTTCTCTCTCGCAATTTCATCCATTCCCTTAAAACCTTCAATTTCTTCTCACAGTCAACATCTTACTTACAATGATGTTTCGAAGAAATTAGAACAAAAAAAAATATTCAAAAGAGGAAAAAACAACATTATGAATGTGCTGTCTGCTGTAGGGCTGATGAGAATGCTGGAGAGGGTATAGACTATCCTTCAACTGAGGTGATTCTTGCGACATAAGTATCTATGAAGTGACATAGGTATCACTTCAAGTTGTAGAAGTGATCTAAACTAAATTTCAAATTAAAGTCCAGGTTTACCTGGCCTGGAGTACCTGGTAAAGTCGGGAATTTTCAATATTTGAAAAGTCAAAAAAAATTTTAGAAAACAATATTGAAAAACATGGAATTCGCAAGGACAGGCTGTAGTGTGACTTATCTGTTATGATTATTAAGAATCGTTATTCGCCACGATTATTTACATAATAGAGATAAATATACAATATACATATGACAAGTCAGAAAAATCACAGTGGCATCATCAATCTTTTGAGATGAACAATATAATAATAGTGTTCTTTTTTTTTTTCCATTTTGATTGTTTGTTTTTTTTTAAATTTTACTATCAAAAATATTTATTAAGAAAACATTTATGTTTGTAAAAAGATCTTTTTGTGTTCTATTATATGTATTAAATTTTAAGAAGTATTATTAATTTTAAATTACCATTTTCAGGAAGTCTTAAAAGCACAAATGGTATCAAGCCACTTGGCTGGTATGATGGCATCTACTGATCTGAGGATTGTAGTTTCTGCTCTCCAAATGGCCGAAATACTTATGCAAAAGCTCCCTGATGTTTTTAATGTCCACTTTACCAGAGAAGGTTAGTTTTTACAGCAATTTTGTAATTTTATTTTTAATAAAGTATAAATGAAGTCAGTTTTCATATTTATATTAAATAAATATATCGTGTAGAAATTTAGTCTTTCCGCTCTCCTTTTATTTTAATAATGATATTCTTTATTTATTCTGAGACAAGTTTTTGTAATAATACACAGTCACAGAATCATGGGCTTTATAGCTTCAGAGTTAAATAAAAAAACAAAACAATAAAATAAACAAATAAAAATTATATATTAATAAGTTCACTTTTATTAATAAATTGAAAAAAAAATGAAAGAAATGTGAAATAGTTATATTAATTAGAAAAAAATAATAATAATTTAGATACATTTTTACATAAATGTCTACAATATTTTGGGAAATGAATGGATAAGAAGTGATTAAATAGGTATGATTTAAAGGTGGGGAGAGTATTGGATAGATGTAGGAAGGGAAAGTGTTCCATAGGAATGAGGACCGAATAATCAAAGATCTGTATTGAAATCCGCAGTTCAGTGGGCCATTATAAGTAAATTTGATGAGCAACGAGTGTTATGATAGATAATAATAGAGGATTTCAATTTAAGAAGCTTGGAGATGTATGAGGGATGGCAGTTTGGATGACTTCAAGTAGTGTAGTAATCAAGCCTCCCACCTCCCCTTTATATATTATACAGTTTTTAATAGATTGAAATAGCCTTTAATATGTTTATTTAAATAATGAAAATAAATTATAATGCATTGCAATATAAACTACCTCAAGTTTAAATTACTCGTTTTAATCAGCTTGAAAGCTAAGCCTCTTATCACCCTTTAAAAATAAGTTGAATGACGACAATATTGTCATTGGGTTTTATGGTGTCTAATAATCCTAAGTTATTATTTCTAATTTTTATGCTTTATGAACTGTGAAATATGTCTTGGTAATTTTAAATTGTGTACTAATAATCATTATTGGGTGATCAATATTCAGGATGCAGTCTTTTTTAAAAATTTTTTTATTTTTGCCAACGTTTCAGCCCAAACATGTGGGTCATCTTCAGGGCTGAAAATGTTTTTTTTTAAATTACAATCAGAGATATAATAGTATACGACTGCTAATTATAAATAATAAACTATAGTGATTGATGGCACATGAATCTTAACTGATATTGTAATACACATATTAAAATAGTTATACAAACTAAAAATAAAAATAAAAAATAATTTATATAATCCATTTATATAAATTATTTTCTATTTTTATTTTTAGTTTGTATAACTATTTTAATATGTGTATTACAACATTAGTTAAGATTCATGTGCCATCAATCACTATAGTTTATTATTTATAATTAGCGGTCGTATACTATTATATCTGTGATTGTAATTAAAAAAAAAACATTTTCAGCCCTGAAGATGACCCACATGTTTGGGTTGAAACGTTGGCAAAAATAAAAAATTTTTTTAAGAAGATTGCGTCCTGAATATTTATCACCCATGATATGTAGAACAGTCGAGTAACTTCCTTCAAGTAATAATCATTAAGTTTTGTTCAATGAATCTATAATTTTTAAGTCAGTGTTGAGATTAAATAATATTGGTTGAATGTGAAATACAGGGGTAATACATGAAATAAAACAGCTTGCTGATCCTAACATTCCAATTGGTGCTTCTCCTTCTAAGACAACTCCTGCTTCTACATCACCTACAGATTCGGCATCAACTCCAGGTCCGTCAACAGCTGCTGTTTCTCCTCCAAATGGTACTGTCTATACTAGAATAAGTAAGTTCTTATGTTACATTTTATTATATGTATTTTCTTATATTAATTGTACAAGTCGATTGATGAAAATATTAATTATAGAGCTCTGACTAATTTGCTTTATACTTATAAAATATTCACCAGTACATACTTTTATTTCAAGATTACAGTCAAGTAATTGATGAGTGGCTGTATATCCAAGGCAGACATCTATCATTTTTAAAAAGTTGAGAAAAAGTCAATGTTTTAATTTCTTTTATCTATGCAGCTGCCTATGTATTCAATAGCGATGTTTAGTATGGTTATATTTTAATTATAATGCTTTTATATGATTCTTGGATTCCAACATTTAAGTTAAAATGTAAGGATGGTGAAGGTAGCACAAAATTGTATTTGTAACTGATGAAGTTGTTAATAATTTTACTAAACGGTGTAGTTTGTATGTATTACCAAATAAAAAATAGATAAAATGTTTATACTTGCAAAATATTTACTTCTATTTCAAGAATATGATATTGTGAAGTAATATATGAGTGGTCTCATATCTAAGATGGACATCTGTCATTTTTCAAAAGTTTAGAAAAAGCCAATTTTTGAAACATAGCTTAAATTTTTACCAATTCTAATGATTTTTTTTCTTCATAATTCAACTTGAACATTCTTAAATAAAATCATCAGTAACAGTTTAAGTTGAACCTATAAAACTAAAATTAATTTTTCTCGACTTTTTGAAAATGATAAATGTCCATCTTAGCTATGAGAACACTCGTATATTACTTCACAATATCGTAATATTGAAAAAAAAAGTATATATTGCTAAATATTTTGTTAGTGAAAACATTTTATTTTTTTTTTATTTGGTAATACATTCAAATACTTAGTTTATTAAAATTATTAACATCTTCATATGTTACAAATACAATTTTGTAATACTTTCTGAAATGGGATGTACCATCATTTTTAATATGATATGGTACAGATGATTGGGTCTTTGAAATGAACAAGTGGACTGTATTTAATGAACTATAATTATATTTAAACAGTATGTAAAGATGGGAGTTTGGCGTATAATGTTACAATCCTTTACTTGATGATTGAGGTTCGGTGGTCGGCCGGCTGCTACACTTCTCACCTCCATGGGTCCGGTAAGTCCCCGTGTTCTACTCCATGCCTCTTCCCATGGTAGAACAGCATGAAAGGTAATCTTGAAGAGGCTAGAGTATTCGTCTTCTTCTCCGTGTGGTTTCAGTCGCCCATTTTTTCTCTACTACTAGTTTTTAGTACAGACAGCGCCACCGTCGCTGCAGTGTTACCTACTTCGCTGGTCTTTTACATGTACCCCATGAAAGGGAGGGGAGTAACATCAATTTAGGGTGATCAACCCTAAACACTTTCACCATCCTTACATTTTATATTAATTTTTACGTATATTTATAAATAATATTGTAAAAACATTTCCTTTTTGATTTATATCTCATGCACAAGAAAACAAAAGTTTACATTTTAAATGATATGATAAACTCACAATTATACTACTCATTTACATCTCTGTAAAAACCTTTTTGTTGAATTTAATCTAATTTATTTATTTGCTAATATTAGATTTTCGTATAATTTTTTTAATTGCTTGATTGTATAATATATAATATATAGTATAATAAAATGTTTAATAGTTTTCAATTTAACAAAATCCATCCTTTTTTTTTTTGTTATTTTTTGATCAATTAATGACTGTCTAGTATTTCCATTTTTCCCATGTTATATTTTTTGAAAATGTTGGACTGGAATATTTTCCTGCGTGTTCTACATGCACCCTTCCATATAGATTCTTATCTTATTTAATATTGTTTTTAAAGGTTCTGGTGGGAACGTTGCTGCTACAACTAACTGCAATCCTACTGATGATACGATCAGTGTAGAAGATGATGATATGCCTTTAAGCGACTGTTCTCCAATTACTCGGTATTTTATTTATTCAATATTTGATTTACTTAGCTAGTATTGATGATTTAATTTAATGATTGAAATTTAATTAAGGTTCTTTTATTACACTGTTCTACATTGATATTGTATATCACTTAAAAAAACCGCCTCATTCCATGTCTCTTGGTGTGAGAAATTCGAATTAATGCATAAAAATCATCAGTTAGCTCTAGTTTCAAAGATATGGTTACTTTTTGCCAAATATAGGGAAATGTCCTGCTCCTGGGTTGGTACGATTGATTTATGTCTGTGAATCACAGAACCATTTTGCTGACAGTTGTATGCAGTGTTTACATTTTAAGTTACTCTTGACATGATTTTTCTTGATTCAGGCGTTTTTTCAACTATTTTGTTGTAATAACACAATAGTTTTGGTGAAGTCGCAATGCCCAGGAAGTGTGTGAATACTCCTGACAAATTTTGTTACATTTATGGGGTAGTAACCTTTGAAAGTCACAAACCTCCTATCACCCAGATGATCAAGTATTTTACCATTCAGTATACCACAAGTTTGGTATACAAGACACCATAGGGTGAAGTTTGGTGACGAACATAAACCGTGGGCTCCGCACATCTCCTACATCACACGCAGCCTAACCTTAAGAGAATGGTTGAACCTGAAACTGGTGGCAGTTCTTCTTGCCATGCAACAGGAATATGCTAAGTAGTGTTGTTTCTTATGTGAGTGGGACAATTGGGACAGAGCGTCTCATTACATCAGGAATGAATGGCCTCAAAGAGTTGTTCTGATCCCTGAACAAAAAAATGTTCTTTACAAACCTCTTGTGGACCCTGAAAAAATCATTTTGCCTCAACTACATATAAAGTTAGAGCTCATGAAAGATTTTGTCAAAGGAATGAACCAATCGTGTGAGGCATTAAAGTACTTGAGAGGAAAAGTTCTTCGCTTAAGTGAAGCTAAGGTTAAAGAGGGTGTATTTGTTGGTCCACAAATCTGTGAGCCTCTTAATGATAGGGAATTTTTTAATATTGTTCTGGGTAAAGAAATAGCAGCGTGGGAAGCATTTACAGCTTTATTTAATGGTTTATTGGGTAACAAAAGATAGGAAAATTATGCTGTCTTAATCCAAACCTTCCTTGAGAAGTACAGAGATCTCAGTTGTAACAAACGTCACTCACGATTCAATTTCTTAACTCTCATTTGGACTTCTTTCCCGAAAATTGTGGATCTGTAAGTGACAAAGATGATGGGCGATTTCACCAAGATATATCCTCGATGGAATGAAGATATCAAGGTCGGTGGGATACTTCAATGCTCGCGGACTACTTTTGGAATGTTTTGAGGGATTTGCCAAAACATTTGTACAACAGCGCTGTTCTAGCTGAGAGAAGTTGTAATTTAATGTTTTGTGGGTTGTAAAAGTATTTCACAAGTAATAAAGCACTTTTAAAGTCTAAAAATGATTGTGTAACTTCCAATAACTTATTTTTTGTGTTCAATACTGGGTATAGGTATCTGCAGAACGGTAGCTAATTTAAGGATTCTGACAGAAAATTCGAGTTTCTCACACCAAAATTAGTCGAGAGAAACAGTTTTCATCAAAGATACTCACAAACAAAAATAAGCAGTGTTATTGGTTTTTAGCGACTGTTTCTTAGCTTACAAATTTTTGTAATTTGAAGTGATAGTGGTTGTCTTGATCTATAATTGGTATTATTTCCTATAATTTTGTGAAATAATGTAAAATGTTTGATCTTGTTATAGGTATTTCCTCTTGCTTGTTATAACTATCTTGCTAAATAGTGAAACTTCTGACTGTTGTTTCATCTGCTTTAAAAAAAATATGAAATATATGTATGTAGATCGTTGATATATGAACACATGTTTATGGAATTTGATAATGTTTATCAATGCAAAAAGTTTATAATTGATTCAAAGTAATATATATATATACATGTATACTAGAAATAAAAAAGCAGTTAAGATACTTTTAAGGATATAAGGAAAAAAAAAGAAGGCAAATATTAACGATTAATTTTACCATCATAATGTTTCTTTCTATAATTATTTCTGTTAGTTACTCTTTTATTTTTTTCTGATCAGATAATCTTGGAATTTAATAAAAATGATAGTAATGTTTTTATTACTGAATAGTCCTGTTATCCTTTTTTTTTTCAGCTCAAGTCATCATGATTATGAGTCTGAAATAGGGCTTAGAACGTCTGTATTTAGGTAAATATTACCTTCTATGAATTACTTATGATGGAATTTCGGACTGATCAAGTCAAAATTTTATAACAAACTGTCTCCCTTTGCGCATTTGAATTTAAAAAAAAATATATCAGTAAATAAGCAAAAATAAATAGCAAATAATATTATAACAATGGATCAAATGATAATTTTTTTGGTTAATCTAATCTGTCGGTAAAATCTTCAAACTTATTGATTCCTTTCACTTTCTGTAATATTTTGATAGTTCATCATTGTGGGTTTTTTTTTTTTTTTTTAGATATTGATACAATGTCCTAAAATGGTTATCATTATGTAATTAGTTGAATACTGTTTGTTGGTTTGTAAGAACTTCGATATACAAGTTGTTTGAGATTTGAATGGTTAATCTCAAAGGAAAATTGGAAGATCCTCTTAAGTTTACTGTCCCTGCCCCTCTCCCACTCTAATCCAAGATTATAAGGCTATTCTTGCTATGTAGAAATGACAAGTAGTTGTTAAAACTAATTTTAATAGTTTATGGGGTAGAACACCATTCACTGAATAATGTGAGTCGAAAGTAAAGATATTTCACTTTTTTTTCATATTTAGAGATTTCGCTGTTAAGAAGTGTTTAGAAATGTCATTTTTATAAATTAAGTTTCATAATAAGTGTTATCTAAATCATAACACTCAATTGGATAGTTTTTACATATTTGTTTTGACTCTTCTAATTAAAAAAAAATTGTTCATATTTGAAAATTAAATCTTATTTTTTTACCAATGATAGTTGCCTATTTACATTATGCATACATTTGTTGTTTGATTTTTGGATGCCAAGGGACAGCCTTTTCTTTCTGAACTTATATCACATTATCTGCTGCATTAATTTATTTTGCTACTCAGGTTTCTAGTGGTATTGTTATCTACCTTATGTCCGCCATATATATCGATTAAAAATTATAATTAACCAAGATATATGAACATTTCAATCTAATTAGTTAATTAGATCTTTGAAGTTATCTAATCAGAAAAATTGAGAACATTTTAAAAATGTATAAGGAGATATATTTACTTGTTTTAATTTCAGTTTCATGCTATCGTTATACTGTATTTTTTATTTTGTTGTTCCAATAGGAGAATGCGGGAATTGAGAAAACAGAAAAGAAGTTCTAAAAGAGAAAAGCATAAGCAAGAGCCTGATATGTCATCAAATATTCAGGAACTTATCGCCAAACATAAGCAGCATTGTAAGCATATCAACTTAAATTTTAATAACTTTCCAGATTTTAAATTTATATGTTTTAGTTCTTTGTGTATCATTATAAAGTTGCAATATTTTGTGGTAGTTTAAAAAAATATTTTCACTCACGTGTTTATATATGTCGTAAAAAAAAAGTACTTTCATTGAAATGTCTTTTTACTTTACTTACTTATATATGATATATATAGTAAGATAAAGTATTGTGATCGTAAAAATGTTTGAATCTTAATTTTCAATGAATACATGTTTTAAGGTCTCCTGAGTCCAAATAACCAAGTCTAGCTCAAAAACGAAAAGTTGTATGAAAATGAAATTGTATATTTGAGGTTTGCATTCACCTGGGATGTTACAGCAACGTTTTCTTCAAAATCGGTTAACCGGAAGTGGTACTTTATATAATCAATTTTACATAATTTTACGATTTTCTTGAAAAGGGCTCTTAACGATTTTGATTAGATTCATTATATCAGTGTTAAATTAAGCAGTTTTTAATAAAATGTAGGTTTTATCCTTATTGATGTTCTCTAACAGGGCTTAAATGGCTAATTTTCAGTATTTCTTTCTCTAAAGTAAATTTAATTTTTTTTATTTGAAATTATTAACTATTTTATAATTAACTCTGATATTAAAAATAGTTAAATAGAAAATATGAAAGAATTTGATAATTAACTAAAGCAGAAGTAAGAGATCGTTATAAAGAATAGTTGTAATAGAGTGACCAAAGGAATATGAGAATGCCTCTGGGCTCACCCGAACTCGCCCAAAAGATTAGAACAGGCTACTATACGTAATGTGAGCTTTATATAATACTGACTTTGACAATATTATATACATAAACATATGCGGTTTTTATGAATACTATCTTTTGAATTATTTAATATTTAATTATATAGATTACAGCAATATTAAAATTAAAATTTGTACCTCTATATACCGGTACTTAAAAAAATAAAAATACCCAAAATATAAATAAATATAGTGGCTTTCTGTATCTGTGGCACTTAATTATTTACTATAATCAAATGACCAGATTTTTATTGATAAAATATTCTCACACTGGTTCTCAGGCACACTGGTACATTAAAAAATTATCATTTATGTACTTATTGTTATCCAGAACTATTTTATTGATTTTTCATTTTTTTTTTATTATATCTTAGTTTTTTCATGGAGTTCATTTGATGCTGTCCATGAGTTTATTTAATTCCTGAAATTCTGTTTTTATTTTTTTAGCAAATAGTTTGGGCCTTCAAGGTAGTAGAGGTACAAGGTCTCGTTTGAGCGGAGCTACTTCTAAGACAAGTAATTTTCTCGCATCTCTTAATCCTGCTCGATGGGGAAGAACCAGTGATAGAACAGGATATCATAAAGTATCATTTCATAAGGTATTCCAGTTTTATGTTTTTTGTTCAATTTTAATACTAATTTTACTATAATACTGTAAAAAAAATAAAATGTTTACCATTTGTCTTTAGTATCGATTGAAATAAAGACAAAATCAAAATATAGCTTGTCTCTTCAAAATATTTTGAATTAATTTGTGATATTGTGAGACAATTCATGAAATGAATCCAGGTTAAAGAAATATCTATGTTTTAAATTATACAAGAAAAATATGTATTAAATTTAAGATTGTATTTCTTTTTCTTTATTGCCAACTTTTGATTTCATTCTAGGAGTCACCTCTAGCAAAGTGTTCAAGTTCTTCAAATCTGTGGGCAGGCAATCGTGAGAAGGTGCGAAGCTGGGTTAAAGAAAGAGCTGCTAAATTCATTGCAAACTATGTTAGTCTTGAAAGTAGTTGCTCTCAAGATCCATCTAGGATTTTGGAAACTCTTACAAAAGCGATTAATACTCTTCAGTCAGCTGTAAGTATTTTTTATTGTTTTACATTTGCTTAAATGATATTTTATTGATGCGAATAATAAGGTTTTTTTTTTTTTTAAATGATCTTACTATTATTAAAAACCCATATCATTATTAAATAATTTTTCTATTACTTTTTCTAAAAGTATATATTTTTAGTTTAAAATATTGTTTTAAATACTTTTTAGTCTTTGGTCCTATATTGTACATCTAACTTGGCTATTATTAGTCTTACTGGTTTTATTTCTGTGATTCTTGATTTTTTGTTATCCTTGTTGACTCATCATGGCCAGGCCTTTTCCTTATTTTAAAATGTCATCATTAAATGTTAGTTTTATTGTCATATTTAAGTAATCTTAGAAGTTTTATTGACTAGTCTGTTTTAAAAAAATAAACATTGTTATTATATCAAATAAAAATTATTTTAGCATGGAGACAAAATGAACGCTTTAATAGAGTTACGAGACACAGTAATGGGTTGTGATATTTCTCCATTTGAAGTTAATCACTCTGGTCTTGTCAAGGCTCTTTTGGATTATCTTACGCTGAAGTCAGAAAATCGTGAACAGAGAATACGAACATTCCTACATGTATTTGCTAATTTTCCCGTGAGTATTTTATGATTTTTATTTCCAAAAGTATTTTATTTTATTTTTAAATTTTAGTTGTTACTTTGTAAATAATTTAATTATATTTTTAGTACTTTTTTTTTTTTTTACTTTTTATTCAAATGTCTAACGTGATTTATTAGTTTGCTGTATAATGTAGGAAATCAATGTTTGGATTTCTGGAGATTAAATTTAGAATATTTAGTGAGAACTGATTGATAAATGAAGTGTTTCTCTCTTTCTTTTGTAATTATATTTTCGTAATTGCATTTTTTTTTCTGTTTTTATCGATTGAAATTTCTATAGCTCTTTTTAACATATATGTGCTGGGATACTGCACACTTTTATAATTGTGTTTTCTAGAGAACATTGATTCTAATATTAAGGTTATATTCTATTCTATTCTATTCTATATTTGTAAGTAAATTAACTTTCTATTTTAATGTTTAATCTTTCTACAGTTGGAAAACACCGGGCGAGATTCTTCTTTTGTTGATCCCACATGCTTACAGATACTCGTGTCTAAGTTGAATAGCTGTATTTCACAGTTAGAACAATTTCCTGTGAAAGTTCATGATCTACCTGCTCCAGCAGGTTCCACTACAGCTTTGAAATTTTTTAATACTCATCAACTAAAAGTAAGTGTTTTTTATTTTTATTTTTTTTTTTAGTCGTCAATGACTTTAAGATTAACAGCTTTATTCTTGATTGCAGCTACCACTTATTTACTTCGTCATTTCTGTTATTAGCAAATATGGTCCTGTTACATTAATGTAACATACCTTCACTCTTAATTAATGAACAAAGATATCCATCTATATTTTAATAACTAAATTATTAAATCTTATTTTGGATTTAATATCTTGATAAGTATGTGATAAGTCTATTTGTGATAAGTTTATATTAACAGTTTCCCACCTTGTAGACATCCAGGAATGTAGCCGCATTTCCTTTCCCTCCCCTTCCATGTGTCTAAATAATGAGGAATTCCAAAAACAAGCATATAATAATCCTAACACTACATCACCAGAGTGAGTATTATTCTGACATCATAAGTTGGGATTTTATTATAATTTTCTGTTGGATATCATATATTCGTAATAATCTGTTATATTTAAAAAACATATTTTCACTTTCTCTTGAGAAACATTTAAGTTTCTAAATCTAATTAAGTACTAAAACCACTAAATCATTAATGAGTATTGGGCCATTAGACCCATTGAAGTTTTATCAAACTTGGTGCTGGAAATGAGACTTGTTTATTGAGTTAATTTTAGTCACCACAAATCTGTGCTATTACCAGGTTTCGCTGTAACAATTTAAATCAACACATATTCGGGACAAAAATATTTTTATAGAATAGTTGAAAAAAACTTAAAATGATTTTCAAGTAAACAGGAATACTTAATATTTATGTTAAATTAATAAAATCATGATTGGTAAATAGTTGACTGTCGTGGATAATGAAGAAAAGAATAGTTGGGGTGGTTAGTCAAAAAAGAAGGCAAAAATAAATTATTTAATTTAATTTTAATTTATTTTAATAATAATTTATTTTAATGATTAATAATTTTAATTAATTAATTTTAATGATTAATAATTATTAATAATATTTTAATGATAATTCAGTAAAAATAAATATTATCATTTATTTGTGCCTTCTATTTTGATTGACCACCCCAACTATTCTTCTCTTCATTAATAAAATCATGCCTCCCTAAATAAATTTATATTAATATAATTCAAGAAATTTATGATGTTTTTTTATTTTTATTTTTAGTGTCAACTTTCACGTCATCCAGATTGCACTAGCTTGAAACAATGGAAAGGCGGAACAGTGAAAATAGACCCATTGGCTTTAGTGCAAGCAATCGAGAGGTATTTAGTTGTCCGAGGTTATGCTAAGGTGCGAGATAAACATTCTACTGCTTCAGATGATGATAATTCTGATGATGAATTTGATGATACTTTAGTAAGTGACAATAAAATTCTTAAATGATGTATTCCTATTGCAAAAGATCATTGTTTCCATTGAATTTATATGGATGTTATAAATTGAACATTAATCTTTTTGGTCGTATGTGCAAATGTTATCACTAGTCTCTACCAATGGCCTCCAAACTTTTTTATTTTAGATTCTCTTTTTATCATAGTTTCACATTAAGATCTCCATCCTATGATTTTCGAGTCCTATGGACCGCATTGAGGTTTTCACTAAGTCCCCGGGGCCAAGGCTTGTTATTAAAAATAAAAACAAGCTTGTTATTTAAATGACTCTTCAGTTGTGAAATGAGTGTTCAAAGATAAACAACTCGTGTAATAGAAGTTGTAACCTTGTGTTTAAATTATTTAATTAATTTAGTATTTTACCATATAATCAAAGGACTTTTGTAAGCCGATCTGGTCCATAAGCCTTAATTTGGATCCCTATTCTATACCACAGAGTACAGAATAATAAACAATGTGTACAGAATTATATGAACAGAGTGCTATTCTGCACTCTTTAGTCTATACCACAGGTGGGAACCTGTAACCTCGAGGCTGCATGTGCCATCTGCGAGCTAGTTGTGGTCTCTGTCAGTTTTTGAGCAATCATTATTAATCTAGTCCTAGAATTAATTAATAATTAATATTTAATTATTTAAGTTACAAAAATTGAAAATTAATAGAATTTAGTTAAGTATACATTTGTAATTTGTATTTACTTATAAATAAAATTAGCAACAGTAAGCTATATAAAAATATTTTGTCCTCCATTATCAATGTCTCGCCTTACTGCGGCCTCTAATGATAATAAGATTCTCCACCTATGGCCTTAACTTTTTGGACTATGGGCCACTCTTAGTTAGACCTCCACTTAGTCTTGTGGGCCGCATTGAGACCTTCATCAAAGTCCTGCTGGCTTTGGCTTATAATGAAAAAATATATTCTTTTTTTTCTGGGAAGTTGTCAATTTAATTTAGTTGCTTGGCAATAATAACTTCCAATTATTAACAATTCGAGTATATTTTTAACGTTACATGTTAACAGTCTAGTTTACGTTTCGGGACCTTTTATTCCCATCTTCAGAACTGCAATTCCAATACTCTTGTGGATGCAAGGCTTAATTCTAATAATAATAATAATAATGTGCTCCATCGTCAATTTTCTAATTTATGTTCTAAAATTTATCATCTAGAGCAACATTCTCCTTTTGACCAATAATTGGGTTTCTGCCATAGTGAAAACTGGGCACTATGGCAGAAACCCAATTATTGGTCAAAAGGAGAATGTTGCTCTAGATGATAAATTTTAGAACATAAATTAGAAAATTGACGATGGAGCACATTATTATTATTATTAGAATTAAGCCTTGCATCCACAAGAGTATTGGAATTGCAGTTCTGAAGATAAGAATAAAAGGTCCCGAAACGTAAACTAGACTGTTAACATGTAACGTTAAAAATATACTCGAATTGTTAATAATTGGAAGTTATTATTGCCAAGCAACTAAAGAAAAAATATATGTTCCATAAATTACAAATCACTGATCGTAGTTTGGAGACCCCTGGTCTAACCTATAGTCTCGCATAGCCTTTTTTATGGGTACATATTTGGAAAATAAAAGCAATATAAGGATGAATCTAATCCTAAGAATATAGATTATATGGGTGGATTGAAATTCTGGTTGGGTGTTTTATCTGGCACATTTACAAATCCAGATTCTCCATTTTCTTTAACTTTTTTGGTGTCTTCATAGATTTTCATCATACTACGATAAATAATGTTTGGCTAAAAATTCTATTTATTTACTCCTTGTCTGTTTTTTTTTTAATTAATAGTTTATGAGTTATAGTATCAATGATTTTTTAAATAAAATATACTTTCATTTTATCATTAATATAATCAATAATCATTTGATTATTTTAGGTTGGAATGGTAGTTGGAAGTGCTCGACATAAGTTGCAATTTCTCATCAACGATGTCGTGCTCCCCTACAATATGACAGTTTATCAAGCTGTTAGGCAGTTCTCCCCTGCTGCGTCTTCAGATCAGTCTGAAACGGATACTGATACTGAAGCACCTCTTGGGTCTGCCAATATTTGGGTGCATACACACACTGTTCATTATAGGTATATTGTCCTAAATCTGTTTAAATTAATAAGATTTGGATGTATTCATAATTTTATTGATTTTAATGTGTTCTAGGCCTGTCATTGAAGATGAATCAGTCAATAAAGCTGCTACTAGTACTAATACTAGCAGTACAAGTGCCATCCCTCGTAAAGGAAAAGGTTCAAATTCAAAGACTGCACCCCGAAAAAAACATGATGAATTGTGGAATGGTATGGCATCAATGTTAATTACTTCTTTGTAAAGATTATTGCTTATTTTATTGTTACAGAATTAAGATTTCATTGCTTGTGTACTATTTTTGTAAAATTGTAACTACAACTTTTGTTTCTCAATTGAGTGCTGTCATTTATATTTCATAGATTATCAGAAGAATTTCTTATTTGTGTATTTTCATCATAATAAAATATTTGATGCTAGAGGTAATAAATCAAGCCCGTATAGTGAAAAGAAAAGAAGTAACATAATTTAATAAATAATAAAACTTATATGCTTCAAATGTATATTAGGGACGGTTGGAAAAAACTAATACAAAAATAAAATGGTTCAAAATACTAAACAGGAACCGAACTTACATGAAATAACTTGTCCCTAAGTGATGGAAAGGGGTGCCAGATCAGTCTCATTGTTTTCATTTTTTTTTCCTCTGTTGATGCCCACTACTCTCAGTCTTTTGTCTCTTGAACCAACCAAAAGCCCGAAGAATGGTATGCCATAACGACTGTTTGGTAGCTGAAATGTGTGGTTATTTTCTCGACAGAGGCATCACACAACATAAGTCTTCTTTATGCAAAGTCGATGAATTTGATGAAAGAAAGAAAATCTAAGTTCAATTTCAAGACAATGATTTTTTTTTCTATTCTCGAGGCGTTGTCAACGGCATGCCGTCCCTCCTGGCCAGACTGTTAATTTTAACTACATTGACTCTTAGACATCTCAAAGCTGGCGCGTATTTTGACAAAATTTAGCCCAAGAGAGGCATTGGTTCCTCCATCACAATGCTCAGACACACAATTCACACAGTAGTGTACGTAAATACGAATTTTTGACCATAAATTCGATTACTGTGACTACCGGACATGTTCTCACATGCAAATTTCAGTGTTTATGATATTGTGGGTAAAAAATATTAGGCATTTGATTAAAAAAATTGTCTATTATATGGGATTTTATATACTTACATAATGTTAATTTTAAATATTGAAGAAGATGGCCTCGTGATCTCCTTATGTAAATACATTATTAGAGTGCTATAAGTGTTGTTTATCAACAAGCGTTTTCGTGTCATTATATTCCTGTGTAAACATTTACTAGATGTATTTATATTGTAATGTAGGTGTAAATATTATGTGTAAATAAATTTTTAAAAAATGTTAAATATTTGTTTCAGATGGAATTATCCCTCTTAAACCATTTCCATTAGACCGATATCTTGTTAATGATTTATCAACAAAAGTAACTACAAATGATACTTCACTTCCAGTCCTTTGTCTTTTAAATGCTCTTCATGCTATTACTGTGCATTGGCCGGTTCTTTATCCTGCAATTGAAGGAACTCCTATTCTTTACCAACAGGTATGAATATATTATCTAAATACTGTTCAATATTGCCTGGTAGAGTTGTAATAATTTTAAATATTTAACCAAATTCTACCAAAATTCGTGCAGAATTTAGAATATTACATCGAAAAGTAAATGATAAAATAACTTACCAAATTTGATTAAGTAATCTTAAAAATTTTATAACTTGTGATTTTTATCTGACATAATTGTTTCTTTAGATTTAATTTTTTCCCTTCTATTTGTATTAACAAATCCATATAGAAATTATTTTTATCAGTTATTAATTGTTGTACCATTGGTCTTTTAACAGTACTACCTCACACAGTATTGAACCCAAGACCCTTTATGGGTTGTAGCGGGTGGTATATATCTTTCTTTTTTTCACTAAACCTTTAAATATATTTTTTTGTGGCTACAATATTATTTCTTAATATGTCGCGAAAATTCAGATGAATACTTTATTGTACTGTATTGTTTATTTTTATTATACGGTATTAATAAACTAACTTTGTTTAAATTATCTATTTTAAGGAGTTTGTGAATAACAAAATTGCAGCAAAAGCTGGTCGACAACTTCAAGATCCTCTAGTTATAATGACTGGAAATCTGCCATCTTGGTTACAACAAATAACTTCAGCTTGGTAATTAATTTAAATTATTCATTATTATTCATTGAAATACAAGAAAGAGATTTCTAATTATTATTAAATAATAATTAGAAAGCCATGGTAGAATCTATCTAATAATATATTTCTTGCCTTCTTAATAGTGAGAATAGTATTTCTCGACAATTAATCCTGATGGGCTCCACTAAGGTAGCTACGGACTTTTGTCATACCAAAACGAGGATTGATGTTGAAATAAGAGTTTATAGTATCTTTACTGTAGAAAAAAATGTTTATTTTCAAAACCAAATACATCTTTTAAAAGATAAAACCTTGTTTTATTTTTTATTGTTATTGCCATGTCAATCCAAAACTTATAAGTATAATGCTCCAGCTTTTGTTTATTCTTATCAAAGAAACCACGTTGTAGCTAGTGGCCTTTCTTACAATTTTTCTTCATAGGTGTAGAAATTTTGTTTATACCTTTCAATCCCGGTCTTCCACTCCTTTTTTCATAACAGCCAAATGGCCGCCTGTAAACATTCTAAACAGTTTAAAAGATAAAGTAATGCACGAATCTCGCACTTGATGGTAGCAGTAATTGTAACCTCTGTCACGGAAGGCTGCTCAACTGCACATTTCCCTCATGTATATATCATTGAGTAACATTCCTTAGATGTCTAAGATTTACCAAGTACATTGTAATTTCACTAATACTAACTATTTGCTGCTGTGAAGATGAAGGTCGAGTGTTAAGATTACTGAGAGGATCTCCAAGTCTCCTTTCCTCATCTTTTTTTTTTTTTTTTTGCGTACTGCGGCCATGTAGGCCTATTGTATTCCTTATTTAAAGTCACTTAGTTTAGAGTGTAATTCCTGCATTCTCAATGAACTGTGATAAGCTTGTTGGATTGATAAGCTTGTTTGCCTTGGGATCCTTCTCTCTGTCAATGCGGAATAAACAAAATCTTAAGCCTGCAAACCTATCGCACCAGCAAGTAACATGATATGCTGTCTCATCCTCCTGGCCACAGTACCTACAAAGACACGACTCCGTGAGCCGGAGTTTGAACATATGATAATTTAGTTTACAGTGCTCTGTGTATGCTGCTGTAATTTTCTTAGTGAGCTCTCCTGTTCAGATTTATTAGTTAGTTAGTTCTTTTTTGACAGATTTCTTCCAGATACTGTCTAGAGTGGGTCTGTTTTTTCAACCTCCAGTTCTTTTTATTTTCAGCACCATATATCTCCCCGATTCTGTTTGTTGTCAGGAGCTATGGGTGTCATTTGTGAGCCTTGTTCCTCATCATTACTTTTTAATGCACCCTTCTATTGGTTTTTGAAGTGGAAACTTCTTAAGGCACGTTTTGCACTTATGGAGAGTGAATTAGATTAATACATCAGATTTCACTCGGGTTAAGTCTGCTAGAGTCGACTAATTGAAATATTTTTACATACATATGGATTAAAATATCTCAGAAACTAAAATTGATTTCTGTATACTGTAAGCGAGGAAATTGTTTGGCATTTCATCCTCTCAGTATTAGGCTGTAATTCAAAATTGTATCTTAATGCCGCACCATGTTAGAGAGGCAAAAGGAAAAAAATAGTGTCGAAAACAAAATGATAACAAGTTTAGTTGAACATATGGATTAAAATATTTCAGGTAAGTGACTAAAAATCAAACCTGTAAAGTGTAAGCGAGGGATTTTTTCAGCATTTCATCTACTTTGTAATGACCTATTATTCAAAATTGTATCTTAACCCAACATTGTGTTAGAGAGTACGAGAGGGAAAAGATACTGTCCAAAACCAAATGATAACGAATTTATGCTAATATATAGTACAAATGCTAATATTATTACAACATTGTAATTTTATTTTGATATTATTAACAATATATTAAAAAAAAAAGTTTTTCAAGTAAGGTTAATTAGGTTAGTTCCTTCATTAGCTAAAAAATATTTTTGTTACAAGTATAAATATAAATATCATACAATTTTTCCATATTAGAATAAAATATCTGAAAGAAGCCGTTTTCAGAAATTTGGTAATCCCTCAACATATACGTGTTTAACATCCATGAGTTTTGTCCATCAGCGAATACTAAAATGCGAAAGAATTCCGCATTTGCAGATAGCATACTTGATAGTTTTTCTGATTAAAACCATACATTCCAGGGCATACTGAACATGCATATCAGTGTGTTAGTTCAAAAGGTTGTGTGTAAAAACTGAGTGTTTTACAGGAGAGCATAAATACGGTTACTTTTTTTTTTTTACAAACTTACAGTAAGAATTAATTTAAATTTATTGAAAATTACACATCAAATAATAATACATTTACTAATCCGAAAGTGAAACTATTTTTTTTAGAGTATTGGATAGAAATATATAATATTGATATTCACTTAATTATCTGATAACCAATCCCTGACTTTCCTCCATATTTGAGTCAAATCGAACGTGCGGTTCTAGAGATATAGACGTATCAAGGAAAACACGTTTGCGCATATATAAGAGAAAGTAGAGGACATATTTCAATGAAATTGATACTGCGTTATTTTTGTATTAATACCTATATTTTTTCTCATTTTGAACCAAAATGAACGAGCCGTTTCTGAAATATTGGCATATCTAAAAAAATACGTTTGCGTAAGCGGAAGGGCTGGATGGACTTACATGAAATCGATATTGGACCATCTAGACATCGACCCCTACAATCCCTGGAAATTTCATTTAAATCGGATAAACGGTAGTAGGTGATATACCCGTTACATCGATATGACTACAGACAGACAGATGCTGAACCAAATTTGATCCTTATGTCTGAAATGTAAAACGCGAGTGGAAATTTTCGATTTCGAGCATACAATTTTTCTTAACCTCTTGCACGAACACAATGCTTTCCTACCTTCGGTAGTGAGGAAGCAATAAGAAGAGAAATAACATAAATGATAATAATAGAAGAAATTCTTAAGCATAATGGAAAATACATAATAATATAACATTACATAACCTTCAAACAGAAGTTGTTTACAGGTTTGATTACAGTTGTAGAAATAGGCTAAGAAAAGATTGATAACTGTGACATGAGATAATGAGATGGATTTTCAATCTTTAAAAATATTTTATAAATCAAATTTTTATAGTTTCATATGTTAGTTATTTCAACATTTATTTTAATTTTTCAGCCCATTTTTACTTCCATTTGAGACAAGGCAATTACTTCTTTATGCAACTGCATTTGATCGGGACAGAGCTCTACAAAGATTATTGGACTCCAGTCCAGAATTGGGTGGTGGCAATGATTCTCAGGAGAGAGTAACTCCTAGACTTGATAGAAGGAAAAGAACTGTTTCAAGAGATGACATTTTGAAACAAGCCGAATCTCTTCTTCAAGATATGGCCACCAGTAAAGCCTTACTTGAAGTCCAATATGAAAACGAGGTAAATTTCGTTTTGATCAGTCAATTTCATTTTTAATAAGCTCATTAAACATTGCATTAAACATTTAATGGTGCAAACAATTCATTCTCTTAAGCAATGAATTTTTGCTTTAATAGTAAATCTTGTTTTTCCACATCTATTTGTACTTCTGGCTTATTTATCTATTTGCTAATTTATATATTACTCATTTTTTTTACTCTAAATTCAACCTGTTTTACATTTCCGATAGCAACTTTGAAATCCTATTGTATAGTTAGAGTTCTAAATATTATTTAATTACAGGTAGGAACAGGATTGGGTCCTACACTCGAGTTCTACGCTTTGGTTTCACGAGAATTGCAACGAGCAGACTTGGAATTGTGGCTTCTTGAAGGAGGATCTGATACTTCTGGTTATGTTCATTCACCAGTTGGTCTGTTTCCTGCCCCTATTCCACGGACTACTCGTGTTTCTCAATTGATGAAGCTCAGGAACAAATTTCGTTTTATCGGTAGATTTATGGCAAAAGCAGTCATGGATTCAAGAATGGTGGGTTTATACTTTTTGATTTATCTAGTTTGGTTAACCTCAAATATTAATAATTTGAGTTAAGTTTAAATAATAAATTAAAATTATACTACTTTATACAGGGTGTCCCAGTTCTTAATGGCCAAACTCAGGAGGGTGATTCTAGACAAAATTTCCAACAAAAACATTTATTTGATGCATGGGCAGATTCTGAATGGAAAAGGAGTCAAGACGACCAATTTTGTGGGTTTTTTAAGGCAGTCAAGGTTTTTATTGAATAAAAAGGAATTGCTAGATAAATCTTCTTGATAATTGATTTCTAAATACACCATTGTAAAGTGCCCAAAATTTTAATGAGAAAACAGAGATTACATTTACTACTAAGATCAATGATAAAAGAGATTTTCAGGAGGTCTAATACAACTGCTGTTGTATGCAAAGCAGCATATTTCAGTAGTCCCAATTTGTAAAATAATTTGGCATAATGGTAGGCTTTGCCAAATTAGACCTGAAAGTTCCTTTTATCATTGACCTTAGTAAATTTAATCACTGTAACTCAAAGAAAAATTTGTCTACTTTACGATCGTGTATAATTTAATTAGCTTGAACAGTTTTTGAGCAATTTCTTCTTATTCAATAAAAATTTGACCACCTTAAGAAAAATTTAAAATAGGTCTTAAATCCTTTTCTGTTTGGAATTGACCCATGCATCAGATGAATTTTTTGTCTAGAATTACTCCCTAGAGTTTAGCCATTAAGAACTGAGACACTGTATATTTATTGATAGTCAAATATTTATTTACTATTATTTTATATATATATATATATATTATATTCCTTTTTATTCAATATAAACACACACACACACACATATACATATAATTTTAAACATTTGTGTATGATAGTTGACTAATATGGTAAATCAAAATAATAATAATAAAGGGATCAGCCAAAATTAACATATCTAAACGATTTTTTTGGCTATAGCTAGAAAGCAGCTGTAGTATACAACAGATAAAATGACTTGGAAAATAGACAGTTTATTTATTTTTATTTTATGACTTAAGAAATTTGCACATAAGAATAAAAAATAATTACCAATTATGAAAGAAGATATTTTAAAAATTTTCAGGTGGTTTTGATTGAGAACAACTAAATTTAACAGCTCATTACTTATTGTTATAATGACTTATCATTAACTTCAATTATCATTTCAAAATACAGTCCTGCAGGCATGACACCACAGATACAATTACAATATTCACTTCACAACATAAATAACATCGATTCTTAACTTTGTTGATTATGTAATAATTATTTGGTGCATGATGTTAATGAATTCAGAACAGACCATATTTGATTGCTAAGAGCTGAATGATGGATGGAAGTATAGATTACCAAAATAATAAGATTTTGTTAGTTAGGAGGCTGATGTCTTACTGAAGAAAAATGTATTTATATAATTCCCTCTTCTATTACTCTTATGTAATATAAAAGTGTTTGTACTGCTTCCTGCAGTGCTGCATCCTTTGCCCTGATGAAGACCTGCAAAGTGGGTCGAAACATCGTCAAAAAATTAAATAATACTATTTCTATAATTGAGTATTTATTTGACCTCACCCCCCGATCAACTCCTTCTCATATTTATATAATTGTGTATTTATGACTATTTTCTAAGGGATCGTATATTTATGTTCTGGCATAACATAATACCAGGCTCACCATTATGAGAAGTGCCATATTATTCAACTTAATATCCCCTTATTCTTTTAGCGATTTCTAACTGAATATTATGTTTTATTAAAATAGTTAACATTTTTACAACTGTATTCATTCAAAGCAAAAAAGAAACCTACAAATAAATCATATATCTTATTAATATTTAATGTATATTTTTAAATTTCTTGCAGTTGGATCTACCTCTTAGTCAAACATTCCATCGTTGGCTGTTAGGTGAAGAGGCCTGCCTAGGGCTGGCAGATTTAGCTCATGTTGTGCCATCAGTTCACAGGACACTTGTTAGATTAATGTCAGTAGTAGCACAATTCAACGAACTTTCATCTTCTAGTATATTGTCTGAAGATGAGAAAAAAACAAGGGTATGTTTCTTTTTTCTGGATTAATCTTATTTACAATTCAACTAAATTTTATATATATTCTTTTTGTTATAGGTTGAGGCCTTAAATCTAGATGGATGCCCTATTGAGAATTTAGGTCTTGACTTTACTCTTCCTGGCTATCCTCAAATAGAATTGAGGAAGAATGGTCGAGAATTAAATGTCACATCATATAACCTGGAGTCTTATTGCAAGGTATAGATTCCTTTAATTATTTTTCTAGTTTTCTCTGAGGATAAATTTATAGTAGAGAGAAATAATTTATTTAAAGCAGTGTTGCCCTACTATATAGGGTTGCTCGATACACAGCCATTTTTTTTTTTTTTTTTTTCGATACACATTAATTTTTTACCCGACTAAGCAAAGCGACACAAGGGTTATGTGTTTAGGTTGCTCTCTATAAACTATATAACGGTTTTTTAAGAGATAGGCTGAATCAATTTCTAACTTTGATGGCTCAAATTATTTGGTGAGAGTTATGAAACAATTTGAGCTAATAACACTGACCTGTGATTGAATGAAATGCGTTTAATCAATTTGATAAAGTGTATTTAACTATTTTTTTTGTGAACAGCTGGATCGGTTTTTAACGATATCTTAAATTATTTAGTGAAATCTATGCTTATTTCTGAACCTGTAGAGTTAAAAATACTGGCCGTTGATTGAATACTTCTTAATCAATTTGAATAAGTATGTAAAGATTGTTTGAGAGAACATCTGGATCAATTTTTAAGTTTGATGGCTTAAATGTGTAATTAAAGTGGGTGTTTTGGAACAACTTGAGTTCAAAACATGAACAAATTATTGTATAAAATGTGTTTTAATCAATTCGTTAAAATGTATGTAATGATTTTTTGAGAAATCTGCTGGACCAATTTTTATGATTCATGTCTCAAATTATTCAGTATGATTCCGTGAGTGTTTTGAAAAAAAATTCAGCTAAAAATGCTGACATGTTATTGAATAAAATGTGTTTAATTTATTTCCTAAAAGAGATTTACTGAATTTTTTGAGTGAATGACTTGACCGATTTTTAGGTCAAATGGATCAAATGACCCAGTAAGATCTTGTGATTGTTTTGAAACAATTCAAGCTCAAAATACTGAAGAAAATATTTTATTATATTTTACTAAAAATTTTTTTATTACCTCAAATTTATATCGGTTTCATATCATCTGTGAGATCTTGATCATATGTGTTATAAATTGTCATACCTTAGAAAACTAAAAAAGCTTAAATAAAAAGACTACAGAAATTGGGGAATGCTCTTTTATATCTACTTAAACATTTTAATAGATTATTTAAAAATTTACATCCAGGGATATTAAAACTTAGTGTAGTTGTGTCAGGCGCTTTTCACTACACATTATAGTTCCTGGCCAGTAGATTTGATCCCATGTATCAGTGCTTATTAATGTCCAAAAGAATTTTGAACTTCAGGGTGTGATAAGCTCCCAACTACTTGACCAAGTTTAAATATTTGTATATGTCAATATTCATATCATTCTACCAAGTTATTTAAGTAGATATGAAAGTATATTCTGTTAGATTGAATAGGATTTTCTGATTTCTGTAATGTTTTTTTTTATTCAAATATTTTTATTTTATTTTTTAACACTAAAAATAATAAAAATAGTGTAAGCTTTCCAAACAAAAAGGTCTTGCCACTGACAGAGCACTGACAAAATCCTAATTGCCTCTCTTTTAGGAAGTAACACTTTTAGTGCTAAAGTAAAATTATGAAGATTTAAGATAACTGAATTTCAGAATTGGTTTATTTTAGTCTATGCATTAACCAAATAAGTTCTTTTAACTGCGTTATCCTTACTTTAGGCATAAAAGATACTTTAATATTATTTAGTATACTTTTGTTTAGCCTGAAAAAAATATTTAAATGTATTTGAGCAATTGATTTTTAGTAATAAGAATACATTCTTTAAAAGATGGTCTTCCGTTTGCTGTTGTGGCGTTTCAAGTAATCCAGCATCTAAGGGCTCCAGTGGGTCTACTATTTTCATCTCTGTACATTCCTGTAATAAGGGCAGTCAAGGAATGTAGTGCATCATTTTTAATCTCACACAAACGATAGTTTAGTGCTTTTCGTAGATATTATAAGTGTAATGCGATGTCTCAAAAACGGAACGGAACATTAATATCACATAACAAGTATCGAATTTTAAATTAGGAAAAAGATCGGTTCATTTTTCTAAGGAGTATAATGGAATATAGAATAAGGACCGCATTAAATAATTTTCTTGAAAATAGATCTTTTACAGCATACAAAAAGTTTTTTTTTTTTTAAATATACCTTTACTAATTCGCCAATTTTAGTAATCGTCATTGCCAACTGTGGTGGACTCTATCTAAGATAAGTTTGAGGGTGGGTAGAGGAGGAGAGAAATGCGCATTGGCGAAACATTTTCCCGCCTATCTCCCACTCTTTTATCTTCTCTACTCACTCATACGTACTTCTAAATTTTTGTTTACAAGTAGAAATTTCTTTTATCATTTTTTTTTTTCATTTCTTTTCCTATATTGATTTACAGAAAGGTTGGCTATTTACATACTGTGATTTATTTGGTTTGAGCTAATACACTATAGTCTAAAATAATATATAATGTGGACACTGCTCTTTGTTTATATTCAGAAGTAAATGAAAAAGGCTCCTCCCTATTATTGAATATCCTATAACGTAGTATTGGATTTTTTTTCTGTTCTTTATTTTCCATCTATTTCTTGATTTTATTATGATATATTTCTTGGTAAATTTAGATTTACATATCCTAGTAATAACATCAAGTTCTGTGAACAGTAGTCCTCGCGAATTCATATATATTTTTTTCTCAGTTTAATTCTTTAACCATCCTTTTCATTGTTTTATTTTATTTTTTAATTAAAATCCCTACCTTTAATAAACCTTTGTGGGAAATTTGAAGAAAAAGGAATAACACTTTCCCGGTATAAAGTGGTTGCTATGGTGAAGAGGAAAAGTGGAGCTGGAGAGAGATCTTGGGGAAGTGGAACTTGAGTGGGGGAAGTTCCTTCCCCTTCACTCAAATTTGACTTCGTTGCACTATATAGGACTCGACTAACAAAATCCGACTGCTCTCTTTTCATGCAGTTAAAAATGTTTTGGTATTTTAAAACTACTATTAAGTTGACAAGTATGAAGAAATATACAAAAATTATTTGAGTTTTAATAGATTATTTAAATCCTCTTGTGCTTTTGCTTGTGTTACAATTTTAATGTTCCTGTACTTCTTGTTTATTTTTTCCATTTGCAGTTAGTTGTGCACTGGTTCTTGGTAGAGGGAGTACAAAGGCAAATGGAATGTGTACGTGAAGGAATGCAGTGTGTATTTCCTACATGGCATTTAGGTCTGTTTTACCCTCAAGAGTTGGATGCGATTTTTTGTGGCTCTGGGTCTGATTGGGATATTTCATCTCTGGTTGAGTAAGTATTGCCGTCATAATATATTAATATTTAAATTTTGTTTTTTTTTAAAATTAAAATCCTAGTGTTCAAATAAGGTTAGGCCATGTAAAGTTTTAAACATTAAATAGAATTTTTAAGAAGTATTAATTTTGAATTGTTTATTTTGTGTCATTAGCGGTGAAGGTAATCTTCAAACTATATATATTGAGGAAATTAAATTAGGGTAGATTGATATGTATGTATATTTAATTATTAATAAATAAGTTTAATTTTTTTTTAAGGTCTTGTCGCCCTGATCATGGTTATACACAATCTAGTCGTGCAATTAAATTTCTGTTTGAAATATTAGCATCTTATACAAAGCAGGAACAAAGAGATTTTGTGCAGTTTGTTACTGGTTCACCAAGACTTCCTGTTGGGGGTAATTATTACTAAAATTATGAGTGTGTATGTGTAATAGTGAGATATTTTTATCATTGTGTCAATTGAAATCTTTTCCAAATCAATCCTTGCAATTTCATTTTCATTAGCAATAACTAGAAATTGCAATTGGATGTCTCGGTATCTAAAGGTGCCATCTGCCATTTTCAGAAAGTTGAGAAAAAGTAAATTTTTGTTGTAGTTTCAATTTAAAGCAATTGTGATGATTTAAAAAAAGAATTTTTAAGTTAAATTAGGAAAAAAAAGTCAACAAAATTGATTTAAATCAAAGTTACAAAAAAATGTTCTCAACAATTTGAAAATGACAGGTGTTTGTCTTTGATATGAAGCCACTCAATTGACTTACAATATTGAAATTCTATAATGCAACATTATTTAATTGAATTAACCTTAAACTTAATTCAATATTGCCAACAAATGGATTAAAAAAGTTAACAAATCACCTATGTCCTTAATATGATTATATGTATTACTGAAATATAAAACATAACTAAGCTGTTCCCCTATCATCCACCATTTTCGGAAACATCCTTAGTTACATTTTGATGAACCTTATATATGTGAATCAGGTTTGGTAGTTATTTATGTTATTAAACACAGATATTTTATTTATTTTATCGTTTTTAGGTTTCAAATCTTTAAGCCCTCCTTTAACTATTGTGAGAAAAACAATGGATGGCAATATGAATGCTGATGATTATCTTCCTTCTGTGATGACCTGTGTTAACTACCTCAAACTTCCTGATTACTCTTCGATTGAGATCATGAGGGAGAAACTAGCTACTGCTGCTAGGGATGGTCAACGTTCCTTTCATCTATCCTAGTCTCAGGTTAGCTCATTGTTTTTATGTAACTTATGTATTGTGTAGAGAAGGGGATAACTCAGCGAGTTAGGAACTATGCTCCTATTTTATATATCAATGATAGTCAGACTAGAGAATTCCAACATCCTGATGGACGATCACAATCCAATCATTTGTTCCATCAGGTGCAGTAATGGAATTGGAGGTAGCCAGATGTTGGTTGGTGTGATAATGGACAGAAAATAAATGTGTAACACCAAAAATTATATTTAAATAGATATGACAATTGGTGCCACATCACAAAGTCAAGTAAACATAAGGAATTCTCTGATGATGGGAAAATTGTCCCGAAACGTCAGATGTAATAGATGTGATTAAAAAAGACTAAAGAAAAATGGAAGTATATTTGCCTTAAAGTTAGAAAAATATATATACCGAAGCTTCCTAGAAAAATAAAAATAAGAAGATAACTAAAATTATTATATTACTTTGAAAAATTCAATTATTTCTAATTCTGCCTAATTTGTATAAAAACCAAGTTATTTTGAAATTAATATAATATTTACATGATTATTATCTTATTCACATCATTTATTTCAGATTAAAAGTTATGTCTTGCTTCTTCACGATAGAGAGCTTCTGTTCTTCTTGCTTTGCTGTTACTTCCGATGTATGAAGTGATAGGATAAGAAGCATTAAAGTGGACTGAAAAGTGTTTCTATGGTGATCATTATTTAAATACCAAGTATTTATATATCGTCGATCTCGCTCTTAACAAACTTTGATGAACTTTAGTTATATATAGTATATATATGTATATGTGTTAATATATATACATATATGTACTTTTATAAATAAACTTATGTATATACATATATATTCTTTGTGTATATATGTATATGTATATATACATATATATAATGCGTTAGTTACAGTATAGTCTTAACCTATTTCTATGAACATTTTAAAATGTGGGATTAAACCCTCTATTGTATGTGTTATATTTTATGAGCCTTACATTTTAACCGACAACAATCACTCTGTGTATTGAATTTGTTTTAATATGTAAGGCTTTACAAAAAAAAAATAATAATAATAAAAAAAATGTATGTACCGAATATTGCTAAAAAGAGATTTGTAGTAGTTTTTTTACTATCTCAATGTTGTTGATTTTGTTTAATATATTTTTTTCTTGAATATATATTTGGGTTGATGTCGGGGTTTGGAAATGAAACTGAGTCCTTCGTAAGAAAATGTGTAAATACAACATTAAAAATATTAAATAGGGGATTATAAGATTACTTACAATATTAACGTATAAAAGCCGTCACAACCAATATAAAAAAGTAAGCTGCAAGTATATATTTTAACCATCATAAATATAGTCCCTGGTATAAATAAAAGTAATTCAGTTGATAATGTCACAAAGGCATTTATTTACTTATACCTCATATTACATTATTAGTGAATTCTGCTGCTTATAGCGATTGAATGGATTTACTTGTAAAATTTCTTGAGATATTTTAAATGTTAGAATAAAGTTGTAATTTTGAAATAAGAATTTATTCTGTATTGGGATAAATTATTTAATTTAATTTTTACCTTATGAAGTTGGGAAATGCAATAGGTTCTTGTATCGTTACCTTGTAGGCTGATTAGCTAAAGATTTTATTTCAGTTCTTCTAATACCAAATGACTAGTATACTTGTTAATATAATTAAATGAAACATCTTGGTGTAAATTCCATGTCAAGATAGTTGTTTTAAGTTTTTATATCATTTAACCTCATCAGTCAACTAAATTTATTTCATGTTGATGACTGTTATGTGTTCTGGAAATATTTATTAATGATTTTATTCCATGTGTATCACTTTTGTGAATATTATTATTTCATTTCAGAAGCCTTTATTTTTCTTTTCTTTTTTTTTCTTTGAACATTGTTATAATTATAGTTTTACTCCACTTTACTCAGTAACAGTTCCAAATTCCTCAAATTGTATATTTATATATTTGTATTAGGCAATATGTTTGTTGTCTTTCAGTAGGACCAGACTGATTCAGAATCGCTCACCTATTTTTACATAAATATTTTGTTTGTGAATATCAGTGGACTAATTTTCTTTTATAACTTAATTTTATGTTTGTACAAAGTTCAAATAAAATTACATTTATTCACACTGTTTTTTTTATTAACAATTCATATGCCTCCTTTCTATAGTTTTTAATGTTTCAATGCTTGATAGTAATCAATTATTACCAATCCTATTATGCAATGAAAAGCACTATAATTAAATGAATGAAGGAGGTTATTGTTAGGTTTGGAAAGGTTATTTGTTGGTATGTTTTCCAGTTTACAAAGCAACTTTCTAAGAGTCTCATGAAATATACTACTAGTTTAAAGAACTAGGTATGAGTTGACAAAGTTTATTTCAGGTGGAAGAAGAATGAAACTAACTGGCCATTACTTTCTGATGATGTACAATTTTTGAGATTTTATTTTTATTATAATGTAAAATAAATTTGTTAACATTTTAATTTGTATGATCAGCCAACTTTATTAATAAAAGAGAAAAAGGGAGTGTTGTTTTATTCAATATAACTAGTTTCCTATTTTCACTAAAAAACAACAGAAGTAATCTAGATAAGGGTTTTATTATAAAATACGAGCCACTTTCTAAATTTTTTGAGATTTCTTATATCCCAGTTAATATTATAAACTATTTGATCAATCGCTTGGTCTAAACTGGCTAGAGTGCTGTAATCAGTTTCCGGAACTGAGTTTCTCAAAGTAAGTACCTGCAACCAATCACCATGCATTTTTTCATTATTTTTTTAAATAGAAAATTTGTCAATATGACTAAAAATGTTAATCAACATCACTTACTTCTAATAGGATTTAATTTGACAGTTGCGAACATTATCAAGCATTCAAATGGAAGGCCATTAAAATCTCAGTATAAATAAAAAAAATGTTCCTCAGATAAGACAAACTGTCATAGTAAAAAATATATTCATACGATTCCCTTAATATTCTGATGCTTGAATAAAAGATTGACTAGGAGTTCGGGTATGAATTAAGGCACTACATATTGTATTGATGATTTAAAGTACTACCCTTATCTTACTTGACAAGTCATATACAGTAACTCTACCAGTAACATTGAAAAATGTGAATCCTTTCAGAGTATAAAACCAATGGTATATAATTTATTTCCAGCTAGGTTTATATATTCATCCGTTTTTTTTCTCACGTTATAGAGGTACAACTACACCTATTCTAACCACAGTGGAAATGTCATGATTCATTCCATGGGTCTGCTACGAAATTAATTTCTACCTGCCTTGGTTGGATTTGAAACAGCTTTGAGCTAGATTGTTAACACACATACACAGACTACTTTGAGAAACTTGGTTATTTGGATTCGGGAGACCTCAAAAAGTGTATTTCTGTTGAAAACTCGGATTCGAAAATTTTCACGATCGCAATACTTTCCCTTATTATAATATATTTTATTTATAGGTAAATGAAAGTAAAAAGAACATCCCAGGAGACCTTATCCAAACTACACATTCCACATATAAATATTCTAAGGGAATAAATAGTAAGGATCAGTGAGAAAGAATAAAAGAGCTTCGGTATGGACAAGGGTCAAAGAAGCTTCAACCTTGTACTATGTATCTTATTTATGGATGATGTAAAAATCTGTAGGTACAGAATTGCAAGACCAATTGGGGCAATATACCAATACTAGTTCAAACTCTTGTATACCCTTTAATTTTTATATTTATTTCCACTTTTTACCCATTTTGTTGATGGCAAGGTCCTAACTTCATTTTGACATTTTTAATAAAAATACAAAATATAGAGGTATAGTTTTTTTAATTGAACCAATGACAAAAATAAAATTACAGCTATTTAGAGTAAGTAGAATAATTTGATTTCTAACTTTTTTTTGTTGCAATTATGGATAGACCAGTTCCAACCTTGTCAAACCAAGTTAGCAATTATATTCCTTATGCTATTTTATTCTACTATTGTTGTTTTAATGCAACTTAATTCTATGCCTAATTTTATGATTAAAATGTAAATAAAAGAATGTTTTGTTTATTTCATTAAAAATGTTGAAATTAATTGTTTTTGTTTATTTCATTATTGTAAAATATAATTACCTCATTATATTGTTCTTTAGTTCTTAAAAAGTATGTGGCTCCTTCTATGATAGCATTTAATATACCATTTGATTTATGAAATCTGGAATAAGAACAGAAAATAAGTTTCTATGTCATAGAGTGAGTACATACTTAGGTAACTACAAAGTTTGCAAAATATAGGTAATCACACAGAAAGATTTTCTTATGTCTTTTTTCCTAAATAGATTAGATCTGGGTTAAGGCTTTTTAATTTCATGATAACTGATTAGCTATTTGAAAAAAAGAAGTAGCAACCTGGTGTAGGAAAATAAAATTAATCTAATAAGAAATCAACGATGTTTGACCACCTTATTGTGATTACTGATTAGTCTCAAACCATCTCTTCCAAGAGATGCTGAAACATGTTTTTTTCTAAATAATGTCTAAGCCCATATTTTTAAAAGGTTATCTCTTACATTAACTTTTTTCAAAGAATACAACTTATTAAATGAAACTACATTTAAGATAATTTTATCCTTACCGTTCATATATTGTTTTCCAAAAGTGCTTTAGGTACCGAAAGCTTAATAATGAATTAAAATGTGACTGCTTTAGGGATAATACAAATTCTTTCAGCTTCAGAAATGAAAATGTTGGATTATTGATATCAAATATATCATTCAATATCCTGAAATATCAGTAATAAATTTATTAATTATAGAAGGAAAAATAAATAATAAAAAATAAACACAATACACAAATAACAGGAATAATATGTATAAAATTATTGTATTTTATACAAATATAAAATAACACTAGGCAACAATGAAAATGTTTCGGGCTCAAAAATAGTCAATTCATATGTATTTCCATCTGCTGAATTAAAAAAATCTGCCATAAAAATGACAAATTATCTCTTGCTTTGGAGATAAGTGACATTTCATTTTTTAGCGTCAACATTTTCAATTTGGGGGATTTTTTTTGGGGGTAGGTTAGGTGCACCTGTCAAATAACAAAACACAAATGCTCTTCAGCTGTTTGTAAGTCATAAACATATTTACTGTTGCTATGACTGTGAATTTCATATAGTTTCTGCTGTGTTTGTCATATTTGTGGTGACACAACATTTTCTTCACAGAAACGCAATCTAATGCCTATTGCATATCATATCTATTGCCTATCAGCATTATTTCGATATGAAAATAGGAGTCCAGGAGAAGTCTTGGGCTCCACATATATGTTGCAACACATGTTCAGTTACGCTGCAAAAATGGATGAGAAAGAAGAAATGATCTTTGGCTTTTCCTGTGCCTATGGTTTGGCAGGAGCCTACAAACCATGCAGATGACTGCTCTTTCTGCTTGACTCCACCTATAAAGGCAAGATTGTCCTTAAAGAAAAGAAGAACAGTTAAGTACACGAATCTTCGATCTGCTATTCGACCCATTCTGCCATATCTGACCATTCAGATAGTTCATCAGTTCCTACTCCATCCGGAAATTGTGTGGTTGAAGTAGAAAATGAAGACAGTGTCGAACAAGAAGAAGAACCAAACAAGCCTTCCACATCCCGTGACTCTGATTTTGAGGGAAAAGATGATAAACCGCACAGGCTGAGTCAAGCGGAATTCAGTGATCTCATTAGAGACCTTGACCTTTCAAAGGAGATGGCAGAATCTCACAGTACAGAAAACATCACAGGGAACTGGTTCCCTTTTTGGAGAAAAAAAATAATCTTGTTGTTTGCTGCGACATTAATGGCTTGATGAAATCTTTAAATTTGAACCATGATCCAACTGAATGGATGCTATTCATAGATTCATCCAAGTTTAGTTTGATAGCTGTGTTACTTTACAATGGCAACCTTCTTTCTTCTATTTCTGGTGGTCATGCAGTTCACATGAAGGAGACACATGCACAAATGACAGCCCTCTTGGACTCACTCAAATATCATGAACAGAAATGGGAAATCTGTGGTGATTTAAAGTCATTGCCATAAACTTTTGAATGTATGTGGGACAGTAGTGATAGGAAATAGCATTATATTAATGGAGACTGGTCTGTAAGAAATCTTAACCCTAGCGAGAAAAATGTCGTTGCCAAGCCTCTCGTGGACCCAAAAGATATTCTGCTTCCACCCCTGCATATCAAGCTGGGTTCGATGAAAAATTTTGTCAAAGGTATGAACCAAGATGAACAGGCCTTTAAGTACATAATAGAGAAATTTCCGAAATTAAGTGATGCAAAAGTTAAGGAAGGCATTTTTATCTGACCACAAATTTGAGTACTTGTGAAGGATCCTGCATTTGACCAAGTTTTGGACGGGAAAGAAAAGGAAGCTTAGGAAGCCTTCAAGGGAGTTGTTCGTGGATTTTTAGGCAACAAAAGAGATGACAACTACAAGCATTCAATGACAGTGTTCCTGCAAAAGTACCATAACCTTGGATGCAACATGTCCCTTAAAATCTATTTTTTCCACTTCCACCCAGATGTTTTCTCTCCTAGTTGTGGAGCTGTTTGCGATGAACATGGAGAAAGATTCCATCAGGACATTTCTGTAATGGAACAAAGATATCAGAGCCACTGGAATGAAGCAATACTTGGGGATAACTGTTGGTCTTTGTGTAGGGATGCTCCGGAACTCCCTTATAAGAGGCCAGCTAAATGACGACGATCTCATGATGCCACCACATTATCTCTTCAGACACGACCATCTGGGTATCTTCAGCATTTAGAACTCTTAGAATATAACTACCATTTTGAAAAATCAAATACACTTTCAATGTTGTTAGCATATATAGTTAAAATGTATCATTTTCTCTTAACACGTTAATATGAAATACTTCCACCTCGTGTATATCACAGAAGCTAGAGCTTCTTCTTCTTCTACGGCACTACAACTCATGAAGAGTCTTGGCCTCCTCAAGACGTGTCCGCCAGACGTCTCTATCCTGCGCAGCCGCTTTCCAGTTACGTACACCAAGTAGTGCACATGCATCCCTTGCCACACAATCCTGCTATCGCAGCTGTGGTCTTCCTACTTTCCTAGAGCCTTGTTCATTGCTCTCCATAGTTATTTTTGGGGATTTCATCATTTTACATCCTCGCCAAATGCCCTGCCCATCGCATGTGCATGTGACAAACGCTTCTTTCATAGCATTCATCGATCTGGCCATTATGTAGATGTCGTCGGCATATGCAAGTAGCTGTACGGTCTTATTGAATAGCGTACCAGTAGTCTGGATGCCAGAATCCCTCACAGCTTTTTTGAATGCCATGTTAAATAGGAGGCATGCAAGAGCATCTCCTTGTCACTGTCCTTTAGTTGTCATGAATCTCTGTGATAGGTCTCCCTGTACTCGGACGACACACTCTACGCCCTTCATGGTCATCCTGACGAGGCCGACCAGTTTTGGTGGTATGTTCATTCCAATCATTGCCCTGTATAACTACTCTCTATCAATGCTATCATAAGCAGCTCTAAAATCTATGAAGAGATGATGAGTTTTAACATTATACTCCAGATTTTTCTCCAGCAGCATTCTAAGGGTGAATATCTGATGAGCGGTCAATTTTTCTCTTCTGAATCCACACTGGTATTTGCCGATCTCTCGCTCTGCAAACGGCAGAAGCCTCTAGAAGAGCACGTTTGATAGAACTTTGTAAGCATTGGAGAGCAGAGAAATGCCTCTATAATTTTCACAGTAAAGTTTATCGCCTTTCTTGTATATAGGACATATCACAGACTTGTTCCAATCCTTAGGTAATCTCTCTTCTGTCCAGATACTCAAGAATAGCTCGCTCAAGATTTTTATTACCTCGGTTTCCCCATATTTTATAGTTCACCTGAGAGTCCATCAAATCCTGGGGTCTTGTTGTTTTTGAGCTTTCTTATTGCCACCTCTACTTTCTCATCATCTGGTGATTCTAGATCATCATCGGCACTATAACCAAGTGTTGCAGCATCCTCATCAATGTTGTTATTTCTCAATCCTTCAGTAAGGAGCTCTTCGAAATATCTTCTCAATCTATCTAGTATATCCATCTTCTCCATCAGGAGATTACCATTTCTCCCCCTGAATTATGCCTGTAGAGAAAACGATGGCACACTTGTCACCGATGATATCAATAGAGGATGTCAAGATAATACACTCCCAAGTGACTTCCTGGAACGGTATTTGTAGATGAGGTATTTGTAGAGCCCCCAGATGAAGAGGAAATACATGATGCAATTGGGAAATTAAGGAATAACAAGGCTCCAGGAATCTATAATATCCCCGCTGAGCTCTTTAAAAGTAGTAGAGGTGAAATAATAAAATTCCTCCAAGAGTTATTGATCGATATAGCATTTCCAAGTCAATTTCAACCTTTTCCAAATCAAATTCAATCTTTTCCAATGCCAATTAAACCTTTTCCATTTAAAATTCAAAACTTTTCTAAGTCATATTCAACCTTTTCCATTTCAAATTCAACTTTCTTCCTATCTTACTGATAGACACTTCAAAGTAAATCACAATAATGCCTATTCATCCCTCTTTTCTCAATCTGCCGGAGTTCCTCAAGGTAGTATCCTTGGTCCTACCCTTTACACAGTTTATACAGCTGATATCCCAACCCATCCTAACACTGTCATCACTACATATGCTGATGACACATGTATTCTGTCAGTTAGTAATGATCCAACACTTGCATCCCAAACTCTTCTATCACACATCACAAACCTTGAAGAATGGTGTCAAAACTGGAGGATGAAAATAAATTCCAATATATCCCATCAAATCACCTTTACCCTTCGTCGTAAACCAATGACTTGCTGCCCTATGGCATCCTTTAATAACACCCCACTTATCCCTGTAGAACAAATCCGATACCTCATACAAGACTGAAACAACAAGAAACTGCTCAACGTTTCCGCTTACTCCAACACTTACTAGACAAATTCTCTAAACTTCCCATTAATTACAAATGAATCATATACATGACTATAATAAGACCAATTTGGACTTATGGAGTTGAACTATGGGGCTCCACTAAACCATCAAATTCCTCTCGTATCCAATCTTTACAATCCAAAATCCTTCGTAAAATTCTCAATGTTCCTTACTTTGTCACAAATAAAATAATCCATCCTCAATGTTCCATATGTTTCCGATTTGGCCGAATCCAGATACCTATCCTTCCATAATAAACTTCATAACCATCCAAATCCTCTTGTTTCTAACCTTGCTTCCTCTTCCATTCCTGATAACCCTCCGAGGCGTCTGAAAAGAAGATGGTCTCGTGATCTCCTCATGTAGACAAATTATTAGAGTGATACCAATGGGTAGTTTCTCAACAAGTGTGTTTCATGTTATTATATTCCTCTGTTCATATTTACTTGATGTATTCATACTAATACAGTTGTAAATATCATAATAAAAGTTAAAAATAATAAAAAAAAAAATATTAAAAAATTGCAAACATAAAATAAAAGTTGAAATGAAAGCAATGAATTTCCAGTATTCCGAATTAAATATTCTGTTGAATATAATTTATAGCATAAGAAAATATAAATACCCCCTTGTTTTAAATACATTGATACATTTTGATAAATAACCAAATAAAATTGTAAATCATTTATACAAAAATAAAGAATGCTGAAAGTAAAAAAGATTAAAATCAAAATATTTCTGCCGAGAATAAAAGTATACAAAAATAAAAAAACCTTCGGTAAGAATAAAAAAAAAAAAAAAAAAGTCATTTATATAAATATAAAAAACCTGAAGATAAAAAAAATAAAGTAAAAATATTTCTGGCGAAAATAAATGTATACAAAAATAAGAAAAAGCTTCAATATAAATAAAAAAAGCTACATTTATATAAAAAAAAAACACCTAAAGATAAAAAAAAATAAAGTAAAAATATTTCTGGCAAAAAAAAAAAATTAAATGCAGACTCAGGGTAACGTGTAAACAACGTTCAACTGAATACGTCAAGGGCACTTGGTTTTCCTATAATCACCGGTGGGTATCCATCTGACTGTCTGCAGCGAATTTTTCCTCCACTAAACCAAACATATTTTATTTTTACAGTCAATTTCCTCTGCCTGGCTAACCAATAGAGGTGTTTATTGGTGGGCGTCATGGCTTCACTTACATATACGCGGTGTGAGTCATTCTCTCCCCAGCCTAGATGTCGTGTGGAGAAATCTATATAAGGGTGTTTTCTTTAGTTCCGGAGCCGTAGATTTTGAAAATGACCTCCATTTTATGATTAGACCACCGCGTTTTAACTTATTTAAGGTTTTTAGATCTACGGCTCCGGAACTATAAGAATACACCATTATATCGAATAAATCAAAAAAACTTAAATAAGTCGAGACGCGGTGGCGTAATCATAAAATGGAGGCCATTTTCAAAATCTATGGCACCGGAAACATAAGAATACAACTTGTATCGAATAAATCCAAATATCAATCAAGACCATAATAAATTGGAATAGGTAAAATAAATCAATATCCATAAGTGTAACATAAAATCGATAGTATTTTGAAAAACTCTCCTTAGGAGAGAAAAATAATAGACTTTCATATTGTAGGAGGGGGATGGCCCTTATTTAAAAAAAAATCAAAAATTTACAAAAATTCTAAACATTAATTTGAAATGGAAACGGTTGAATTTGAATTGGAAAAAATTTAATTTGAAATGGAAATGGTTGAATTTGACTTGGAAAAAGTTTAATTCGATTTGGAAAAGGTTGAATTTGTCTTGGAAAAAGTTGAAATTGACTTCGAAATGCTATATATGGAGAGAAGAAAGACTACCTGCTCAATGGAACAAAACGGTGATTCATAAGAAAGGGGAGGTATTGGTATTTAATAACTACAGAGGCATCTCTCTTCTTCTCACCGCATACAAAATTTTATCCATCATAGTCTTCAATAGACTGCTTCCATTTGCCGAACAAGAGCTCAGAAAGTATCAATCTGGATTCCGGAAAGGAAGATCTACGACAGATCAAATGTTTACCCTACGAATCCTGTTGGAGAAAACAAGGGAATACCAGATACATACTCACCACCTGTTTATTGATTTCCAACAAGCCTACGATTCCGTGAACAGTGTAGAAGCGTATAAGGCAATGGTGGATATGAGCACTCCTACCAAACTGGTTCGTCTAGTAAAAATGACGATGGAGGACAAAATATGCTTTGTTAGAGTAGGCGGAATACTATCAAGAGGATTCACAACGAGGACAGGTGTGAGGTAGGGTGATGGCCTGGCCTGTTTGGTGTTTAACTTTTTGAGAAAGCTATTAGGGACTCTGGTATCCAAGTAACAGGAACACTTCTCAACAAGACAGTCCAGATTTTAGGATTTGTGGATGACTTGGACCTTGCGGGAAGAAATATAAATGCCATAAGAGAAGCTTTTAAAGCATTAGAGGAGTCTGCAGCAAGACTGGGCCTAGTGGTGAATGTTGAAAAAACGAAATATATGTGCACCCTACCTACCCAGGAAGATGATGGGAGTCATGTCTCGATAGGTTGCCATAGATTTGAAAGAGTGGATTCATATACCTGGGATCCCAGATCAACCGTAATAATTGCATTGAAGAAGAAATCCAAAGACGGATCCTCTCCGCAAACCGCACCTATTACTCCCTCCATAAACTCTTAAGAAGTAGTGTGTTGTCGAAGGCCTCGAAAGTGAGAATTTATAAGACAATTATACGACCAGTTCTTACATATGGCTCAGAATGTTGGACTACAACTAAAGCCCTTGAGCATCTCTTTCTCTGTTTCAAAAGAAAAGTGCTTCGCCGTATATATGGTGGTATATATGAGGGAGGTGCATGGAGAAGAAGAACTAATGCGTTAAGACGTATAGACGTATCAACATTTGTAAAGGTATCAAGACTTCGCTGGGCTGGTCACGTCATAAGGATGGATCCAAACGAAGTTCCTTACAAGATCTTAGCTGGGCAATTGTATGATACCAGGCGGGTTGGACGCCCCAGACTTTGTTGGGAAGACTGCGTGGCTGCAGACGCGAGATCTCTGCTCGGTGTTATGAACTGGAAGGCAGCAGCACAGAACAGGGAGGACTGGCAATCTTAGCTTGAGCAGGCTATGACTCAAATAATGGGTCGTAACGCCGAATAAAAAAATCAAAAAAATCTGGGGATTTCCACGTACCTTTATGAATATTTTTATGTGGGAAGAGCGTACTACCTACGATTAGGTTTTTTTAATGCGGCAAAGTTCACTCATCTTTGTCCATTATCATTAGTGTCATTGTGCAGGCTATCCTGACCAATAGTCGGGAAGAATACGCTCTCATTGCCAATCTTTGAGTTGACATCACCCATTATTATCTTTATGTCAGCTCTAGGACATGTATCTACTGTTTTTTCAAGAGTCTCACAAAACTCATCCTTTTCTATGTCATCTGACATTTCTGTGGGTGCATGAGCGCTGAAAAGGCTATAATTAAAAAATTTTCCTTTTATTCTTAAGTAGCAATTTCTGGGGTTTACAGGCTTGAAATCTGTAATTAACGACCTTGCATTCTTACAAACAATAAACCCGGTAGCGAAGCTACGGTGCTTACTATGGCAGCAATAATATATAGTGTGGCTCTTCTTTTCGATGATTCCATGTCCGGTCCAACGTATTTCCTGGATGGCTGTTATGTCCAAGTTATATCCGTCAACGACATTTAAGAGCATCTGCAGTGCTCCAGGTCTATACATACTTAAAACATTCCAATATCCAAAAATAAGATCCTTTTGTTGGCCAAGTCGTTTCCCTGAGATCAATCCGGTTTTTTCGCTTTGAGGTTTCCTAATAGGTTAATTTGGAATGTACGGATTATCGGCCCATAGCATCCGAGTCCGATGGTAGGACTGCTACCTTGAAGCCTTCGGACCTGCTTCCCCATCCGGGGCAGAAGGTAGCCCCAGTGTGTATACTCTTAATGCCTTTGTCTGATGTGTAATGTATGTGTACTGTTCTGGTGAGTGAGCATGGTGTACTGAGCTGTGGTATTCCGTGAGGGCGCTGATCCCTAGGCATCTGCATGCAACAGATACCCCTTACGGGAGGCTGATTGCATCCTAATTGGATGGGCGATGGGGTCGCCAATTCCCTACACCAACAGAAGCTAGAGCTAAAAAAAATATTTCATTGCCATATTCGTTTTTCTCAACCCAAAATTAGTAAGAATTGATTCATAAAGTGCTGGAAACATTAAAAAATTTGTTTTTTGTTGTCCAGGGAAAAATGGTAATACAATTTCTAAAATTAGATCTACTTTTAGTAATATTAATAAGTATTTAACAACCCAATAATAATAATAATAAAACAAATCTTATACTTACTCCATAAATGTCATAAATTTACTTGTACATGCCACTCCTCTTAAAAGTCTTAATGCTTCTCCTGTAGTAATCGTTTGAGTTTTGGAAAAACTATATAAATATTTTGCAGTTTCTTCATCATAAAATTTTGCACCCATGCAGTAGATGATACTTTTTAATTCTATAAGCATTCTAGACAGGTATTATTATTCCAAAAGTTTAATAGTTAACCAGAAATAAATATATACGTTAATAAAAAAAGATTTACATATTTTTTGATAAGTATGCAGGATCATCTTTCCAATTAAAAAATTTTTGAAGAGCCCACCTGAAAAAAAGTTACATTAGCAGTAATTATAATATAGCTGGATAACTTTAAACTGAAATTCCTTTTTGAAACATTTTCATCATGGTAAATTTAGTACGACAATATTTCTACTATCAATTTAAGAAGAAGATATTAAGGGTAATGTGATAATTATTCACTTCCCTTAAAAACTCTTAACCATGAATCCCATGAAAAGAGGAGCTGGGCAAAACTTGGTCAATGACATAATGCATGTTTAAAGAAATTCAAACTTTTCACCTGGAATTTTTTATCCATTTACAAACCAGGGGCTTTGCAACAGCTCCTTACACAACTGAACCTGAACTCCTACAATATAGACATTGCTACTGTCCAGGAGATGGTGTCAGTGGCGGATCCAGGAATTTTCTCAGGGGGAGGGGCACCTCTGTACCAGGTGCTTTCCCCATCCCTGCCCATTTCTTCCCACTCCTTAGCTGAGTTTAGCTGTTCAAATGGTTTTAACAAAAGCAAACTCTATTTTTATTTAAAGTAATTTTTTTCTAGTTTGTAATGAAGCTATCATTAACTAGTTAAATTAAATAGTTTTTTATTATCACTTCCTATTCAGCAAAATCAGTGACACATAAAAAATCACAAAACTTTAATTTCCTACTTTTCTGCTGAAAATCGAACCATTGTTTATATAAACTTTTTTGTATTTATTGAGTTCTGCTATCACTCCTTTAAATATTTCCTTCTACTTAAGAGAAATCCTGTACATGGTTTAGACATGTAAAAAACTGAACTGCTAATACGGGTCACCAAGAGAAAAAGCCGAAAAATCAAGATTTATCTGATCGTTTTTATTCATGGATTACTACTAAAGAGTGCATCAAAGCAAAACCGTATTCTTTAAGAAATTAAAGAACATAAAATTGTGCGTCGAACGAGTATCTAAACTGAATAATTTGATTAATTGATTAGATCGATAAGCACGGTCAATGAACATTAATTTTTACCGACATTGTCAAAATCTGTGAAAGATAACTATAAATGGTCCTGCAGTTAGGAAATGAGTTCTCTAAGAAAAAAAACTCAGAATAATTTCCGATTCCGATCATAATTAGCTTCCCGGTCAAATCAGAGACCAAATAATTAACTCATTCCTTCATGAAAACGTTCCCAACAGCAGCTATTTTAAGAAAAAAAACAATACTATCTAATGAGAAATATACAAATTATGTGACGTTTTATGAATCGCATGGATTCTTTAAGGAGACTATGAATGGTTGAATGAAAGATATTTTCTTAATTTATCACTTTGCATAATAATGTCAATTAAAGAAGTTGGAGGTTGCAATGCGACCAGATCTATTGGAACTGAATAAAAATTGGGCACGTGAGAAAACCTCTATTTTCTTGTGCTTGAATAAAAGGTTGTTCGAATGAATAAATAAAGTTATTTCATTATGTTTTTAATATATTTTCCTCTATCATGTATCTGACCTGGGAGATTCAGTTCGGAGTCAATAACACAAAATTTTCCTCCATGATTCCCTTTTCTTTAAATAGGTCTTTTTTGTGACTTTTTTCCACCGTCTAAGGGAGGGTGCGCCCCCTGGCAGAAATCGCTAGTGCTGGTCACGATAATCATTTTTTCTTATATTGCTTTAGGAAATTTGTGTATGAGGATGAATTTAACCTACATTTCTCTTTTCTTTAAATAGATGTTTCTGTCAATTTTTTCGGAATTGTTTTCACCTTTTAAGGAAGGGCGTGCCTCCTGGCAGAATTCGCTGGTGCTGGTCACGATAATAATTTTTTTTTATATTGCTTTAGGAAATTCGTGTATGAGGATGAATTTTCCCTACATTTCTCTTTTCTTTAAATAGGTGTTTTTTCAGTTTTTTTCCACCATCAAAGGGATTCCGCGCCCCCCGACCGAATTCGCTAGTGCTGGTCAGGATAATAATTTTTTTTTTATATAAAATTCATTATCTATGAGAATGAATTTTCCTTATATTTCTCTTTTTTTTTTTTACATAGCTACTTTTGAAATTTTTTTCTAGCTTCCGGCTGGATCCGCTAGTGGATGGTGTGGACCAGTCAAGGCATTTTCAAAAAGAAGAACAACTCAATATTCTACAACTGTAATGACCGCAATCGTACCTTCAGTACTGGTTTTAAGCTCAAGAAGAGAGTGGTCCAGCTTATACTATTCAAGTCTATCAATTCTAGAATATGCTATGTCCTCAGGAAAGATTGATTCTTTAACTACAATTTCATCAGCAACCACTCTCCCACCAAGATCTATGACAGTGTGTGAAGAGAAAGAAGCTTTTTATGTTGCTCTCGAACTATGAGAAATGCCCTGGATCACATGTGAAGATTGTGTTAGATGATTTAAACATGCTGGTTGGGAAGGAGTCTACATTCATCCCCAATATTGGAAAACATAGCTTACGTGAAGTCACCAGCGAAAACGGAACTAGAATGGTCAATTTTGCCATATCAAGAGCCCTGGTCGTCAGTAACACCTTGTCCTCTCATACAAGGATACACCTTGCCATATCAATTTCAAACATTGGAGTGGCCTATAACCAAACATACTATATGCTACTATAGTTTGTGAAAAGACTCGTGAAGATTGCAATTGTAAAGATGAAAATGTTGACTCAGACCACTACCTCATGATTTCCAGAATATAGGCCAGAATCTCTGTCATTTGAGTTCGGCTGAAAGAGCACTCCAAGAAATTTGCTACGAGGAGATTCAAGGATTCAGAGATTGCTGAGCAGTCAGTCTGGACAACGAACTTAGGGCTCCAAACTTTTAGATGAAAAAAAATCTTCTTCTTCTTCCTCCTCCTTGTGTGCCTTTCAGCGTGGAGGAGCCTCCAGTCACTTTGACCAAACATCCCTGTCTATTGCCAATTTCTTCATCTGACCTAGGGTTTTTCCTGTAACCTCACCTACTCACTGGATATGTTCTTTTAGGCCTGCCCCATGGTCTCCTGCCAGTTGGCCTCGCTTCCATGTATTTCCTTTTTTTCAAGATTTTAGAAAAAGTCACAGATAGGCAATGACAGACAGACACAGACTTGAACTGGCACACAGACACACAGAATCAAGACAAAGACAGACACACACTCACACCATTCTACCAAACCATCTAATTTATATTATAATAATTAACAATTAGACATTCAAAAAATATAAGTAGCACTTGTATAAAAACATGTCGATCGGCTGCTGGCCACTTAAACCAATATCCGGTTGTCATGGATCACTGGATGGGTACCATTGTGTCTACAGCCACACAGTTAGGTACTCCTGCACTAAGACATGGATGTAGAACATATGAAGTCCTGTGGGTTTCTTGTGCAGCCTTCATATTATGAAGGTTTATTGTATAATATAGTTCTTGTATGAATTCATATTTAATTATCAATTATTTGGATCTCAACAATTTGAAAATTAGTGTAGAAATAAAAATGTGAACTGTGAGGTATAACAAATTGTACTGGTCTTGAATGATGAAACGGTTTCTCATCCTGCTATAAGGGAATATTAGAAATCATTCTCCCATCAATATGTCACCTTCTCTTCTTTGGTATATGGTGGTGGATTCACTAAGTATTCCATTTAGGCCAGGAACACAGCAGAAGTGATTACCTTCAAATCCAAGAAAAAGTCGTTCGAGCAGTTTTCGAGAAAATTATAAAAATGTGTAAAATCAATTATATAAACTGGCACTTCCGGTTAGCTGATTTAAAGGAAAAAGTTGCTGTAACCAGAGGTGTCCAACCCCTCCCCCAGGTTGATGGCGCATGAACCTCCCTTCTTCCTTCCAAAATATTGAATTGCTCTTCTTAACAACAGTGCAAGCAAAAGTAGAATGTTAAAAATCATAGGTCATATTTACACTTTCAGTGGTCTATTCTATGCTTTCCTCTTGTCCCTTGGTTTGAAACTTTTCACCTCTCAAGAATTTTAAACCACATCAAAATATGTCTCCCCTCAAAACTTTTGAAGGCGCAACTTGCGCCATGAAACCGCCTTCTGGGCACCCCTGGCTGTAACATCCCATTAATATACCTATCTTAAGTACTTAATACCAGTTTCATTTGACTTTTAATTTTTGAGCAAGGCTGTTCACAGAGACCATTTTGCAGGACTTGGTTATTTGGACTCAGGAGACCTCAAATTGTGTATTTCTGTTGAAAATTTAAATTCTAAAATCTTCAGGATCACAATAATTTTCCTTACTATATATTACGTGTATAGTTAAGTGGAATTAAAAATGGAGATTCCACATTGCCACCTGATAATATGTGTGGTACTGTATTAGGTCTGGTTGCATTCATTTTCTTAGGTGACTCACCCAGTTACTTGATTTGTCACCATTCTTCTAGTTGTTAATGGTCTAACCGAGGGCTGCAATATGGCCTGCCTACTTTCACCTGTGAGTCCCAATAAGATGAGAAACATCTCTGGTTACAGAAAGACAACCTTAGAGTGGAGAATTGAAATCTAATAAGACCAATATCATAAATTAAGCAGGAGGATTACTTACAGTTCAGAAATATTTCACAGCTGTTAAATTTGTGTTCCAAAAAAACAAGGTAAAGAAGAACATAAAAGTTTAAAAATTGGATATTTTGTACAAAATCCTATAATATTATATGGAAGATATGATCTACAGATAAAGGCCTTGATGGTAGAAAATTTATGCTGAGGTTTGGAAAGGAAGTATTCAGTTCAAAGAGTTATTTTCAAGCAAGTCAATTGAATTTAAATTGTCACCAGATTTGGACAAAATGGCCCTTATAATATTTAGTTTGGAAATCTACTAATATATTATTTCTAACTTTTTTCTTACTTATCACATCCATTAGACAAGTCATAAAAGCAAGACCATGCCATCATGATCTTTCTTAGCTGACTTTGTATATTTTTCTCAGTCACTTTGCTCCTACAATGAAACAAGACAATTAGCATTCTAACATTATATAAATAATCTATACCAAATGATTCTTACGTTTTGATTTGAAGCTTCAGGGTTACCTCAGACATTATTCCTGCCATATAATGCTGTTAATAAAAGATATATGTAATCCATAAGTCGTCAAGTATATTTGTCTCATACAGAAATAAATACTTTAAAAATACCTGAAATATGTGCCACTCTGGGTAGTTAATTAAAACTTCAGCTAAGTAAGAGAAGTGTTTTAGCGCCACAGACCAAGGAGCATATTCTTCTTCATTCTTCAGATACCTTACATCAAATATTCAATATATTTCATTGAAATTAATATTTAATAAGATAAAATTTAGCAATGACAAAGATTTGTATAAAGAAGAAATTTTAAATGTTTTAAATTACATGATTTCTATACCAGAAAAACAACGCAGCTATAGTGGTACTCAGAGTCGCCATGAAACATGAATTTTAGGATCTGTTTTTAGTTTTTATATTAGAGTTAGAGTGTAAAGATTCCTTCCGTTTAGTTGTGGAATTTGTTTAATTGCACTCGTGAATATTAAAACAAAACCCTGGCACTAGATATAGACTTTTTGAGGGTGTTTAACTGTTGTTGGGGATTTGGGAATCTAATGCCTTTTGTGACACTGAGTGACAAGAAACAATATATATATATATAATGTGGGACTGAGTAAATACAATTTGAATGAATTGACTCACCTGGTTTGTTATTCTTCAATTGTGAGGCATATAGGACAACTAAATGAAATGACTTTTCACTCTTGTTTAATAAAACAATTTATTTTGACAACTGTAATGAATGAATGTATAAAGGTCTTATAACTGTAGGCTTGATATTCTTAGTCTTCAATGTAGTAGGCTTCTCTTCTCAGACAATGTCGTTCCGCCTTCGTATCCAAGCATCAAGTGCCTTCTCTTCTCTCCAGCATCCTACAGCTGTTGCTACCTGCTCCGTCCAATTTCAACCTTTTTCCTCCTTCATCGATTGTTTATCGATACTTTTCAATGAACAATTTGTCCACTGCACAATTAAGTACCATTCACCGTGCAACCTCACATTGCTATATATTCCTTCTCATTCCCTCACACAATGTCACATAAAGGAGTAAATACAGGGAGGTATCTACAACAAGAGGATCACCTTTCCTATGAAGCCACCCCACCCCGGAAGGGGAAGCAGGTCAGGCTGCTAAAGGGGATTCCTCCTCACCTAAACCCAGCGCCAGGCGAGGTGCGCGCCTCTCCAGGTTAGCAAATGGAGGAGCACTGCTCACTACTGCACCCAACAACAGAACATAACTCTCAAAGATCACTCCTGTTGCCCTATGCTCCTTCTTTGCCTGAATGGTTGAGCCCGCCAGGCCGAGATGTTTCAAAGGTTACAGATGGAAACGAGGGATGGCACACCTCGGCCACTGGGATAGTACAGGAGCCTGCACCTCCTAACCAGGAAGGAGTGGCTGCTCCATCAGCCCAGTGTAAAAGTTCGGAAGATGTATTAGTGCCAGTTGGTGACTGGATGGGACCCTGATGCACGGACCAGAGTTGCTCCTTCGGGGCCACTGGACTCTACTCTTGGGTACACGTTCTTCCAGAAAGGGTGTTGTGACTGCGACAGCACCATACATAAACTTACACCATACATTTAACACAAGACACAATTTCTTTTACTTCACAACGACTACCTATGGAAACAACAGAAGACGAGCAGCCTGAAGTGCCAGCTGCAATGGAATTAAAGGCGGGGCAGTCCTCCCAGACTTCACAAGATTCATTAGAAATGGAAGGAGGTAGCTGGCAGGAAGTTAAACACAGACATGACAGAGTGGTACAGCCATACCAGCTTCCATCTAGTCCTTTAAGACACAGGGTGGATTCTCACAGAGAATCCACTCTACTTAGGTCGACTGAGACATATCAGGAAGGGACGCAAAGTCAGTCCTCCTCTGGAAGTGTTTCAAAGGAAGAGGAACTCTGCCGCAAAAAGAAAAGGCGGGCAGAGGCAATTAAAAGGCAAGCAGTAGTGGTGGCCATTAGGGAGAGGCGTCAAACGCCTATCTCTGATCCGGCTATCCATAGGCAGCCTCATTCATCAGGGAGTACCATGGGTCGTTCCCCTCTAGTTAGACAAGAGAGGAACTTCTCCAGATCTCCCTTAGAGCTGATACGGGAGGGAGAAGAGGCTGGTCCTTCTAGTACCCCTTCTCGGGCTAGACAGGTACGGGTGTCCTCTTCAAGGGCCAAACCTGCCATTAAATACACAAAAAGACAGAGACCGGGGTGAGGAGTCCCCACCAACGGATACCCGCCAGCAAGACAAAAAAAGGCTGAAGCAATCGCCTAGAAGGTCCAGTGACTCTGTTGAAGGACCTATCTCACGGCAAGGCACTCAGTTGGATCAGGTGAATACCCGACCCTACAGGGACCTGCAGTAGGGAGGGCATTGCAGGTGGTTATAATGGGGAGCCAGGAGTGTAAGCATATCGCACAGGATGAGGCACAACTCATACACAGGCTCCTCATAACCGAAATCGACCTCAGGTGTAATGAGCCACACCCCAGAAGGAGACCTCTAGCCTTTAAAAACGCTGGCTATCAGGCGGAACCGGGTTGGTTCCTCATCACCTGCACTAATAAAGAGACCAGAGATTGGCTACTGGACTGGGTCCCTCCCACTGACCAAAGGTGGTGAGGCGGTCCACCGAAGCTTCCTGGCCCAGTAGAATTGTTATTGGGCTGGGAGTTAAGGTAAAGGCAACAAGTCGAACCCACCAGACTAATAAGAATCTTGGACTACCAGAATGAGGACCAGGTCGGAATCTTGAGATGGCAGTTCTTAGGAACTGGGGGCGACCTAGGACACCTGAGAGCGGTGTTTAAGGTGCCGGCATCTCAATGGTGTGGTTTGAGGCTCATGAGTGGTGCATAAACTACGAGCTAGTTAGCTTAACAGTTTGGAGGACCCTACCAACCGCCTCAAGACCTGTCAATCCTGTGAGCAGGAAGACACTTCAGGCGCCTGCACTTCCTACTTCTCCTTAACAACAATGGAGTCCAATGTGATTAAGGTAAGACAAATCAATATGCAGCATAATAAATTGGCTACGTTACAAAATGCCCGAATTAGTTAAGCTTCCCACAGGAGTTAAATCAACCCTCGTTCTAATACAAGAACCTTATTATTTTAGGGGAATGATTAAAGGCTTAGGGGGAACAGAAGGAAGAATCATCCGACCTCTCCTAATTGAAGACAAACCTAGGGTATGCATATGGGCCTCCAAGGATTTGTACATACTGTCATTCCCTCAGGTAAATTCAAGAGATGCCGTTGCCTTGAACCTGACTATCAAGGTAGGCATTATTAATAAGATTAAAATGATAATTGGATCTATTTATATTCCTCATAATTTAGACTCTATTTATCAATATGTGGATAGACTCCTCAATATTGCAAAAAAAGAGGACCTCCCACTCCTAATAGGTGGGGATATAAATATAAATGCACATCATCATATGTGGGGTAGTACAGACACTAATGAGCGAGGTGAAACCTTGTTAAAATATATAGCCTCAACAGACTTGGAAATCTTAAATAAAGGTAGTGGACCCACTTTTATAACAAAGAATAGAAGTGAGGTCTTAAACGTCACATTCACTTCAAGCCGAATCAAAAGCCTTTTTAAAGACTGGGTCGTCACCTCAGACATTACACTTTCTGACCATAGGATGATCACATTTGAGATTGAGTTAGTCCAGTCTGTCCCTTCCCTGAAAAGAAATCCAAGAAATACTGATTGGAAACTTTACAGGGAGCGATTGGAAAGCCTCATAACCCATGGGGCAGATAGGCTTTATTCAAGAAACTGTATAGACAAAGAGGCTAGCCTCCTCGAGACTGCCATTTTGGCTGCATATGAGGAGGCTTGCCATTTCAGAACAGAACCAAGGAAAAAAGTTAGGAGGTGGTCTAATGAACTGACCAAGCTACAAAAAGCCACCAGGAGAGCCTATAATAAAGCCTATAAAACAAGACAAAAAGAATATTGGGATTACTATCCTGCCACTTCTAATATTTATAAAAGAGCTCTAAGAAGGCACAAACGGGAGGGTTGGCGAAATTTTTACAGTAATGTGGAAAAAACGCCTGAAGCCTCCCGGTTAATAAAGATCATAGGTAATAACAACTACCTATCATTAGGAGCTTTAAAGAAACCGGACAACAAGTGGACCTCCAGCATTGAGGACACTTTGACTCTTTTACTGGAGACTCACTTTCCTGATAGTAAGGTAATAAATAAAGACAATCCTCCTATCATAGACCCAAATGAAAAAGTTCTTACTAAAGATGAAGAATGGACATGGGTTGACGCGGACGTTACCGAAGGGGCCATTAAATGGACTGTGGGAGAGCTCAAATCATATAAGGCCCTGGGTACGGATGGTATATTCCCTTGTATGCTCAAAGAGGGTTTTAACGTACTACTTCCTCAAATCAAAGCATTGTTCAGATCCTCACTTGCACTTGGAGATATAGCGGAGTCCTGGAGGAAATCATTAATAGCCTTTATTCCTAAGAACTACAAGGAGGATTATAGTGTTGCTAAAGCCTATTGATCTATAAGTCTAACCTCCTTTGTATTTAAGATACAGGAGAAGTTTGTGGCAGTTCACTTAACTAATAAAGTGCTGGCTTATTACACATTACATCCAAACCAACATGCTTATCTCCAGGAAAAATCTATGGATACAGCCCTACACTCTCTTATAGAAAATAGAAAATGCCCTGCACTTTAAGGAGTCTGCGCTAGGATCCTTTTTGACATAGAAGGTGCATTTGATAAGACTGCAGCAGTTTGTAAAACCTTAGTAAACATATCTGCCCCAACTGGAGTTATCAGTTGGGTGAGATTTATACTAAAAAATAGAATTATTGTTCTTTCAGAAGAAGCTGTCAGATTGCAGGCGTGGGCAGTGAGAGGGGGACCTCAAGGGAGCTGCATCTTGACCTATTAAATAGACTGGAGGAAGCTGGAATCTATGCCCAGGTATTTGCGGATGATGGCACGATCCTCATCACAGGAAAGTTCATGAGTACCATTTTTGAAGGAATGCAAGTCTCTTGCACTAGTGCAGGAGTGTAAACAGGTGTTGTAGACACTGGCCTGCTCCAAGAGGGTGGAACTAGTGTGGGACCCTGGTCACAAGAGAATGAAAGGCAATGAAAAAGCCAATGTCTTTGCAAGGAAAGGAGCAGAATTTCCTATTGTAGGTCCAGAACCTGCAATAGGAATATCCAAAAAGCATCAGCAGAAAGAAGTCCTTCATTGGACTTGGAAAAAAACAAGTAAAGAATGGAGGGAATGCTCGGGGCTTAGACAAGCGAAGCAATTGATTAAAAGCCCCTCTTTCTCCAAAACAAAGTGGCTGCTGGGCCCAACTAGGAAAGAAATTCGACTCATCATCAGAGTACTAACTGACCACTGCAGACTTAAAAGACATTTAAAGATTTGTGTGATAGTGGATGATGAACTCAGTAATCTCTGCAGAAGTGCACCTGAAACTGCCTTTCACTTCATAACGGAATGTGAAAGATTTGCGTCACTCAGATACAGACTTCTGGGAGCTGACAGAATCCAAGTATGCAAAGCTGCCTCCATAAAATGATCCAACCTCTTGAACTTCATTAGAAGAACAAAAAGGTTTGAGACAGAATAGAGGTACATTATACAACCACCGGTAGTATCAATTTTTGGCGTTGACAAAAAGGGCCAATTTGCCCACTTGCTGGACTAAGTCCCCCCACCAGTACCAGTATTAGTATATTAGAGTTATTAATATATGTTGTTATATATTAAATCATTAGATTTAATAATGAATAGATTATTTAGTCTTACCTGAGTCCAAGCTTATTTTTTTTATTTAACAGTGTTGAACTTGAAGCTGTACTTCCATTGGAGTCCTGTTTGATAACAGTTTATAAATCCATTTGCTTTATTGGAAATGCATGATCAGCTTTATATTAAACATTTATAATTCATTGAGTTAAAAATTTAATGCACTATTAGATAGATAGATAGAAGTGTTTATTTGTTTATAAAATACATAATATCATATTTGTTTTTTTACATATAATTAAACAAATTATCGACAATGAACTAATGTTCGTCTGACGGGCTGCTCGCCTAATAATCCACTATTAATGTTGATCTGTTACATGTGATCAAATAAAGTCTGATTACTGAGAAGTAATCCCCACTAACTGACAGCTGAACATCTATAGCCTGGATCTCGAGGGTACTTTACATAAGAATGGTGTGCTGTGAAAAGACGCATTAGGCTTGAGATGACTGTTTAAGTGAAAGCCCTAGTGCAGACGCATGGAAGTTACCAGGATGAGAATCTTCCTAATCTTCCAATAAATTCAATTTTACCTCTATTTTTTTCTTATCTCACCATTCATTATAATTAGGACAGATCTTTTGTTTTTTTACTTTTTTGTTGTTATGGATTTTTCTCTTAATACAGTAACATATCATAAAAAAATAATTGAATACATACTGGAACAGATCAGGAGAGGTTTTTCAAAGAAAAGTGGTTCATTAGATAGTGTATAATGATGTTTTTAAAGGCGGTTGTTTAAGGAGTGCATGGTAGAAGAGAAGGAAAAGAGTCAGCAAAATACAAAGATTTTTAAATTTATATAATTTTTTTTCTGTAAACTATCCTTAACCACCTGACCAAACTCTCTTCTCTCCTGTCTATGTTGGACTGTTACTTTCCAATTTTCTATATGCAGCTCTATAGAATCTTTGTAGATTCTTTGAATCTATTTGATTTTTGGCCTCTGATGCTATATCTGGCCAACAATTGTGGCATCTGTTGTTTTGTAAAGGCTTCCTGATGGATTGCTTCAAGCTACATGCACCATCCATCTTAACCTCCTTGCCTCCATGTCATGAAATACCGACCGACCAGTTTCTGTATTGTTTTTTCACTTATATTCTTAATAAGGTGCTGGAGTTCGTTCCTTAAAGAACTATTGTTGTTTTATCAGTACTAGCTTTATTACAGCAACCTTAACTATGATAGTGCTACCCAGTGGGTAGTTTCTTAACAGGCGATTTCATGTTATTGTATTCCTGAGTGCACATTTACTAAATGTATTTTTTTTTTTTTTTTTTTTATAATACAGTTGTAAATATCAATAAATAAAAAAAAAATCTATGATACATTGATTATGGTGTTTGTTGTTAAGAGTTATAAGAACCATCATGGTTTTCAGATCTCCCATAACAATATTTTGGTAGAGTTGTAACTCATACTTGTATTTTTCCTTTTTCTTTTTCATTGTAAAGCTTACTTTATTTTTTTCTGGAATTCTCATAACCCTGTAGCTCCATTTTCTTTTGTAGAGCATTGTTATTTTTTTTATATATAGTTATTTTTTATCACTAAAAGATTTATTTTATTTTGTATAATTAAAGATATTTATTTTAATTTGATCTCAGGCTATTTATTGAATGAAGCTACCAAAATCTCTTATAATATAATATTGGTAAAATTATATAGTAACAATTGAAGCATTTAAATAACTAAGGACTATTTCTTACTACACTAACAATGCCATGGTCATTGGGACACTGTAGTCAAGGGAATTCTCTGATGCCAGTGTGAAAGCATCATCCAATAATTGTGCTTTTAATGAACCTGGGAGTTGTGCAGTTCCTTTTCGCAATCCAGTTATTAACATTTTCCAAAGGTGTCTTGAATAGTTGAAGCGAGCGAATGCTGAAATGTTGATAAAAAATAAATCATGGTAGAAATTATTTATATGACTAATTTAAATGATTATGAGCATCTAAAAAATAACATGTTAAAGTGTAATTATTATAAATAAATGAATGAGATAAAAATTTAAGAACTTATTATGATAAATATTGATCAGTCTAATAAGGCTTAATTCAATTTAACCATTACTTAATCATCACATGACTGTCATATATTCCTTTCAAATACATTACAGTAAAATCTTGATACCTTAACAAGACATTGAGGGAGTGGTGGGGAAGGTTAAAAGAGAGGTTTGTTTTCTTGTCAAAAAATTTTTATAACTTCTTGTTATAATGTAGTACTTGTAAGTTATGGTTATTATAGAAAAAGGTAGGGTGGCCTAGCAGGATAATGCGTGTGCAAAATATGAGAGTTCAAATCCTGGTGCTGGGGGGATTTTTAACTTCGGCATTAATCTCTCGTCCTAGGAAAAACCCTGTATGTTGAATTGCCATATTGAGGCATTCATTGTTGTGTAGAAACTTCCTGATGATTGCTCCAAGCTACAAACCCTGCACATCTTAAACTTATTGTTTTCATATCTTGAGATACTGATTGACCAGCTTCTATTAGTTGTTTGTTAGCATTTTCCTCTGTATGTTATTACTCTGACCCTAGATCCCTCAGATTACCCTTCCACCCAAATTTTTCAATAATTCTTTCTAAAAGCATTGTATACCTTTGAAGGCATGCCCCTTTGATATTTTTAAAAACTAAAAATAATATTGATCAATTAGGTAGGTATAAAAAATTACACAAAATTCAGGTATGTTATATATGTTGTTTTTTCACAGTTTATTCACGATAAGTTCAACTTACTTTTACTTTTTTTATTTTTTTTTTTTTTACCATTTTACTGAAGTTGTTTCTCCTTATTTTACTTTAAAATTTACATCTCTAGTTTACAATGTCACTATGTTTGTGCTCTGCTGTTTCATTAAAACTGTCCATGTTTCTTTTAGAGACTAACCCATTTTCTATGTTCTCCCTTGTGTGGTAACTTCCTCTACTTTACAAATTTTAGAGACTGTAGACCGTAGACTGTATAGTACATCAATTATGGATCTATAGATTTCGTCTAAAACCAATTTTCATATTGAAGAGGTCTTCCAGTCATATACTAATCTTTCGAAGGAGTCATAGAAGCTCTCCATATTTTTTTCTCAGTGGCATTTAATATTATGGATATGGGTTTAATTATTGGTTAAGACCAATACCAAGCATTGTGGTCATTCTTTGTTTCCATCTGATTGTTATAGACAGTCATTACAGTATTTCCTTTTGGATTAAGATACTTGACAGATTAAAAGATACTTGACATCTTAAACTCTAATAATGACCCTCTTATAATTTTTGGTTAATCATAAAATCTAATAATCAATTTTATTCTTCCAAATTTTTTTCTTTAAATATTTTGAGGTTGAGATAGACATTAAGTAAAAATTGTGCTAATTATTGCTATTACAATATAATGATAAACTAAACCTGAATAATGAGGGTTGAAAATAATCCATGTATCATTGAAATGAACCTTTATATGAATACTCTGTTGCTGTTTCATCCAATGAGTGATAGTGTAATCAAAATGTAAATCTTTTCCAGTCAAGTAATTGATGGGTATCCACCATGAACTGTAATCATAATTTGAACCTGGAGGTGTAACCTAGAATTTAAAATTGTTTAAGTCAATTTATTTATTTAGTTTTTAATAAATCATTTTAACTGTATTGAATTTATACATTAATAAAGAGAACAAATATTTATGATTTATTATTTTAATATAAATTTCAATACTGAAACAGGAAATGAGTGGAGTGAATTTTCTGGGATTGAATAAGTCAAACAGTTAATTAAAAATCTTTCTTCTAGCGCCAATTGCTAAGAAAATGCTGCACTAGATAGATACTGTACTAGGCCACTGCAGACTTAAAAGCAATTAAAGATTTGTGTGATAACTAAAGGGTCATTCTGAATACCTGACAAACAAATAGGGTAGAGAGGTATGAAGGGAGGTTGTGTAAATGGTTCTTCCCAACCTGACCTGTTGAGGCAGGGAAGTTGGTTGAAATTTCCTTCTGACATTGAATCCTCTATTACTTCGCCCTTACTTTTGACATTACATGTGCTATTTCCCATCTTTTTCCAAACATCCAATCTGTGTTTAATTTTTTTTTTATAATCAAACATTATATACAACATAGGTTATATATATACCATATAACATGAATAGGCTAAGTGTTAGTGATAGTGAGGAGTGGAAGGATGGTTGGATTGGACTTTATAAATGAAACTCACTTGCTGGTGACAGGGGACTATCCTCCATCTCCCTACCCAACTTGTTAGATGGGGAAGGGTTTTCTAAATACTAAATGGTCTTTAGGTACAAGCTTCTGAGCTCGGAAAGATTTCTAGAGCCGAAGGCTTCCTCCATCAAATGGTCATCCCTCTTGAACTTCATTTAGAGAGCCAAAAGATTTATAAAGGAGATGAGACTGTTTCAATTTAAAATAATATTATTGCAAAATGAAATTGAACAGTCTATATCCCCCAGTGTCAATAGTCAGATGGTCTTTGATCAACATAGTTCACTATCCAGTAAGCCTTTGGAGCCAGCAGTGGACCAGAGAGATCCTTTGATAGTCTCCTATCATCGCAGTGGGTATGACATCTGTTCATATCTAATTGTAAAATCAATTAAAGGATTGTTAACAATACATCATTGTACCATCAACCAGAGGACTGTAAAAAAGAAAAGGACAATCAAAACCAACTAATCATGTATATTATTTTATTTAACTATAAATGTTAACAAATTGTAGCCATATCATTTATCCGACTCATACCTTCAAAGGACAAGAACCATTAAACATCATATAATAAATGATGATTTTATTTGATTAAGTGTTTTAGTATAAATTACTTACATGCTCAACTATAACAGTATTATCCTCTAAATCTACATTTAAAGTTGGATAGTAATTGAAGCTCCATGAATTGATGAACTCTTTTATATCTAGGTTCTGTTGAATGACATTGAAACTATCCCAAAATACATCAGGACTGACGTTCTGCAGTGCCCTGCATGATAAAAATCCTGTCAATGATTCTATAAATCTAAGTATAAGTGGAGTGTATTAGGATTTTAAATTTTAATTATTTATACATATAGTCCTATTATAAATTTAATTCTGTGAAATAATATGGAGCTAAACAATTATTTTAAACTAGATTTTATATTATTACATTGGTTGGAAGAATGTAAAGGATTATCACTTTACTTGATAATCTAAAAGATATACAATAAACTTATTTATGTTGTGAATCAATATTAACTGAAGGTAATAACAAATTAATGTTTATTTTAGATTTAAATATTTTAGAAACTCTAAAACCCTCTCCTTTGGAAACTTTCTACAATAAAAATGATACCTAAACCTTCTAAACCTACCAGTAACCCTTCTTCTTATCGTCAGATTGCACTCTTACCCATAATGGGCAAAATATTTGAAAAATTATTTCTTCTTAGAATAAAGCCAATCCTAGAAAGTCGGGAAGTTATTCCGAATCATCAATTTGGCTTTTGTTCTTACCATTCCACTGTACAACAGTGTCATCGTATAGTAGACCCTATCTCAGTAGCCTTTGAAAAAAAAGAATTCTGCTCAGCGATATTCCTGGATATCGAGAAAGCGTTTGATTGCATCTGGCACAAAGGTTTACTGTGGAAAATAAAACCACAGCTTCCTACAACTTACTTCCTGATTCTTCAATCTTTCTTTCTTGACAGGTTCTTCTGTATTACTATTGATTCCTCTACTTCTCCCTTCTTTACTCAACTTGCGGGCGTACCACAAGGTAGTGTTTTAAGCCCTCTTCTATTTTCTATCTACACATCTGATATCCCTGAGCACCCACCATTCTCTATAGCTTTGCTGACGATATGGCAATACTTTCTTTTCACAAAAATCCCACTATCTCTTCAATAGCCCTTCAAAATCACCTGCACGACCTTGAAAAATGGTTTCATAAATGGAGAATTAACATCAATCCCAGCAAGTCAATTCATGTTAGCTTCTCCCTGAGGAAGATCTCGTGTCCTGCTGTAACAATAGACAATAAACCAGTTCCCTCAAAAACACATGTACGGTATCTCGGACTACACTTGGACAAAAAACTCACCTGGAACATTCACACTAAATTAAAAAAACAAGAACTGACTAGACGATACAAACAACTGTCACATCTTTTAGACTACAGATCTCCACTCAACTTACTAAACAAGCGACTAATCTACTCCACTATACTAAGACCTATTTGGACATACGGAGCAGAACTTTGGGGTTCCGCAAATCACACACACATAAACAAAATTCAAACCACACAATCCAAAATACTCTGTAAAATTGTCAATGTTCCTTGGTTTATTTCAAATCACACCATACACACAGACATGAACATACCAAAAGTAAAATCCTACATACACAACAAGTACACAACATTTCACTCTTCTACTCTCAATCATCCAAATCCACTCGTTCTATCTCTATCATCCTCCCTGTTACCTGGTGAGCCTCAAAGACGACTAAAAAGGCAGTGGCCTAGAGATCTGCTGAAAAGTTAAGAAGATATCAGGAATTCAAGAAGATATAATTAACGCCAATACATTTGCTTGATGCGTTCCAACGCAGTGGCTAATTTAAAATAACAAAAATAAATAAAATAAAAAAATATTTTAGAAGAGGATACAGTTGATTGGATTGCTTAAGAAAAATTGGAAACTTGGGATTTCACAATTTGTTTTAGGGTTTTGGGAGGTTTGAAAGGAGTGATACTAGACAGAATCTTTGTAAGAAGAAGCCTTGACATTTTTATTTAAAAGAATGAACAATGACCATTTTCCAAGTGGTAGGAAATGCTGAATTCTGAAGGAAGAAATTGAATAGATGAAAAAGAGAAGTAGAAGGATTTCTAGGAGATATAATTTTATTAATTTGATGGGAATGCTATCCAGGCCAGTAGAATTAGTATGTGATTTCATTGTAATTGGTGGAGAAAATATTGGAAAAATTAAAGTCTTCATCTTTAAGTGATGTCCCAACAGAAAAACAGGAAGAGGGGGATAGAGGAGAGGCAGGAGAAGGAGATATGAAATGTGAATTCAGATCATCAGAAGAAAAAGTAAAAACTAGTGGGAGAGGTTATCTAGAAGATTCACAAAGGAAAATTTTGCAGAGAAGTAGTAATTTTCATTTAGAATTAGGAACTGACAAGAAAGCTTCAGGGAAGTAGGTAGATTTGCCACGCTGGTCCATGTTTGTGTCAAGTTGTGGAGTACATTGAACAATTGGTGGTCATCTGCGAGACTAGTAGACGCTTTGATTGAAGATCCTTAATTTAATTGCACATTTAGGGTTCAGGGCAGTGACAAAAGATAGAGGTTTTGTAGCACCTATGATACTGAGGAGGTTGGAAGTAAGAATGTCAACTATGTAATTGATAAAAGAACAAGATATATTACTTTTCAATGTATGGATACAAGATGTGGTAAGATTTCTTCATGAATGAGTGAATCTAAATACTGAAAAGTAATGATTCTAGGATTAATAGAAGGAGTTTGAATATTATATGATACTTGGGTAAAATCATGAGATTCTTCATGAGAAAGAACACTGGCAATTGAGAAGAGGAAAGGTTCTATGTGGAGTTGATAATATATAGGTTTAACTATGTCAGATCTGTAGGTGTGGTAGTGGGAGAAAAAGGAATGATGAAGAATTAAAGTGAGAAAAATAGATTTTCAAAATAGGATTTATCATTTGAATCCTTAAGGAAATGAATGAAAATGAAAATATTTTTATTATGCAGGGACTGTTCTCCTTTCAGGACAAATTATAGATACAGAAAAAATGTCTGTGTGACCATACATTAATTTAAATATTTACAAATGTTATTAAAATTAAAATATTGGAAGAAGAAAAAACCAAAAAAAAACAACACTAAAAACATACAGATATTTTTATAAAGCAAACATGAGAAAATAAAATAAAATAAGTAAACGAAATAATTTCTGCAGAAACTTAAAAAGTTCTCTTATGCACATTCCATGATCAATTGGATTGGGAAAGGAATAGGTACTTAAAAAGAAGAGATTTAAATGAGGAAACTGATTGTGCATGTAGTAATTTTGGGAGGGATGGTATTCCAGAAGGAGACGACTTCATTATAAAGCATTTGTCAAATGCATCATTTCGGAGAGGAGGTGGACAGAGGTCGTAAGTATGGGATCTAGTTGGAGGGGATTGAATGGAATATTTAAATTGTAGGCTGTGAAAAATATAGGAAGGTCGCTGAGTTCTAATGGCTTGGTGTAGAAACCTAGCAAGGAAGTACAGAAGGCAGTTGGATGGATAGAGCCACTTCAACTTGTATACTGGGTGATGTGGGTATCTCTTGAGATTCCGAAAACAAAACGTATTGCGCAATTCATTAGGTGTTTAAGTTTGACCTCGAATTCTCCCGAGAGTCCACTGTACACCAGACAGCCATAGTCGAAGTGTGGGAACAGGAGAGGAAACCAGGAAATGAAGGGATTTATATGGAAGGAGAAAGCGCAGACGGTTAAACTGTTACAGGGTAGAGATAGTACGATGGGAAATTGGGGAGATGAGTGGTTTATAGGAGAGAGTTTGACAAAAGGTAACACCAAGGTTTTTACGGATGAATGGAATGAGATAGATGAGTTGTTCAGGAAAAGATTGGGCAGTGTCGGTGAAGATTTGAGGTGTGAGGAAGATCAGGATGGCTTTCATCTTCTTGGTGTTTAGAATAATCCTATTGTGGTCTGTCCAGACACAAATTCTGTTTATATCTTCCTGTAATTTTTTATGGCATCAGAGGATTTGGTCGGATTAAAGGAGAGATAAATCTGGATATCCTCGGCATATAGATGGTACTGACACTGTAGGATAGAGGATGGGAGGTCATTGATGGAGATGGAAAAAAGGGTGGGAGATAAGGAGGAGCCTTGTGGGACACCTCTGGAGAAGAGTAGAGATTCTGATGGGTGGTTATTGGGGACTACAACATACTGGGAGTGACTGGTAAGGAAAGATTGGAATCAATTAAGGGAGCTTCATTAATATTTTTAACCTTCATTAGGAGAATTTTGTGGTCTACTGAGTCAAAGGTTTTGGATAAGTCAAGGAGAATAAGGGTGGCGAGTTTCTGCTGGTCCATGGCTGTATGAAAAGCTCTTGGGAAATTTTGATGCGGACACACTGAGTGGAGTAGTCAGGCCAGAAACCGGACTGGTTGGGATTTAGGAGGTTATTCTGTTCTAAAAAGTCGGATAACTGGGTTTGAACTAATAGCTCTAAAGGTTTGAGAGGAGATAAATTGGACGGAAATCATTAAGAGTTGATGGGTTGGAGGTCTTTTTCAAAGGGGGAACTAGTGCAGTTTTTCAGGATGTAGGGAAAGTAGTATTTTGTAGTGAGTAATTGTAGATATCGTAGAGGAATAGAAGAATACAGATGGTAGAGAGACTTTGATCAGTCTGACTGGGATGTTATCGGGTTCATAATCATTGGTATGTGATTTTCGAATGGAGTTGAGGAGGTCGTCAGGGATAATATGTGAAAAAAAGTGGTCAGAATTAAAATTAAAAGAGGAATACATAAGAGCCGGTATGGTCGCAAGAGATGAGGATGAGAATGGACAGGAGACAAAGTGAGCGTTAAGGTCATCAGTAGAAAAGGAAATGAACTGGGTTTGAAGTGTGTTACAAATGTTGGATAATGAATGATGAAAATAAAGGGATTTGGCGTATAGCAGACTGAGTGCTGTTTCGAAGTTGCTTGAAGGTGATATAATCTTCTGGGAGTTAGGTACGTTTAAACCGCCGTCTTGTAGCATCTCTTCCTCTCATGCATTCTCTCAGAGTATATTTGAGTAGAAAGGGATCAAGTTGTAAAGGGAAGTTTTAAATAATTCATCATAATAATGACACTTCTATTGAGAATAACCTTAACAATAAAAATATATGAATCTAAACGAGAAACAATGAATGCAAATTTCAAACATAAATTAAAATGTCTAAACGAATCAAACTTAGACTGTTCTTATAAATACAAATAAAAATATTACCAAAACATATTAAATCAAAAACAACAAAATTATAATATTGAAAATAAATAAGGGCAAAAATAGAAATAAAAACTAAAATTTGCAGAGTAATGAAACATGCAAGTGCATGTCATGCAAATATGTTCAGATCTCATGGCGAATTAATCACAACATGTTCGATTGCTGGATGTTTGTTTGAATGAATGTTTAGATTACTGGAGTTGATTATTTTGTAGTAAAAGGGATTCAAGTTAAATAAGGATTATTCAAAACATGGATTGAATGAAATGATGGGATGGTATACTATGGCGTAAAAGAGAGGAGAAATATAATAGGAAATTTCAACTCAATTTATGGATGATTGAATAGAGGAGAATAGTTGAGTATTCAAGTTCTCATAACTTATAATTAATATAAACATCATTATGTTGCACGAAGCAAACAACAGCTAATGTTCCGTAATAGGATTAGCTCCGGACTACTAACTCTCCCTCAATTCATCTTACACCATTAGCTTCACTACAAACCAAGGAAAAATAAAAGAGATTGATCTGAAATTAAGATATTGTAAGATTAAAGGTGTTTATTAACATTTGTCACTGGCCTGACTGTAAGTATACAGGATTATAAATATATTAAAGTTAAGAAAAATAGATTTACCATTTTTTAAAAAAAAATCGAATTGCTTCTTGAAAAGGTTCAGGTTTCAAAATGTTTTGAACCATGTGTAATAAAAATGCTCCTGAAAAGGAAAAAAAAAAAAAAAAATCTAAGATGACCTTCGTATGATATGATTTTCATAATGTATTTTATTTATTTTCTATTTATAATTTTGATGTAGAGATGGTTGACCGTGATATAATATGAGGAGTTGGTCGAGGGAGGGGGGGGGGGGGAGGGTGGAGAGGGAGAGTGCGGTCAAAGAAATACTAAATTAAAAAAAAATAATAGTACTTTTAATTATTACGCCGAACTTTCGACCCACCTTGCAGGTCTTCATCAGGGCGGGGCTTGATAGAGTATATCAACTGCCTCCTGCAGTGACACATGCCCCAGCCTAATGAAGACCTGCAAGATGGGTCGAAAGGATGGCGTAATAATTAAAAACACTATTTTTTTTTTTTTACTATTTATTTGACCAACTCCTCATATTTATAATTTTGAAGAAGAAATTAATTAAATCACCCAATTCAATGATGGCATATCGTTAAGAAAATATAAAATGCAAGATTAAATTAGTTATTAACTAGTGAAAAAGTAATTATAAATTATTAGGAAATTTTTAATAATTTTAGTTAACTATGATATTAAAAACAAACCTTTAGAAGGAGTACCATTTTCCACTTTATTATTTGTATATAGCTTATGTTTGTGAAGTTTATTTTCACCCAAAACTGGAAATCTATGGTATCGAAAGGCATTTTGTTGTATTCTTATAATGAAGGATGAGAAGTCATAATCATTGTACATCTAGACATAAATCAGAATACAATATTCATTATGAAAATGAATGATTATACCATTATATATATATATTGTTTAGCAATTGTTTATTAAGAAATATTACAATTGGTCCCAATTAAGGGCATTTATAATAGTGTTCAGTGAGCACATTCACAGTATATGAAAAATAAATAAGAATAACTTAAACAACAAAATAATATAACTAAAACTATATAAACAAAACAACTAAACTAATCAAAATTACAACTTAAGGACAAACATTCTTTTACACAATATTTACAAAATTCATTCATTCATGGAAACTCTGAACCAAGCCTTTCCCCCTACTCATGGAAGGAAAGACAGGACTCTAGAAGATTCCACCACCTCTCACTCAGCCATATTACTGGTATTAAGGACCAGTGGAGACTGAGCAGAGGCGCTATAACCAGACATACATGGCATGAATGGAGAATCTGGCTATTTTCAGAATTCCAATATATGTTTATTTACAACAGGTCTCTGGGTCACTGCTGTTTCAACCTTTGAGAAGGATTGTATGGATGGGTGGAGCTAGATAGGTGATACGAAGATGACTAATTCCAGTTTTAATTTTTTACAGTTATAATTATAGGAGCTGTGGTGAGTGAGATGTCTAGTACGTTGATATAATGGTACAGCATTTGATATGGATTATGTCAAGGAAGTGTTGGGGTAGATTGGTCTTTTTAGGAATTCTAAAAAGTTTGCCCATACAGTTTGCTGGATTGTGGTAGTATAGGAATTGACAGCACTATCTAGATCATCGGGAGTCTTTAGGGACATATTGAGGTCAATTTTATTGGACAGGATTTGGCGGAAAAGGTCTCAGACAATTGGGCTCCTGATAAACGACGGTGGAGAGGTTTGGGAACGGGTTCTTCAGAAACATTAAGAATTAGAGGACTATGGTCAGAGGAAAGTTCATTCAGATGTGTAATGGAACAATTGAAGAGGCCAAACCCACTATGGATAAAGATATCAGGATATCAGGATTAGTCTGTGGCTAGTAGGTAGGAGAGTTAGGAGAAAGGAGGTGAAAACGTTGGGAATTGAGCGCAAACAGCTGTGTTCGGCCACGAGAATTTCTGGTTCTTGAACCCCACTGTTGGTGCTTGACATTTACGTCTACATCCAATATGAAGTGATGCCATAAGAATTCGAGGAAAGAAATGAATTAGACATTGAATATGGATTGGTTAGGAGGGCAAAACGCTGATGCAAGAGTAATCAGAAAGGAGAAGGTTTTTATTATGATAGTGGTGGATTCTAGAAAGTCTTGTGTAGGTAATGGGAGTAGGTGATGGGAGAGGTATTGGTGTATAATGACAGCAGTACCAGCATGGCTCTTCCGTCAGGATGTCAGTACGATAAGTCAAGTATTGTGGTATTTTGAAGAGCTATTAGAGGTTAGTCAAGTTTCAGTAATTAGTGCCACGTAAATGTTCTTGTCAAGTAATAAAGCTGATAGTTAGTCTGTATGATTTCTAATACCATTTGCACTGCAAGGAAGAATTAATATAGACTTATTTGAAGCCATTTTAGGATTTTTTGGGAGAGGGATAAAATGTGATACAAGATTGGTAAGAAGGGGTATCAAAGGAGTAACAAGAGATCTGAATTCGGAGAGGAAAGATACAAGTAAACTGCTCATCAGTCTCAATCTGTGGTATTCGATGTAGGAGGAATTTGGTGTTGATAGAATTGTTGAGGATTACATGAAGTTTGAGTAGTAGGATGTTGAGGCTGTGGTTGAGAATTTCGAGGTATATATTGCTGTTGCGGCAGGGTCTCACAATTAGCAATTTCATTCTTTCTTCCTAATAGATGTGTAAAAGACACTGTCAGGTCTATAATTTTGGAAGGTTCTCTTCTTGATCCAGATTTTTCAGTTTCTTATTGGTACCGGGATTTATGGTATCTAGATTTGATACTCTTGTATATCTGGGAGTCTTTGTAGTTCACCGGATGTGATTCACAAAGCACAAACTGCAGGCTCTTGTATAGGTTTTATGCACTCACTAGTTTTGTGTTGCCTACCGCATTTTACATAACGAGGAAAATGATGGCAATATGTTTTCATATGGCCTTACTCCTGGCAATTGTGGCACTGGATGATATTCCTCCTAGGATACGGCTTCTCTACTTTTACACTTATGTAGTATAATCTTGTTATATCATGGCTATTTCATCAGCTTCTTTGTTGCCTAGTATGCCCGAGTGACTGGGCACCCACTCCATAAAGTGAATAATAACAGATTCTTCTGAAAATTTTGAGAGCTAAGTTGGGAACACAACCTTGCACATCAGTTGACTGTTCAGCTGTACCATTTTGTATTAATACTAAAAAAAAAAAGGGGAAAGGTCTTAGTTTCAGTACTATTTAGGGAAAATACTGTTTAAAGGCTTAGGGTTGTGCAGGGAGGGGATCGGGCCAGGATCACGCTCAACTGCCAGGTTTTTCTGCTTAATAAATTATTTAATTAAGGGTACCCACTTTATAGAGGCTGGTTGTGACCCAGGAAGGTATCCCTACCCCAGGGCCACCCCACAGCCAATGAAACAGAATAAATAATTTTTCTGCCATGAGCTGGGATCCGAACCTGGGACCTTGAGCACTGGAAACTTAGTGCCCTACCACTGAGCTATCGCGCTTATATCACTTTATATTAATACTATTTTATATTAATCAATAAATAACAAATCGTTAAACTATTTTCACTAATATCATTAGTTTGTAGCCTATATCGCCTAACAAATATAATTAAGAATACCTTTCTATCTGATGATAGTTGTAGAACACATTACAGTGACTAATGGATTCATACATGATTAATAAATAAAATGTACTTACATGCATTGTAGCCAGATGCGCCATATAAATAGAAAATCCTTCTTTTAACCAATTATCATTCCAAGAATTAAAACTGATTATATTGCCCATCCAGAGATCACAAAACTGTTTTCCTAAAAAATGATATACTTCTTCTTTGTTCTCATAATTACTTTCATACTTTTCAAATAAATACTTAGAACTGAAATAAAACATGTATATTCATTAGATATAAATTAATTAAAATACAGTTATATATAATAGGATTATTTAAAAGGTAGATGGTTTATATAGAAATTATAGTACAACTTTTTTAAATGTCATTTTCATTAGAAAAAAAAAATTGAGAAATACCTAATTAATATTGTTGCAAAAGATGCTGGAGGATCACTGTATAGATCTTCACTCACTATAACAGAAATCTGTTGAATAGGTAAGTTGAATTGAAAATATTCAATAAAAAAATCCAAAATCCCATTAGCTATTTTAAATATTTCATCTACAGAATACTTAAGGTATGGTGGGAACCAAAAAGCAAGTGAAGGTGTTCTTTCCACAATAAATGAATCATATTTTGGCAATAAATAGAACGTGAATGACGAAATAGGAATTGCTGGAGTATAATAAAAGTCGTCCATTAAACCATCTTTTCTTAACCTGGAAAGAATAATAAAATATATATGTTAGATTTGTGTAATCAGTATTAAGGCGCAAAGGATTATAAGGAAGAAAGAATAGCTATTTGGGGGGGAGGGAGGTAGGATAAGAGGTAAGTGCCAGGGCAAGAATAACAGGGGGCCCACATGATCTGTAAGGTTTTTAACTGCTAAATTTACATTAAAATAAAGTGTTAATATTGTTACAAATATTTATTAATAATTATGTAATATCTTTACACATACATTATAAGGCATGAGACAGGGTTTTATTAATAAATTTAATATTTGATGGTAGGGTCTAAGATGATTCTTTATGTGGCCCATGGTTTCTCACCAGGTGCCCCTAGTACGTAGAATTATCACAAATCAGTGATATGCTTTTGTACTATTTTCAAACAAGTCTGTGCTTAAATGAAAATGGTAGAGTTTTTTCTAATCTTTGTCACATTGCAAAGGGAAAAAAATATATTTTGTAGACTAATTTAATTCTTCATATTTTGTTCACCTTTCATGGTATGAGTGAATCTGATGATACTAGCGGATTCAGGATTTAATTTTGGGGGCAGGGTGACTAACAAGTTTTTGTCTAATTTATTTTTTTAATTGTTTATTGAAAAATATTACAATCTGTCTCAATGGACATTTATAATAGAGTTCAGAGATCACATTCACACCCTATGTACAATAAATTATACAGAAAAATAATATATATACAATAAATAAGAGTAAAATAACCTAAAAATAAATAAATAAAAAAGAACACATACATACCTATATACACTATTTACAATAAGGTGAGAGAACTCTGAGCCAGACTTGTCCCTTCTACTATGGAGGGAAAAGCATGACTCCAGAAGATCCCTGCACTTCTCTCTCAACCGCGTCACTGGGGCTAAACCCAGTGGAGATTGAGTGCTTTAGACACATACATGTTGTGAATGGAGAATCTGGCAAACACCTGAACTCCAATATTTACAAACTATAAAAGATTGCAGAGCCACTGCCGTTTTAACCTTCTTGGAGGATTATAGGTGCTGTATAGGAATTGCACAAGGGTGATAGGTAAGGTTCTGGTGAAATTTGGAGAATTTTGCTGAGATGAGGTCTACGACAAATGGGATATTAAGGTATGGTAAGGTAAGGGAAATGGTGTAGAGTTTTGTTGGTTACATAGAAAGGAGCATCGACTATTGTTTGTAGGACTTTGGACTGGAAGGACTGGATACGTTTGATTTTAGAAAATTTTGCTGTTCCCCACAGTTCAAGTCCATAAGTCCAAATAGGTTTCAGTATTGTCTTGTAGATAAGTATTTTATTTTCAATAGGAAGTTTAGATTTTCTATTTAGTAGTCTGTGTAGTTGGCCGTATCATCGGTTAAGTTTCTGTCTTTTTAAGTCTAGTATGAGGGTTCCAAATTAGTCGTCTGTCTAAGAGAAAGCCAACATACCGGACTGTGTCTGAGAAAGGAAGCTGGATGGAATTAAAGTGTACTGGTGGACAGGAACTGCGTCGGAGCGTGAAGGTGATGTGTTGGCATTTGGATTCGTTTACTTTAATACGCCATTTATTACACCAGTGCTCAATCAGAGAGAGGTGTCTTTGGAGGTTTGAGGATGCTATATCAGGATCTGAGTCGGATGATAGAATGGCGGTGTCATCAGCAAATGTTGCCAGGAAGGTGACAGGATGGACAGGGATATCGGCGGTAAAGAGGATGTAAAGGACCCAATACGCTACCTTGAGGAACATCAGCCTCAATTGGATAGCAGTTAGAAAATTCAGTGCTGCAGCAAACTCGGAAGGTACGATCAGAGAGGTAGGAGCGGAGGACAAGGTATAAAGACTGAGGCAGATGGGTTTTAAGTTTGAAAAGAAGGCCGGCGTGCCATACCCGGTCAAAAGCTTGAGCTATGTCCAGAAATGCACCCGAGCAATATCGCAATATACTTTCCAGGGCTGCGGAAATATGATCTACCACTCGAAGTCCTTGTTGGACTGTGGAATGTTGGGAACAGAATCTGAACTGATGTGAAGTAAGATTTTGAGGTTCTATCAAGGGTAGGATTCGTTTCAGGAGGATTTTTGAAAATATTGGAAGTAGGCTAATGGGTCTGTAGGAAGTTAAGCTGTTGGGAGGTTTGCCTGGATTTGGAAATAGGATAACAGTAGAATAGAATGTTTCCATAAAAGAGGAAAGTGGGTGGTTCGTAGGATGCTATTGTATATGAATGTAAGGAATATGACATCTTTAAGAGGGAGTTGTCTAAGGATCTGAGAGGTAAGGAGGTCGTATCCAGGTGATTTACGGGTAGGTAGTTTATTTGACCTCAGAAGGATTAACTGCTATAGGCGGTAAGGAGTGTGGGATGGGTGAATTAAGGAATTCTGCAACTGCTGACGTGTGTTTGTGTAATTAAAGGAACAGTAATGCTTTTAGGAATTACATTTTTATATTTTTTCTTGACAGGTAGTTAGATGAAGCATTGTAATTTACATAGAAAATATAAAGAAAAAAGAAAACGGTGATGTATTTGGCTTTGATCACTCTTAGAAACAAATATGGGCAAATAAATAAAATAATTAATTTTACATATTTTGGGAGGAATTAGCTGTAAACTGAAATATATTGTAATATACACCTTTATTGGTAGTGGGTAAAAATGATTTAATAAATTAATGTTGAACAATTAAAAGGCAAGCTAATCTAGTTCTACTAGTGCAGGGAAAAGAAAATGACTCCTCTGTAGTTTCCCAAGAAGGAAAATCCCAAAGAGGAGAGGGACAAAGGTTTTTGTTTTGGCAAGCAGTTGTTGTTTGACTGTAGTGAAGAGAGGATAGGAGAAAGAATCCTGGCTCCAGTGAGTGAAACACAGTAATAGTATTACCATTTTAGGATATGTGTTTAGCAGAACATAAGAAAATGTGTGAAGACAAATGAGTTCAGTGCCACAAAGGAAGAAACATTGTATGTAGAAAAAAGGTTAACTTGTAAATTCATACTTGGCTTTATTTTTAAACCAGTGTTTAATTTTAATATGAACAGTGTAAATAATAATAGTTAGTCTGAGTTGATCTGATTGTCAGTAAACCGCACCTCAGATAAATAAATATATTAATTCTCTTATAATTTTGTTTATTATTTGATAACCTCTTATTAATTTAGGAAGTATCCCAATGGTAACAAGTGAGCTTCAGAGGTTATATTATTATTATTTGTAAAATATAAGAGGGATGTTACAATATATTGTTTGTTCATATCAATAGTATAAGTATTTTTTTTTCAGTTGAAAATATTAGTCCATGGAAAGGCAGATTAAGCAGTAAACACAGGTCCTTGGATAGTTAATATTTCAGGAATCACCAAAAATAAAAAACTCCTTAAAATAATTGAACAAATGTAAAAACAGAATGTTAAATTTATGGCTTCAAAGTTGAATTTTTTTTTTCTCGAAAGATGTACCAAAATTTTTACTTATGTATTATTTGTCACAAATAAATAGGAAGAAGCGATAGCCACTTACAGTTCAGTTTTCTTCTTTATTGTGTTCGATACAGCTTCAACATCCTTGCTGCGACTTATTCTCAGATGAAAAATAGAACGCCGCTCTGGAGTTACAATACATGGAAACATCAACTTTCCAAAAGTGGGATACAAGAAGGTTCCAATTATCCTGGAATCAAAAAGAAAAGTAATTGAAACAGATAAATAATTAATATTTTGTATGAATTGCATCAAATTTTGTTTCAGTAATTTTGCTTTAATTTCAGGATGAGATATGGTGACCCATATCGGATAACCAGTGGTATGCATACTGGTGCAAGGGCTTGATACCTCAATAATTGTAATGGATATTTTTATCCAACTGTAATTGATTACTGATTGGTTTTAATATTTTTAATACCTCTTTGATACCTAATGAAGCATATATTAAATATGTACCTATATATATTTTATTTCTTTATTATTAAATTTGTACCTGTAATAAATACTTTTCACCAATTTCAAATATAATAGTTCTAATGACTATATAGTTATGTTAGGTACTGTACAGATATGTACACAATTTTTTAAACAATATATGCTTTATATTTGACAAAATAATGGAATATATTTAATACATTTGAAATATAATACATAACTTGATTGCTTTGAATTGTTTATTATTAATAAAAGAAAACCAATTTATTTTTTGAAAATATTTTTAGTCTAGTGTGGCTTTTAAATTAATTATTATATCTCTATCATTTTGTTGTATAGTAATTTGAAGTGTGTTGCATCAATTGGAATATTCATTTAATGTTTCATTATCTTTTAAGGTACTTATGTTTTATTTAAAATATATTCTCATAAGCTGTTTGTAACACTTAGTCCTAAGAGTTGTTGTCCTAAGAGTAGTTTTTTAAATTGTCATGTAAAAAATTAAAAGTTCTATTATTAAAGCAAGATACGTTTTTAACACATATATTATCTTGTAACTAATTTAAATCTTCACTTAAATAAAGATATATATAAGACTGACCTAAATATGTACCTGTGTGAATAGTTATTTTAATTTAGATTTTATTAGTTGGCTAATTTTGTTTTATCTAATATAAATACTCATATATTGTGTTTGTTATACTTAGCTAAAAAGAGTTTTTTTTAAGATTGTTACAAAATAACAAAGAAAAATGGGTGAGCCACATCACCTTATTGTTAAATTAAAAAAAAAAATGTAAACAACACATAAAGCATTCGTAATTCCAAATAGAAGCCTTAAAATGTAATGTAGTTACAGAAAAAAACATTAAAAGCACCAAACTGTAACAAATCACATTATTGAATGAATGAATGAAAATAATTTTATTATTCTGGGACTAGTGTCCCTTTAGAACAAGTCACAAATACAGAATATATATCAATATTTTGAAGTGTCCATGAAATACAATTTAATATTTACAGGTTGATTCGGAGTACAATAAAATTATAAATGATAAAAATATATAAATACTTGTAAATATAAAATATACAGAGAAAGTAATTAAGTGAACGAAATATCAATGAATTACAAAATAATCAGAGTATCTGGGTGCACTTTGAGGTTTTTACAGCTTAGGTTTTTAAGAGCATTTCCTGATCAATTGGATTGGGAATGGAGTATGTGTTCCAAGAGGAGAGATTTGAAAGAGGATATCGATTTTCCGTGTCTGAATATCTGAAGGTATAGAGTTCCAGAGGGAGACAACTTGTATTAAAAAGGATTTATCAAATGCAACAGTTCGGTGAGGGGGAGGATAGAGGTCGGACGCACGGGATCTAGTGGGACGGGATTGAAAGGAGCGTTTGAATTGTAGGATCTGTACAATATAGGCAGGTCGCCGTGTTGTAATGGCTCGGTATAGGAAGGTAGCCAGAAAATATTGACGGCGGTAGGACGAATAAAGCCACTTCAACTTGGTGTAGAACTGGGTAATATGCGTATCTGTTGAGATCCCGAAGATAAAGCGGATTGAGCAATTCATTAAACGTTTAAGTTTGGCTTCGAGTTCTCCCGAGACTCCACCGTACACCATGCAGCTATAGTCGAAGTGGGAAAAAACAAGAGAGGAGACCAGGAGCTGACGGGTTTTGAACGGAAGAAGATAACGTAAATGGTTAAACTGTTTCAGGGTGGATATAGTACGGCGGGAGATTTGTGGTTTCCAGGAGAGGCTTTGATCGAGGGTAACGCCTAGGTTTTTAACGGTGGTATGGAAGGAGCTAGGTGAGTTGTTCAGAAGAAGATTAGGAGGAGTTGAAATGGATTTGAGGAGTGAGGGGGATCCAATCAGGATGGCTTTTGTCCTCTCCGTATTCAATGTCAGCTTATTAAGATTTGCCCATGCGCATATTCTATTGATGTCTTGTTGCAGTTTCAGGATAGCATTAGAGGAATCTATCGGGTTGAAGGAAAGATAAATTTGGACGTCATCGGCGTATAAGTGATATTGACAGTATATGATAGAGGAAGGGAGGTCATTAATGTAGATGGAAAAGAGGGTGGGGGATAATGAGGAACCTTGTAGGACGCCTCTGGACAGAGGTAGAGACATTGATTGAGGGTTATTAGGAACTACAACGTACTGGGAGCGATCGGTGAGAAAGGACTGGAACCACTTAAGGGTACTGGATGATAAGGTTATATTTTTCAGTTTGGATAGAAGGATATTATGGACAACTGAGTCGAATGCTTTAGAAAAATCAATAAGGATCAGGATGGTGAGTTTCTGTTTATCTATGACTGTGTGGGGATTTTGGGAGATTTTAACGAGGGCGGAATGAGTGGAGTGGTCTGGTCTAAAACCAGTCTGGAGGCAGTTCGAATGTTTATTTTGTTCAAGATATTGGGATAGTTGAGATTGTACTATTCGCTCCAAAGGTTTGGAAAGGTTAGACAAGAGGGAAATTGGACGGAAATCATTAGGGGTTGTGGGGTTAGAGATTTTGTTCAGAGGACGAACAAGAGCTGTTTTCCAGGTGCTGGAAAAAGTGGAACTTTGTAGTGAGAAATTATAGATATGATAAAGAACTGGGAAAATGGATGGAAGTGAGGATTTAATTAATTTAGCTGGGATATTATCTGATCCGAAATCTTTGTTTTGGGATTTACAGATGGATTTAAGGAGGTCGTCAGGGGTAATATGCGAAAAGAAAAATGATTGGGATTAAAGGGTGAGGGGTGTATGAGGGGTGGAGCTGGTGCTTGGACAGAGGGATCGGATGAACAGGAGACAAAATGAGTGTTGAGCATGTCAGCTGAAATAAAGGTAGTCTGGGTTTGGGTGGATTTGCCTAAGGATAATTTACGGAGGATTGCCCACATAGCTTTGGAGTTTGGTGTGCTGGATAAGGATTGTTGGTAGTGGTGGGATTTGGCACGGCGTATCATGGATTGCGTACTGTTTCGAAGCAGCTTGAAATTCATGTAGTCTTCGGGGAGCCGAGTGCGCCTTCGTCTTGCTGCCTCTCTTCGTTTGATGCAATTTTTTATCACAGGCGTCAACCAAGGGACTGGTGGGTACTTGATAGTCCTGAAAATACCCTTTTATGAGTAGCTTCTCTCGCTTGTATTTTATTATTAAATATTTTTCTGCATATTTTGCAATTTTTTATTGCATATTTTGGAAGTTTTTACTGAATGAAAATCCAGGCCTTGGTTATAAGAATGAACCCTTAGGCAAAAAATTATGGAATTGTCAAACTATGTGGTTTCTGCGGTGTAATGTTTTGATGTGCCATGGACTGTGGAACTATTTATATTGTAGCAATATGACTTATTACCATTAAGAATGTTTACCTATTTTTTACAAAGTGAAATTTATATTTCAACTAAAATAATCTTGATGTAGAGATGGTTGACCGTTGATATAATATGAGAAGGAGTTAATTGGGGGTGGGGTCAAATAGCACCCCCCCCAATTAGCTCCTTCTCATAAAATAATCTTGTTTCTCATTATGTACTTTCATAACTTTGATAGAGAACTTTCTTTAATTTATTACCATCATTTTTTTAAAAATGTTATTTAAGTATTCAATTAAAGCCTACCATGCTTTCTGTTTTGTTTCATGACTAACAGAGCGAGTAAAATAGGTGGTCAAGGTTGCACCTCTCTCAAATGGACTGAGTTCCGAAATGAATTCCAAACTGAGGATATATCTGTGTTCTGGTTTTATTGCATTCGTTAACTCAATCATTATCTTCCCCCATTGTTTGTGATAATCCATGCTTTTCAAGCCCTGAAATGGTATAAATTTATTTAGTTTAATATACACTTTTCCTTTATTTTATTTATTTATTTTTTACATACTGTGTCCACACCCACTAAATATGTTAATATTTATATCCAAGGCTATATCCAAAAGTCTCCAATATTATCTGATCATGTTGTTAAATCTGATCATATTATATGTTTTATGTTTTGAAATACCTGTCACAAAGCGTAAAGTTCAATGTCGAAATCTTAAACTTTCAATTCTTATAACACAGAAGCCTACATATTTTCGTTTTAAATACAAGGAAAAAATCTAGTTTATAACGATGGTAAGTGGAACAAAAAATGAATCATATAATTCTTTGATTATGTGGTCGATTCATGTACTGGATGATTTTAAATAGATTAAAGTGCTCTCGATCAATCTCCGCTGGCGTTAGTACCAGTGAGGCGGTTGAGATAGTAGCGCAGGGTTCTCCTGGAGTTCCCTCGCCTGATTGTAGTTGTGCATATGTATGTGTTTAGGTATGTAAGTTATGTGATAGGTATTCATGTGTTTCTTGCTTAGTTTTAATTTTCTTATTTTTAGGTTATTTTATTTTATTTATTGTATATACTTTTTGATTATTATTTGGCTTCTATTTATTTTATACTTTTTGTACATATAGTGTGAATGTTATCCTACCTCACTATAACTAGTGTCCATGTGACAGATTGTTGTAGTAATCAATAAAAAAAAAAATAAAAAAGATTAATCCCAATGGACTATATATATGTAAAGAAGTATAAAAGAAAAAAAAAATACTAAAATTAGTGTATAATACTAATTTTAAATACTAAAATTATATTAAAATATAATTACTTAATGAGATGTGTTTAATCTCAATGTAATATCACGTAAACAAAAAAATTTCGGTTTTGAGTTATGATAAAAAAAAAAAATATTTACTTTATATCTAAATTTTACAACAACAGTTATTTCCTAATGTTTGTGTACTCGAAAGTACATCAATTGTTAGTACTTATGATTTATAAAAAATATATCTCAGTATGATAAAAATTAAATGTTTTGAATTTTTTTTTTGCACTAATCTACTACTTTTATCAGTTACTAGTTTCACATTGAGACCGACGATATACTGAATAAAAAACAATAAGAAATTTCCATATTATTTATACTATAAAATTATACATAATTGCATAATGAGTATAAGATACATACCGCTAGTTCATATTTTTCTTGAGATGCTGACATTATTTCGTTTAACGAAGAAGAATAAACTGAAACCCCCTCAAAATCAAGAACGATTTGATCCAAAGGGCAGGAGACATTGATGGTCAATGCTACTCTACCCCATAAATGTGTTTTATTGTATGACATCAACAAGTCATAAAGACTGACATCAATATATTTTTCAACACATTTCTTTTGAGACGTTGCCGAAGTTACTGACATAGTGTGTTCTAGCTCTTGGTTGGTAACTTTGTGCATTACAGAATCACTCTTTTTTGTTGGCGTGATGAAAGTTATTTTTTCATTTGTATTTATGTATTGCTCACTAAAGGATTTGGTCATTAGCGTCTGATCATCTTTGGTTTGGACGGATGAATGTGTTTTTGAACCCTTCTCAAACTCTGTAATATCGGAAGAAGAATATTCCAGTAAAATCGGGTTTGAAGATTGAAAGCCTTTTGTGTTTTCATGACTCGATATTTCTGGAGTGATCATCGTGGTCTCCTTATATGGGCTTTTATCAATCGCAGATGATTTAGTTGATATTGTTAGATCTGTTCTTGTTGTCTTCGATTTAGAGGGTTTGATATTTTCAAAGTTTGTGACCAAAGAAGTTGTCTCAACGTCAGAACTGAAGGGACCATCATATTTCTTTTGAGACGTAGCCGAAGTTACTGACATAGTATGTTCTAGCTCTTGGTTGGTTACTTTGTGCATTACAGAATCACTCTTTTTTGTTGGCGTGATAAAAGTTATTTTATCATTTGTATTTATATCTTGGTCACTAAAGGATTTTGTCATTAGCGTCTGATTATCTTTGGTTTGGACGGATGAATGTGTTTTTGAACCCTTCTCAAACTCTGTAATATCGGAAGAAGAATATTCCAGTAAAATCGGGTTTGAAGATTGAAAGTTTTTTGTGTTTTCATGACTCGATATTTCTGGAGTGATCATCGTAGTCTCCGTATATGGGCTTTTATCGTTCGCTGATGATTTAGTTGATATTGTTAGATCTGTTCTTGTTGTCTTCGATTTAGAGGGTTTGATATTTTTAAAGTTTGTGACCAAAGAAGTTGTCTCAACGTCAGAACTGAAGGGACCATCATATTTCTTTTGAGACATAGCCGAAGTTACTGACATAGTATGTTCTAGCTCTTGGTTGGTTACTTTGTGCATTACAGAATCACTCTTTTTTGTTGGCGTGATAAAAGTTATTTTATCATTTGTATTTATATATTGCTCACTAAAGGATTTGGTCATTAGCGTTTGATCATCTTTGGTTTGGACGGATGAATGTGTTTTTGAACCCTTCTCAAGCTCTGTAATATCGGAAGAAGAATATTCCAGTAAAATCGGGTTTGAAGATTGAAAGCCTTTTGTGTTTTCATGACTCGATATTTTTGGAGTGATCATCGTAGTCTCCGTATATGGGCTTTTATCGTTCGCAGATGATTTAGTTGATATTGTTAGATATGTTCTTGTTGTCTTCGATTTAGAGGGTTTGATATTTTCAAAGTTTGTGACCAAAGAAGTTGTCTCAACGTCAGAACTGAAGGGACCATCATATTTCTTTTGAGACGTAGCCGAAGTTACTGACATAGTGTGTTCTAGCTCTTGGTTGGTTACGTTGTGCATTACAGAATCACTCTTTTTTGTTGGCGTGATAAAATTTATTTTATCATTTGTATTTATATCTTGGTCACTAAAGGATTTTGTCATTAGCGTCTGATCATCTTTGGTTTGGACGGATGAATGTGTTTTTGAACCCTTCTCAAACTCTGTAATATCGGAAGAAGAATATTCCAGTAAATTCGGGTTTGAAGATTGAAAGTTTTTTGTGTTTTCATGACTCGATATTTCTCGAGTGATCATCGTAGCTTCCTTATATGGGCTTTTATCGTTCGCTGATGATTTAGTTGATATTGTTAGATCTGTTCTTGTTGTCTTCGATTTAGAGGGTTGGATATTTTTAAAGTTTGTGACCAAAGAAGTTGTCTCAACGTCAGAACTGAAGGGACCATCATATTTCTTTTGAGACGTAGCCGAAGTTACTGACCTAGTGTGTTCTAGCTCTTGGTTGGTTACTTTGTGCATTACAGAATCACTCTTTTTTGTTGGCGTGATAAAAGTTATTTTATCATTTGTATTTATATCTTGGTCACTAAAGGATTTGGTCATTAGCGTCTGATCATCTTTGGTTTCGACGGATGAATGTGTTTTTGAACCCTTCTCAAACTCTGTAATATCGGAAGACGAATATTCCAGTAAAATCGGGTTTGAAGATTGAAAGTTTTTTGTGTTTTCATGACTCGATATTTCTCGAGTGATCATCGTAGCTTCCTTATATGGGCTTTTATCGTTCGCTGATGATTTAGTTGATATTGTTAGATCTGTTCTTGTTGTCTTCGATTTAGAGGGTTTGATATTTTTAAAGTTTGTGACCAAAGAAGTTGTCTCAACGTCAGAACTGAAGGGACCATCATATTTCTTTTGAGACGTAGCCGAAGTTACTGACCTAGTGTGTTCTAGCTCTTGGTTGGTTACTTTGTGCATTTCAGAATCACTCTTTTTTTTTGGCGTGATAAAAGTTATTTTATCATTTGTATTTATATCTTGGTCACTAAAGGATTTGGTCATTAGCGTCTGATCATCTTTGGTTTGGACGGATGAATGTGTTTTTGAACCCTTCTCAAACTCTGTAATATCGGAAGAAGAATAATCCAGTAAAATTGGGTTTAAAGATTGAAAGCCTTTTGTGTTTTCATGACTCGATATTTCTGGAGTGATCATCGTAGTTTCCTCATATGGGCTTTTATCGTTCGCAGATGATTTAGTTGATATTGTTAGATCTGTTCTTGTTGTCTTCGATTTAGAGGGTTTGATATTTTTAAAGTTTGTGACCAAAGAAGTTGTCTCAACGTCGGAACTGAAGGGACCATCATATTTCTTTTGAGACGTAGCCGAAGTTCCTGCCGTAGTGTGTTCTAGCTCTTGGTTGGTTACTTTGTGCATTACAGAATCACTCTTTTTTGTTGGCGTGATAAAAGTTATTTTATCATTTGTATTTATATCTTGGTCACTAAAGGATTTGGTCATTAGCGTCTGATCATCTTTGGTTTGGACGGATGAATGTGTTTTTGAACCCTTCTCAAACTCTGTAATATCGGAAGAAGAATATTCCAGTAAAATCGGGTTTGAAGATTGAAAGCCTTTTGTGTTTTCATGACTCGATATTTCTGGAGTGATCATCGTAGTCTCCGTATATGGGCTTTTATTGTTCGCAGATGATTTAGTTGATATTGTTAGATCTGTTCTTGTTGTCTTCGATTTAGAGGGTTGGATATTTTCAAAGTTTGTGACCAAAGAAGTTGTCTCAACGTCGTAACTGAAGGGACCATCATATTTCTTTTGAGACGTAGCCGAAGTTACTGACATAGTGTGTTCTAGCTCTTGGTTGGTTACTTTGTGCATTACAGAATCACTCTTTTTTGTTGGCGTGATAAAAGTTATTTTATCATTTGTATTTATATCTTGGTCACTAAAGGATTCGGTCATTAGCGTCTGATCATCTTCGGTTTGGACGGATGAATGTGTTTTTGAACCCTTCTCAAACTCTGTAATATCGGAAGAAGAATATTCCAGTAAAATCGGGTTTGAAGATTGAAAGCCTTTTGTGTTTTCATGACTCGATATTTCTGGAGTGATCATCGTGGTCTCCTTATATGGGCTTTTATCGTTCGCAGATGATTTAGTTGATATTGTTAGATCTGTTCTTGTTGTCTTCGATTTAGAGGGTTTGATATTTTTATAGTTTGTGAACAAAGAAGTTGTCTCAACGTCAGAACTGAAGGGACCATCATATTTCTTTTGAGACGTAGCCGAAGTTACTGACCTAGTGTGTTCTAGCTCTTGGTTGGTTACTTTGTGCATTTCAGAATCACTCTTTTTTTTTGGCGTGATAAAAGTTATTTTATCATTTGTATTTATATCTTGGTCACTAAAGGATTTGGTCATTAGCGTCTGATCATCTTTGGTTTGGACGGATGAATGTGTTTTTGAACCCTTCTCAAACTCTGTAATATCGGAAGAAGAATAATCCAGTAAAATTGGGTTTAAAGATTGAAAGCCTTTTGTGTTTTCATGACTCGATATTTCTGGAGTGATCATCGTAGTTTCCTCATATGGGCTTTTATCGTTCGCAGATGATTTAGTTGATATTGTTAGATCTGTTCTTGTTGTCTTCGATTTAGAGGGTTTGATATTTTTAAAGTTTGTGACCAAAGAAGTTGTCTCAACGTCGGAACTGAAGGGACCATCATATTTCTTTTGAGACGTAGCCGAAGTTCCTGCCGTAGTGTGTTCTAGCTCTTGGTTGGTTACTTTGTGCATTACAGAATCACTCTTTTTTGTTGGCGTGATAAAAGTTATTTTATCATTTGTATTTATATCTTGGTCACTAAAGGATTTGGTCATTAGCGTCTGATCATCTTTGGTTTGGACGGATGAATGTGTTTTTGAACCCTTCTCAAACTCTGTAATATCGGAAGAAGAATATTCCAGTAAAATCGGGTTTGAAGATTGAAAGCCTTTTGTGTTTTCATGACTCGATATTTCTGGAGTGATCATCGTAGTCTCCGTATATGGGCTTTTATTGTTCGCAGATGATTTAGTTGATATTGTTAGATCTGTTCTTGTTGTCTTCGATTTAGAGGGTTGGATATTTTCAAAGTTTGTGACCAAAGAAGTTGTCTCAACGTCGTAACTGAAGGGACCATCATATTTCTTTTGAGACGTAGCCGAAGTTACTGACATAGTGTGTTCTAGCTCTTGGTTGGTTACTTTGTGCATTACAGAATCACTCTTTTTTGTTGGCGTGATAAAAGTTATTTTATCATTTGTATTTATATCTTGGTCACTAAAGGATTCGGTCATTAGCGTCTGATCATCTTCGGTTTGGACGGATGAATGTGTTTTTGAACCCTTCTCAAACTCTGTAATATCGGAAGAAGAATATTCCAGTAAAATCGGGTTTGAAGATTGAAAGCCTTTTGTGTTTTCATGACTCGATATTTCTGGAGTGATCATCGTGGTCTCCTTATATGGGCTTTTATCGTTCGCAGATGATTTAGTTGATATTGTTAGATCTGTTCTTGTTGTCTTCGATTTAGAGGGTTTGATATTTTTATAGTTTGTGAACAAAGAAGTTGTCTCAATGTCGTTACTTAAGGGACTATATTCTATATTCGATATTTTGTATTCAGTGTGAGAAGATTCTGATATCGTATGGTGACTAGCAGTTCCTTCTTCATTTTTTCCTTTTTTGGAATATGCATCATTCAGAGATTCAGTTGGAATAGTTACATATGGTTGCACCGATTTCATGGGTTTACTATTATCGAAGTCAAAGCTTCTAGATGCTGAATATACCTTAAAATTAGTACTCGATGGATTTTCGATATTAGATATATCCTCTCTATAGTCAGTAAAATAAGTTTTGTGATAATTAGAAATCAAATCTCCAACTTCTAACGGGTACTGTTTGCCATAATCTCTGGTAGAGATTTCTATGTCAGTGGTTTCTTCATTGTTTTCGGCAATTGTACTTATAAAGTTAGTTAAAGTGTCTACTACTTTTATACTATTCATTCGGGTAGGTTCCAATGTCATAGCTGGTTCTTTATCATTTATTACTATTTTTGTAATATCCTTATCGTTATCTAAATCCAGTTCTTCATCATCCCAAGGATAATCAGTTAAAAATAACACACCTTCCCAGTTACATTCTGTTGCATGTAAAGTGTTGTTATCAATGTCATGAGACGAGGAATATATTTTCAAGTCATTAAAATATGTCTGGTGAATACTAGCAGTGGAATCTCTACCTTTTTCTGAATTTAGTGTCTCTTCATCTAAAGGAAATTTGGTAGAGCTTATTATATCCTCCAATATGTCTTCTGATGTCTGAATAGGGGTGTTATCAATGTCATGAGATGGGGAATATATCTTCATAGCGGTACTCGAGAATATAAAACTTTGAGTGTCAGTCATATCCTGTATAACTTCGGTAGAATGTGTCTTGTTATTAGTAGAAATGAAATTGGCTCCTCTTTCTGAATTTAGTATTTCTTCATTGAAATGGATTGTGGTAAAGGTTATTATATCCTCCAACTTTGCGTCTGATGTCTGCATTGGATTGTTATCAATGTCCTCTGATGGGGAATATATCTTCAATGGGTTACTGGAAGCTATAGAATTTTGGTTGTCAGACACATTTTGTATAAAGTCAGTAGAATAGGTATCGCGATTAATAGAAATGGCGTCTACACTATTTTCTGAATTTAGTATTCCATCATATAAAGAAAATATAGTAAAAACTAATGTATCTTCCTCGATCGCTTTAGTTATTTGTATAAGGTTTTTGTCAATGTCTGAGTTTTCCAATGGAGAATATGTTACCCATAAGTCCGAGGTCTCTTCACTGTTTTCGACGATAGTGCTTTTAACGTTAATTACAGTATCTATTACTTTTGTACCATTCTTTGGCGTAGGCTCCAAAGTCTTAGATGAATCGCCATTTATTATAAAATTCTTATCATCATCTAATTCCAGTCCTTCTTCATCGCACGGAAAATCAGTTAAAAATAACATGCCTTCAAAGTTGGCTTCTGTTGTATGTAAAGGGTTCTTATCAATGCCATTAGATGAGGAATATATTATCAAGTCAGTAAAATATATTTCGTGATTACTAACAATGGTATATCCATCTGTTTCAGAATTTATTGTATTCTCAGCAAAAGGAACTTTGGTAGAGGTTATTATATCCTCTAATTTTTTTTCTGGAATATGCATTGAGTTGTTATCAATCTCCTCTGACGAAAAATACATCATCAAAGGGGAACTGGAAGTTATAAAATTTTGAGTTTCCGACGTATACTGTGTAATATCTACTGACATATCGGTTAAAGTTATTGTATCTTTGAAGTTTGTTTCTGATATTTGTATTGGATTATTACCAAAGGCTGAGTGATGGGTTGGTTTATAAATCATCAAATCTGTATTCCAAGGTTTATAATTATTGTTCTCAGACGTTAATTGATATACTTTGGAGGAATCTGGTACCTTGTTAATTTTTTTTCCCTCAGTGCTTTGATAGTTTTGGGATAAATAATTTATGATAGTTTCATCACCTCTTGTTGGTTCCGATGACTGAGCTGTAGGGCTGACAATATCTGAACAGTCAAAGTAATATGTCTCATATGATGGACTCGATGATATACCTATTTCAGGATCTTTATTAGTGGAAATATCTGAACTCACAGAAGAAATATATTCATTGGTGTAATGAACCATGGTGTTTTCACTGTTTTCAGAATTAGTACTGTTAATGTTAGTTAAATTGTCTAATTTTTTAGTTGCGCTCGTTCTGATTGGCTCCAGAGTCGTGAGATCTTTATTTTCACTATAATTTTTATTTTCTGTAGAATATCTCGATTCCGATGTTTGTAAAAGATTATCAGTACCTGAGTGATGAGATGTTGGCTCCGACAATTGCGTTGTAAGACTGACAATATCTGAACAGTCAAAGAAATATGTCTCATATGTTGGAATCGATGATTTATCTATTTCAGAATCTTTGTTAGCGGAAATATTCGAACTCACGGAAGAAATATATTTATTGGCATATATAACCGTGACTTCTTCACTGTCGTCGGTGTTAGTACTTTTAATGTTAACTAAAGTATCTATTATTTTCGAACCTTTACCTTGGGTTGGCTCCAATGTCGTTAGATTACTATTATTATTGGAGTCAATATTTTTTGCATTTATAAGTCCCTGGTCATTCGTTGATCCTTTTAAGTTAACACCCGATGGCAATGATGTAGGATCTGTAATATCTGAACAGGCAAATAAATATATCTCGTAAATTGTATTAGTATGTTTTGTTTCTTTGTTGCTGGACGTTTGCGATTTTTCATCAGAATCTAATTTCTCATGATTACTTATATTATATTCTTGCAAAATATCTTCGTCTTTACTTTCGTTATTGCTGTTTGTGACAATTACATCTTTGATGAATGCCTCCGATATATTTGCAGTATTGCTGAGAATATCTGAGCAGTCAAAGAAATATGTCTCGTAAATTGTATTAGTATGTTTTGTTTCTTTGTTGCTGGACGTTTGCGATTTCTCATCAGAATCTAATTTCTTATGATTACTTATATTAGATTCTTGCAAAATATCTTCGTCTTTACTTTCGTTATTGCTGTTTGTGACAATTACATCTTTGATGAATGCCTCCGATATATTTGCAGCATTGCTAAAAATATCTGAGCAGTCAAAGAAATATGTCTCGTAAGTTGGATTAGTGTGTTTTGTATCTTTGTCGCTGGACGTCTGCGATTCATTATAAGGATATGATATCTCATGATTACTTGTAGTATTGCTGAGAATATCTGAGCAGTCAAAGAAATATGTTTCGTAAGTTGGATTAGTGTGTTTTGTATCTTTGTCGCTGGACGTCTGTGATTCATTATCAGGATATGATATCTCATGAT